AAATTGTTTATACTTATATGAGTCTTGTGTATTTAATATAATAATTGTATATCATGTGATAATTGACCATATGTGTATTGCCTATTTGAATTGTATGAGATGACATGCTAAAGTTGAATTTAAATGCTTGAATTTCATGTGTATATACACGACTCTATGTGTTATTAAATGTATGCAACTATGTTGTTGATTATTGTGTTATGAAAAAACATGTTTTAAGTGATTTTGTTCCATACTTTGTGTATTTAAATTACCGTAATTATAATGTGAAAGCATGGTACATGTATTACACAAATTTCTCTTAAGTATAATATGTGGTTTAAATGTGAATATGTGAAGAATTATGGTATGGAAAGGCATGATGCATTCATGCATGACATTGGGCATAAAAAGGGGAAAATTTTGATTTGAAATAAAAAGAAAGAAAAAAATGATTTTTTTTGGGAAAAGTTTTGAAAGGAGGTTTTGCGGAAAACCCTGGTCGCCTAGGAGTTGCTTATGGGTCCGTGGCATTAATGTGACCTAGAGGGAATTAGGGAACTACCCTAGCGTGGTTGAGTTAACTGGGCCCCAAATGACGCCCTGGAGTTGCCTTGTGGTCGGGGATAGTTAGCCAATCCTTCTCTCGTGCCGCTATGGAGCTGCCATGGGACGGGTTGCATTAACGATTTGGAAATGATGACGGAAAAGGTTTTGGAAATGGAGAGTGACATTGCATAGCATTGCATTCCATAGCATGGCATAGCTCGTTAGGACTTGGATTATTTGTCATTGATAATATGGTTATATTTTCTCCCCGGAGTTGTATGATCCCGTTCTCTTTTGCTCTATTCATTGCCTGGATTCACGGGGTCACAAGAGGTGTGTCTTAGACACCACCTACTGAGTAATTTGCTCACTCCTTTATTATTAACATTTTTCAGGATACGAAAAAAGAAGTGGCGGAAAACGCTTCTCCACAGGGTTCGATAGGTTAGTGGACTGTTTTGACATATTTTGTTGCTATGATCTCATTTTATTATTATTGCTATTACTATTTTTTTAATAAACCTTGAAATGACACGTATATTATGTATTGATGTAGGAAATGACGATAGTGTTCTTAGTTGACCTTGGGTTCGGATAAGGATCCAGTTAGCAAATGACGATAGTGTTCTTAGTTGACCTTGGGTTCGGATAAGGATCCAGTTAGCGATTCGGACCTTCGGGTTCGGATTGTTACAAAGTCAATGTCTAAAACGTGGCTCTCTCTCATCTCCGGTCATCGATTCTTTCTCCAACTCTGGCGCCAACAGCAACAATCCAAAGTCTAGGGCATTTTCTTCACCAGTAGATGTCGAACTGAAATCAATTAGTATATTACTGTAATGGAGTCCTTGTGTAATACTAGTAATGGTAGAGAAAACAAGTCTCTAGCCCTATTTCCCAATCCCGATTTCTATAATGGTGAGTGTCATATATATACGCATATCCTCCTGTAATGGTCTTCTACTCTGCTGTTTAATTGATATACTAGTATGCTATTATTATTCCAGGTCTGGTTACACAGTTTACAATCCTACTATATACCAACCAATTCTCTACTTTCCCTGGCCTTTTCCCCAAGACACTTGTACTGCTGATGGTGTACATTTGGCTTTTAATCCTTTGAAATCACTTCACTACAAACGTATGAACATTACAAGCTAGAATATCTTATGAATAACATTGATCTCCTTGCTCTACATATGAAAAGGAATTATTTATATACATACACTGTAAAAATATGTGCACCATATCATATACTACTTAAAAGTTTCTAATTTATTTTTTTTTCTTTTTTTTTTTTTCTTTTTTTTTTTGGCTTGCTTATTGAACTATATGACGTAGTTTCTATTGATTTTCAAGTCAATTAGATATACCTTCCGAAAAAAGAAATAAATCAATTAAAAATTACTGTTTTTATATTTTATTGTAAGTAATTAAAAATTACTATTTATTGTAGAAATTGGTTTGCTTTCAATTTAAGGTAGTTTCTATTTAAGTAAAATTAGGTTTTCCTTATACTTTCAATTCAATCAAATACATTAAATAAATAAATAAAAGTAAAAGGAAGAAAAATATCAACTAAAGATTTGTCGTATATTTGTTTACTTGTGTTTCCTAATGAACTAGGTAAAATTGACTGACATAAAGTTTGCTTTCAACTCAAATACTTTTTTTTCACCTATCTTTTTATCCAAATCACATAGAAAAATAGTAAAGGTAAACTCCCTATGCTATTTAATTACTTACTTATATATTAAATATTAAAGAGAATGACAATTATAACATTAAAAATATAAGAATAAAGTATTAAAATTCATTTTAAAGAAATAGGAGAATGGAGCCTGAGTATATTATATCGATAGAGTGCTAATATCAGTTCCTTAATGAATTGACTTTCATTTCATGGAATCATGGGTATCGGTTTATTGAAATTTGAACAACTCCAAAAGAAAGAACAAAAATCCTCAAAAAAAATAAAAACTCAAAAAAACCGATCGAGAACAGAAGAAGAACTACATGAATACGATGTAGATGTAGATGTAGATGTAGATGTATATATATATATATATATATTATTTGCTAATTTTGCTTGCCTCGGCGTTTCAAGCAAACTTTAGTAACCTAATTGCCTTAATTTCGTGGCACATATCTGTGTATATATAAGGAGAGAGGTGGAAAAGGAAAGGGAAAAAATAATAAAAGAAAATGATAAAAAAGGGAAAGAACACATAATCATAATAGGAAGAGAAAACAAACAAACAAACAGAACCTTAGCCAATTTTTTATTTTTTATTTTTTTCCAATCATTCTCTTTAGAAATTAAGAACAAAAGTTGTTCAATTTGACGGAATCTTATAAAGTTTTGAGAATTGAGTGATTTGACTAACCCTAATAACCCATAATTATATGATTTGTTCTTCCTTCTAATTTTGTTTTAGTAAAATGTTTTGTATACATATTTTAATTTTTGTTCACTTGTTTTGAAATGAGGTTATTTTGCGTTTTATTTTTATTTTAATTTCACTCATAATTATATGATTGGTTCTTCCTTCTAATTTTGTTTTAGTAGAATGTTTTGTATACATATTTTAATTTTTGTTGAATTGTTTTAAAGTGAAGTTATTTTGCGTTTGAGGATCTACAACATACTGACCACAGAAATGTACCAATGAAAAATGGACACATCCTATTTTAATTACTAAATCAAATATGGTGGGGAGATACTTAGTTACCAAATCACCAAATCGGATATTGATTTGATTACCATATATGATTTGATAATTAAGATAGGATGTGTCCATTTTTCATTGGTCCACTTCAGTGGTTAGTATGTTATGGTGGGGAGATACTTAGTTACCAAATCACCAAATCGGATATTGATTTGATTACCATATATGATTTGATAATTAAGATAGGATGTGTCCATTTTTCATTGGTCCACTTCAGTGGTTAGTATGTTGTAGATCATCACTAGTGATGAGCTAAGTATTGTCCTAATAATATATTCTGTATAATATATTGTATAAAATAGAGCGTATAGAGTGGTATTCATACATATGGTAAAATAAAAATAAATTATTTATTTCTTGACTTCCTGACTTGGTGATAAGAAGGCTAAAAAAATCTATATTGAGTAAATGATCCTTAGCTGAATAAATTATCTCTTTTGACTAAATTCTCATTAAAAATATAATTAAAAAAAAAAAAAAAAACCCAAAAATAGAGTTATCTTTGTTGAAAAAAATCATCTTTTGGAAGGAAAAAAAAAAGTTATTTATATTGAATAAATTATCTCTTTTAACAAAATAAATAAATTATCTAATTTGACATTAACCAAAAAGAAAGGAGCCAAAAAAATTATCTCTTGAATAAATTATCTATTTTAAACAGACTTAAAAAAAAAAAGTTATTTCTATTGAATAAATTATCCCTTTTAACAAAATAAATAAATTATCTAATTTGACATTAACCAAAAAGAAAGGAGCCAAAAAATTTATCTCTTGAATAAATTATCTATTTTAAACAGACTAAAAAATAAAAAGGACAATAAAAAAAAGGAAAAAAAAAAAGGTTATATCAATTAAATAAATTTTCTCTTTTGACACAGCCGTAAAATTATATATATATATATATATATATATATATATATATGATAAAAAAAATTATATAAATAAAAATACAATTTTTATGTTAAGTTGTTATAATAAGGGGTCATTAGTGTCTTTTCATGCTCATAATGGTATTATGGAAGTTAAAAATATAATGTGTGTCATGTGACCAAACACGGTCACCTTTTTTTTTTTTCTTTTTTTGACCCAGAACTCCCCACGAAGAGGCCGTTACGGACCCCAACACGTAGCACCAAACTGAAGGTGTAGGGTTGCCCCCACCATACACCGGGTGAGTCGAGAGAATCTTAGCAGGGGGGGAAGGCTTGAACTTGGGTCGAGTGATGACCCAAGCCAACACCTTACCATCACTGCTAAGCCCCCGGGTGACGAACATGGTCACTTTGCCCATAAGTCTTGATCGGAGATTCGTTGGATGGAGTTATCTACAATAAAAGTGCATAATATAGGGGTTAGTTGCAACTTTAATAATCTAGGAAGTTTAGTTGCTAATTCACCAATAGTTGAGAGTTTTATTATTATTATTATTTTGCATTTACCCCAGTAAAAATGATAATTCACTTTGTTAAGGTTTTTAAGATCAAGAGTACAACAATAAAATATTGCGCCCCCTTTCTTATTTTTAGATTGTGTTTTATTAGGATTTCACTCTCTTTTCCTGGTTTGGATTGGCTTAGGATTTGCCTTTTTAGTGTTGGCGTCGGTGTTTGACAACCTTCCACAACACAATCGAAAGAAAGAGATTCGGATATATTTTAACCCTACTTCAATTGTTGTGGATTCAATCAGCAAGTTTTGAGAGATCGAAGAAGTTGAATGAATTATGGCTTCTAACATTGAAAGATGCCGCCGGAATGGGAAGACACGGTGGACAAAATCTCCTCGCCCACCGCCACCGCCGCTGCTGAACTAATCGGCGGCAATGAGGACCTGGTGGTGGAGATCCTTCGGCTTCTGCCGGCGAAATCCCTCATTGGAATGACGTCGGTCTCAAAAACATGGTACTCTCTTATCTCCAGTCATCGCTTCTAGGAATTACAGTATCGTTATTCCAAAATCTCCGGCCTTTTTTTCACCTGCCCATCCCCATACCAAACTAATATCAAATATATTCCTCTCATAGACATAAAAGACTCCTCCTGCAACAGTAATATTAATGGTAATGGTGGCAAAAGCCAGTCGTCTCTAGTTCTCGTTCCGGATATGCCTACAACAATCAGACACTCTTGCAACGGTTTTCTAGTCTGCTCTGATTTGCATTCTGGTAATTACGTTTACCATCCTACTACCAAGCAATTCTTTATTATTCCCAGAAGCCTTTTGTTCCGTACTAGTGTTAGTGTTGTTCACCTTCTTCTGTATATGGCTTTTGATCCTGTCAAATCACTTCATTACAAAGTTGTTTTGCTTGACACACCACCAAATTTGGTCAGCAAGTTGTATCAAATATATATATATTCCTCAGCAACCAATGCGTGGCGCAAACCCGTCGGTCATCATGGTCCTTTCTCTGCACCTGTAGGACTGGGCATTAATAATGGAGTCTATTGCAATGGTTCCATCCATTGGTTTTCCTTCTGGCCAGAAGAAAATTCCATATATTTTGATGTTGATCAAGAAAGATTTTTCCCAATGCCATCTCCGCCATATCAGGTTCCTCATAAATTCCGGCATTTTGGGGAGTCTAGAGGTCATTTATATCTTACTGAATATTATGATAGCAAAGATAGCAAATTTAGTGTCCACGTGTCTCAGATGGAAAGTGATTACTCCAAGTGGTCACTGAAGTATCAGGTTGACCTTAACAATATGGTTGATTTTGTGTGGCAGGATATGATTGTGCCCGACTTGGTTTCTGTGCTTAGTTTGATTCATGGAAAAGATGAAGGAGATGTGTTTTTGGTGCTACTTGTAGGCACCAATATGATCATTTCTTACAACGTCAAGCATAACACCTTTAAGAAGCTTCATAATGTAGCACACTCGGATGAGCTTTTGTGGTTTAAAAATTGTGATGTCCATTCAGACACTGAGACACTCTTTCCTATTTGATTGATGGTATGTACATTCTAATTAGGGATGGCAATTTGACCCGCTCCTGCGGTTACTCGCCTCACCCCGCCCCATTTTTGGCGGTTTTGAGGACTGTTTTACTTATTTGGGTGGGGTTGGTTTGATGTAATAAAAACCCGCATATGTTTGGTGCGGGTGAGGGGGTAGGTCGCCCCGCACTGCCCCGCCCCACCCCGTTTAGATAGCAAATTACTTAAATATTCTTATTTCATTAATATATATATATATATATATATATATATATATATATATTTCCCACTATATATTAAGTACCCTGTATAACAATATTAAAGTAACAAATGAATCTTATTAAAAGGAAAGTTGCAATGGCAAAGAATAGAAGATGAGAAGAAAAAAAAATGAGCAAATATATTTCAATAATAAATAAATTATGATCTTAAACGGGACGGGGCGGGGCGGGTACCCGCGAGATAAAAATGTTAAACGGTTATGGGGATGGGATGGAAAGTTCCCCTGTTTTTGCGATTTTGGGTGGGGACGGAGGCGAAATTTTTAAACGGTTGCTGGGGCGGGGGAGGGTACACTCGCCCAAACCCGCCCCCTTTGCCATCCCTAATTCTAATCACTAATTGAGTGGTCATTATTGTAATGTTTTGTAGTTCCAACTTATTCGATGTTGAAATCATTTTTAGTTTACATTATATTTAATAACACTTGATATAACACTTGAGTTGGTTGTGTTGAAAAGTTTCCTGGCCTGCTGATTTTGTTTATTGTGTCTTATGTCCAATTTCATATAATGCATGCCCTAACCGGGGGAAAACACAAAACACTGGAAATGCATAACACTAATTGTTATGGAAAGTACATATTGGAAAGAGAAACAACTTTTTATTACTATTAAAAATAGTTCACAATAAACTTGGATATCATCTTAAATTTGTTTTTTTTTTTTCTACTTTTGATTGATTTCCCACGATTGCATTTTGCCCCAATGGTTAGAAACATCTTACAGCAGTTAAAAGATCACCATTTTTTTGTAGGACTGTTGACGTCAATATAGCTATTAATATCCCAGGGCCTGGTTTCCTGGTTAATGAGATTGTTCGTTTTTCTTTTGTTATAGTTTCAGCCCTTGGCATTTTTTTTACAGGGTGTATGCCTCTCTTTAATACCTATATGTTAATAGGACAGTGGTTAATCAAATTAATGTTAATAGGACAATGGTTAATCAAATTAATCTAACATGCTTACTTTCTAAAAAAAAAAAAAATCAGAAGACACATCTGATCAGGTTAAGGTTCGCCACTTAAGGTGGTTACTCTCTAACCCTAAGTTTTGTTCAAAACTAAGGTCTTGGTTGGATTGTCACTCTTGAAAAGAGTTTTGACAAAAAAACTGATATAAATGTTGCTTAGATCTATTTGTGGAAACACTTTTCAAAAAATTTGAGTTACAAGAGTTGCATTTTTTGAGAACAACACTATGGAAATCTCAGAGTTTTCCAAAAACCAAATTTTGTTATATTGAAAACACGGAGAACCAACTTTCACTAAAAAATTGAGTGTGTGCAACGTCATTTATATCTGTCTCCTTATTCCCCCTCCCTCCCTCTCTCTCTCTCTTCTCACTATCTCTCTTTCTTCCTCATGATTTCTAGGGCCATCATCTTATCTCTCCTTCCCTCTGCTGATTAGCCAGATCCAAAACATCAATCTAACCTCGGAAGTCAGAAGCTCGCTAATGAGAGACCCATCATCATCATCCTGTCTCTCCGCTGAAAATTTTGCTAATGAGAGGCCCTTTTGTTTAGGTAAGACCATCATTCTAATCTCAGAAGTCAGAAGCTTGTTCAGGTTTCACTCTTTATCAAAAGCTTGTTCAGGTTTCATTCTAATCACCCTTTTGATGGTGTCCCATTTAATACAAATGTTAAATGTTGCTCTCTTTATCTGTGCATTATAGTCTCAAATGAATTAAAGTGAGTAAGATCTTAGCTATATATATATATATATATATATATATATATATATATATATATATTTATTATAATCAGAAATACTTATAAAAAATATATATATCTATATATTATAATCAGAAATGGGCATTAGTGCCACCTGATTAATTGTCTAGTGAATCAGCTTCGTCCTCGGCTCAAAATGCATGTTTTAGGTTAAGTGATATTTGTTATGTGGATTGGACGAAACAATATGAGAGAGATTACTTGGAGCATCCTGCCAATATGAACAGATGCACTTATAATATTTATTGAGTCTTCACATAAAACCTTTTGCTGAAACCAGTTCACCTAGTTCTAGAATGGTACATCAGATTTGTAAATTGCCTTGTGAGTGTTTTAGTTGAGTTGTTGGGATTGCCTTTGTATGTTCTTGTCTGCACAGTTGGTAAATTAAGTTTGAGGAGTGAACATATAAAAGATAAAATAGAACCATGTTTTATGTTGTTCTGTGCATGCCATAAATTGATGACGTACTTGGCTGTTGATCGAATCTCTCTCTTTTTCTTATCCCTGTCCCCTTTGTTGTCCCTAACCTCTATTCTATCTTGCATTCTTTAGGCAGTGGTGTTGTTGGCATTGTACTTCCTGAACAAGAAGACAAAGTAGCTGCAATAAAGAAGGGTGAGGGTGTGATGCCATTGCCCTCCCTTTTAGTGTTGTTACATGGTGGTACAACAAAGACACTGAACTTGAGGTCCTCTTCTTGGGTGATACTTTGAAAGCCCACAAAGCTGGTTCACTCGCTCACATATTTCTTTCTGAAGGGAGCAAATGGCATCTTCAGTGGCTTTTCTACCGAGTTTGTGGGCAGAGCATGGCACTTGGATTCTATGTTGCAAAAACCGTTGTTGGAAAGCAATCAGGCAATGACATTATCACCGTCTCTGAAAGCGCTTTAGGATTCCTAAACCAAAGAAGGTTTTATGGATGCCTAAGACTTAATTCAGGTATCCTTAATTATTTATTTTGGTTATGTAGAATTCAACTTAAGATTGTATCTTCGAAAAATTCAAATTTTTTTGTCATCTGAAAACTTGGCTGTAGTTTTCCCAACGAAGCAGAATTCTGAATTTTTGTTCATTAAATACTGTTTTGTAGTTTTTCCAAGCAGATTTTGGACTCAAAATGGAGTGGAACAGAAGAACTAGCAATATGATGATTGTGGAACTGTAAACTCAACTTCTCTCCCTATTTTTCTTTCTCCTAGGCAGTTGTTGATCTTTAATTGTTCCCATCATCGCCTTACTTTTTAAGTATTTTTAAAATCCACTATGTAAAACCATTATTATTTTCATCCTACTTATCATTTGAAAAGAACTGGAATTTGTGTGTTCAAAACAAAAAATAATTTTTTTTTTTAGTTAGTAAACTTAAAAATAGTTAGGTTACTGTAATGCAATGATTCAAATGATAGGATTGCTTTTGTTCTGTTTTTTGTTTTTTTGGGTAAATTTGCTTTTGTTTTGTTGCTTCTCAATGTCCATGAAAAATAACTGTTTTTAGGTCCAAAGTCACTAAATCATAGTTTTTCTTATTCTAGAATTTATAGTTTCCTTATATTTAGCTTCAATAATTTTTCCAATTCATGCATACGAGGATCATTAAACCTGGATTATTCTGTAATTTGGGTTTTCTTTGTTAGTGTATTATTAGGTTTCACTATTTCTGTGTTAGGGATTTATTAGGATTTGGTTGCCTTTGTAGTGATGGCGTAACATTCCATGTCCATAAGTCTGAAGTTGAATATATTATAACTTACTTAAATTGTTGTGGATTCAATCAACCACTAGTGAGAGATCGAAGAAGTTGAATGAATGGTGGCTTCTAACACTAGGCGATGCGGAAATGCGCAGACACCGCCAGACCAAATCTCCTCCACCGCTGAAATCATCAGCGGCAACAAGGACCTGGTGGTGGAGATCCTCCACGAGTTCATTACATTCTCTTTGGTGGTGATTCATTCATGGGACTAGGACTGGGCTTCAGTATTAATGGAGTCTATTGTAATGGTTCCATCCATTGGATATGCCTTTGGAACAAGCTTCGTTATACTTTGATGTTGATAATGAAAGATTGTGTCATCTCCACCATTTCCGAATGTGCCCCATGGCAAATGCCATTTCCGATGTTTACAGGGTGTAGAGGTCAATTGATTCGACGCATCTGAGCTAGAGAGTGATAACTTCAAGTAGTCATTGAAGTATTGGGTTCCCATATTTGATTTGATTTTGTACCATGGGAGATGATTTTCTGCAAAGCAGTGCCTGTGCGTACTTTAATTCACGGGAAAGATGAAGGATAACACCTTTAAGAAGCTTTTTAAGTTATTGGTGTTTAAATATTATCTCGTCCATCGGTACATCGCTACTTTCTTTCCTATTTGATTCATGGTACATTTTTAATCACTCAGGTTGGGTAGTCACTATTTCAGTGTTTTGTGTAGCTTTAACTGCAATCTCGGAGTAGATGATGGTCCGCGAGGTGGTGTCTGCTTGGTTTAATTCATGGAATAGATGAAGAAAATGTGGTTTTGGTTCTACTATTGAGCAATGCCAATAGCAGTCTTATGGTACATTGCATTTGGATGAAGTTGTCAAGAAAATATATTAAATAGGCCATACATATAACATTATGGGATTTTCATGAGTGCCTTGAATTATTGTGATGAGCAAATTAAGTTAAAATAAATAAATAAAACTTCACAATAACAAAAATCTTAATTTTGAAATAATGGACAATCATAAACAAATTTTAATCAAAAGGAAAAGAAAATGGAAAAGTAACCATAAGAGCCGGCAAATCTTACACAAGTGTATGGATTCAATCAACAACAACTAAGATAAATCCAAGAAGAAGTTTAATGAATGGTTTCTAATATTATAATGTGCTTAGAGACATTTGGGCCACATCTCCTCTGTCACCCCCGCTGAAATCAACAAAGAGCCAGTGATAAAAATCCTTCAGCGTCAAGGCGGCTCAGTATAATTTGAGACTTTAAGCGACAAAAAAAATAAAATGGTCTTTTAATAGGGTCTACTCATATGTTAATGCTAACAATATGTTCATTATTTGTTTTGTGATTTTTAAGCGTAGTATTAAAAAAATTTCAATCCCTAGTTCTACCATTAGCTAATTGACTTTGTACTTTTTAGAAGATATATTCAACAATATAAATAAAAATGATGACAACTCACAAACAAAATAAATAATTCTATGATAACAAAATTTAATAAAACTATAAACTAATTGAAGTTATAGAATAATAGAAACTGATTTTGAAGAATTTGGTCCAATGCTCCAAAAAATTCTTTAATAAAATAAAAGTTCATTCAAAGCCTTGTGACGAAGTGAGGTTGTAAATTGTAGGAGTGGAGAAGATGAAAATAAAATAATATATATTATAATGAGAGGAGAAAAAAAAATGTGAGAAAAAAAAAAAAAAAAAAAAAAAAAAAAAAAAAAAGAGAAAACAAAAATTAATACGTTTCTTAAAAAAATATAGAAAATTTCACAAGTCCCACCATAATGAATAATATTTATAGTTGGTGTAATGATAACATGGGCTATTATATATGTAATATAAATATAGAAATAGAATATAGAAATATTTTGGGTCTAATATTAAATTTCTCTATTAATTGGGGTTTAATAATAGAAGAAAATAAAATTTTTGGATAACTTATAATATATAAGGAAAAAAATTTGGAGCCCTAAGAAGGTGATAAATAATAAAAATCTTTTAGATCACTGTCAAATTCCTTTATTTGTTGATATTTAATAATTAACATAATTATTTGAAGAAAGTTATAATATATAAAGTAATAAAAAATTATGAGACTTTCTTATTGGTTAAGGCTTTAGACGACCGCCTAACTCACCTAAAACTTCAGCCGGCGACATTGGCTACATATTACTAGGGTTGCTAAAATGAAATATTGTGAACAATTACCACACTACTAGACTCCTATTTAAGGGCGTTAAGTTTCATTCAACCTTGAATTAGGTGTTAGTTGAATAAAATTGAAAATTGTAACAGTGATTTAAAATTTTTAAGTAATAATTAAAAAATAAATATTTTTTTATATTTTTATTACTCATATCCCTCTCATTTAATAATTTATCCCATTTAAAATGATGTTTACCATTTTCGATAATATTCATATTATAGGACTTTGTAACCTAACACACTTTCTAAACTTTTAAAATAAAAGGTTCAGAATTCAACTTTTTTTATTTTTATTTTTTATTTTTTTATTCAGTGTGTGTGTTTTTATTAAGACAATGTGTGGTGTTATCAATAATATGTACATCTTTTTTAAAATAAAAATGCATACCGGCCAGAGTGGGCGGGCTTACGGGCTGTACCGCGCACCAAAATCTGTCCCACCATATCATAGGGACCGAACCAGCCCTCTACAAGCTCGGGCCATGGGCCATTTTTGCACCCTTGCTCTTATCTTTGCAAGGAACTTCTAAAAGGGTAAGAGAGTCATTGTAGGAGAATGGACTTTGGAGCTCTATGTAATTCAGGGTTTCTTGTAAGTCTTCAGTCACCTCCAATTGTATTGTTGTGGATGCAATCAATCAACAAGCAGTGAGAGAAGAAGTTGAATGTCTGGCCGGTATGAGCGGAGACCGTCGGGCCAATTCGCCGCCGCCGAAATCATCGGCGGCAACAACGATCTGGTGGTTGAGATCTTCCAGTGTCTGCCGGCGAAATCTTTGATTCGATTCAAGTCGGTCTCTAAAACATGGCACTCTCTCATCTCCGATCGCCGCTTCTCTCTGCTCTGGCAACAGCGCCGACGAAGTCCCAAAATCTCCGGCCTTTTCTTCAGCTGTAGATTTGCAACTCAAATAAAATATATTCCAACCGTGGACATCCACTCCAAAAACAAGTCTCTAGCCCTATTTCCCGATTTCTCTAGTGTTGGCAATACTTGGCAAACTACCATCATAGACTCCTGTAATGGTTTTCTACTCTGTTCTTCAGCAAACAACTTGTGTAGCAGAAAAAGTTACCACGTTTACAATCCTACTACCAAACAATTTTCTACTCTTCCATGGCCTTTTCCCTACTACACTAATCCTTCTGACCCTCTATATTTGGCTTTTAATCCTTTGAAATCACATCACTACAAAGTTGTCTTGCTTTACACACTAGTTAATGTTAATGTTGGATGCTGGTATCACATATATATTTATTCGTCAGAAACCAATGGGTGGTGGAGTCCCTTGGCATGCGCTGATGTTTTTTGGGGACTAGGACTAGGACTGGACTTGACGGCAAATGGAGTCTATTGTAATGGTTCCATCCATTGGATTTCCAAACCTGGGACTAATTATTCGTTGTACTTTGATGTTGATAATCAAAGATTGTGCCCAATGCCATCTCCACCATTTCCGACTGTGCCCGATGGCCAATGCCATTTCCGGCAATTATCCGAGTGTAGAGGTCATTTGCATCTTACTGAGTACGGTGATTATGATATCAGATTTATTATCGACGTCTCTGAGCTGGAAAGTGATTATTCCCAATGGTCATTGAAATATCGGGTTCCCATGTTTGATTTTGTACCGCATGAGATGATTGTCCGTTATGCGGGGTCTGTGCTTGCTTTAATTCACGGGGAAGATGAAGGAGATTTGTCTCTGGTGTTATTTGTAGACACCAATATTATCATTTCCTACAACATTAAGAATAACACCTTTAAGGAGCTTCATGGTGTATCACAACATCCTGATTCTTGTTCGTTTAACTTTTCGTGGTTGAAATCCTATCCTGTCCATCGCTACATTGAGACCCTCTTTCATGTTTGATTCATGGTGCATTTTTAATTAGTTGGGTTGGATAGTCAGTATTTAGTAGTTTAGTTTCAATCTAGAAATCTATTTAGTTTACATTATATTTAATAATACCCAAGTTTGCTGGCTTGGAAAGTTTCCTGTCCTACTGATTTTGTTTATTGCATCTCATGTCCAATTTCACAAAATGCATACCCTTAATGGCTGCTCTTAGTTTTGGAACTGGTTTGCATAACACTAATTGTTATGAGAAGAAAATATTGAAAGATACCAACCATATTTCACAACAAGTTGAGATAATCTTAAATATTGTTTTGTTGTTGTTGTACTTCAATTAATTTCCACCGATTGCCTTGTGCCCCAACGGTTAGCGAGCATGGCATCCTACAGCAGTTAAAAGATCACTAGCTATGCTTTTGTAGGGTTGTTGATATCACTGTTGCCTTTAGTGCCCTCTGGTTGTTTGTCATTGGTCCGGACAGTTATGTTATATTTTTACATAATATTTGAATAGTAATACTATATATATATATATATATATATACGGTACACTTGGACCATTTTGAACAACAAAAGATTGGCTTTTGAGAGGCTGAGGTGGCCTTGAAATTTCTGGCACGGAGAGTTGAGCAACCAAAACCATTGTTCCGTACTAGTGTTAGTGTTGTTCACAGAAGCCTTTTGTTCCGTACTAGTGTTAGTGTTGTTCACCTTCTTCTGTATATGGCTTTTGATCCTCTCAAATCACTTCATTACAAAGTTGTTTTACTTGACACACCACCAAATTTGGTCAGCAAGTTGTATCAAATATATATATATATTCCTCAGCAACCAATGCGTGGCGCAAACCCGTCGGTCATCATGGTCCTTTCTCTGCACCTGTAGGACTGGACATTAATAATGGAGTCTATTGCAATGGTTCCATCCATTGGTTTTCCTGCTGGCCAGAAGAAAATTCCATATATTTTGATGTTGATCAAGAAAGATTTTTCCCAATGCCATCTCCTCCATATCAGGTTCCTCATAAATTCCGGCATTTTGGGGAGTCTAGAGGTCATTTATATCTTACTGAGTATTATGATAGCAAAGATAGCAAATTTAGTGTCCACGTGTCTCAGATGGAAAGTGATTACTCCAAGTAGTCACTGAAGTATCAGGTTGACCTTAACAATATGGTTGACTTTGTGTGGCAGGATATGATTGTGCCCGACGAGGTTTCTGTGCTTCGTTTGATTCATGGAAAAGATGAAGGAGATGTGTTTATGGTGCTACTTGTAGGCACCAGTATGATCATTTCTTACAACGTCAAGCACGACACCTTTAAGAAGCTTCATAATGTAGCCCACCACGATGAGCTTTTGTGGTTTAAAAATTGTGATGTCCATTCATACATTGAGACACTCTTTCCTATTTGATTCATGGTATGGTATGTACATTCTAATCACTAATTGAGTGGTGGTCATTATTGTAATGTTTTGTGGTTCCAACTTATTCAATGTTGAAATCTTTTAGTTTACATTATATTTAATAACACTTGAGTTGGTTGTGTTGAAAAGTTTCCTGCCCTGCTGATTTTGTTTATTGTGCCTTATGTCCAATTTCATATAATGCATGCCCTAACCGGGGAAAAACACAATACACTGGAAATGCATATTGGAAAGAGAAACAACTTTTTATTACTATGAAAAACAGTTCACAATAAAGTTGGAGATCATCTTAAATTTGTTTTTTCCTACTTTTGATTGATTTCCCACGATTGCATTTTACCCCAATGGTTAGAAAGATTCTACATCAGTTAAAAGATCACCAACTATGTAAATATGTTTTTGTATGACTGTTGACGTCAATATAGCTATTAATTTCCCAAGGTCTGGTTTCTTGGTTAATGAGATTGTTCGTTTCTTTTGTTATAGTTTCAGCCCTTGGCATTTTTTTTACAGGGTGTATGCTTCTCTTTAATATGTATATGTTAATAGGACAATTGTTAATCAAATTAATCTAACATGCTTACTTTCTAAAAAAATAGAAAATAAAATAAATCAGAAGACATATCTGATCAGGGTAAGGTTCACCACTTAAGGTGGTTACCCTCTAACCCTAAGTTATGTTCAAAACTAAGGTCTTGGTTGGATTGTCACTCTTGAAAAGAGTTTTGACAAAAAAACTGATATAAAGGTTGCTTGGATCTATTTGTGGAAACACTTTTCAAAAAAATTGAGTAACGAGAGTTGCCTTTTTTGAGAACTACACTATGGAAATCTCAGAGTTTTCCGAAATCCAAATTCTGTTATATTGAAAACACAGAGAACCAACTTTCATTAAAAAATTGACAGTGTGCAACGTCATTTATATCTGTCTCCTTATCCCCCCTCCCTCCCTTTCTCTCTCTCTTCTCACTATCTCCCTTTCTTGCTCATGATTTCTAGGGCCATCACCTTGTTCTCCTTCCCTCTGCTGATTTGCCAGATCCCAAAACATCAATCTAACCTCGGAAGTCAGAAGCTTGCTAATGAGAGCCCCATCATCATCATCTTGTCTCTCCGCTGAAATTTTTGTTAATGAGAGGCCCTTTTGTTTAGGTGAGACCATCAATCTAAGCTCAGAAGTCAGAAGCTTGTTCAGGTCTCTCTGCCGCGCATGTACTGTAAGATTCGTACTTTATTCTCACATCCATGAAGAATATTATATGTTATCAATCCGATATCAATTTGATTTGCTGCATTTTATTTCTGTCTCGTAATTCCGATTTGGGTTGAGGTTGATTAATTTGCTGAGAAGAGCATTCATTTTTTTTTTTTTTAATTGCTCTATCTGGTTGTGGCGGGATTGTTCTCTTAGTCTTAGAGTATGCAAGAGGCCACTTATACTCACTTAAATTCTACTATATACTTAGATCTATATAGCCCATATTGAGGTTTGCTGATTTTTCTACTTTTATTTCTAAAGCTTCAGCTGCATTTTTTAATGGAATCCATTCATGTACCTGGTTTTCTGAGTGTTTTGGTTGAGTTGTTGGGATTGTCTTTGTATTCTCGTCTGCACGGTTGTTAAATTAAGTTTGAGGAGTGATATGAATTGATGAAGTACTTGGCTGTTGATTCGAATCTCTCTTTTTCTTATCCATGTCCCCTGTGTTCCGCCTAACCTCTATTCTATCTTTGCATTCTTTAGGCAGTGGTGTTGTTGGCATTCTACTTCCTGAAGAAGAAAGAGAAAGTAGCCGCAATAAAGAAGGGTGACGTGTTGCCATTGCCCTCTCTTTTAGTGTTGTTACATGGTGGTACAACAAAGACACTGAACATGTACTTGTGGTCCTCTTCTTGGGTGATACTTTGAAAGCCCACAAAGCTGGTTCGCTCGCTCACATATTTCTTTCTGAAGGGAGCAAATGGCATCTTCAGTGGCTTTTCTACCGAGTTTGTGGGCTGAGTATGGCACTTGGATTCTGTGTTGTAAAAACCTCGGTGGAAAGCAATCAGGCAATGGCATTATCACCGTCCCTGAAAGCACTTTAGGATGCCTAAACCAAAGAAGGTTTTATGGATGCCTGAGACTTAATTCAGGTATCCTTAATTATTTATTTTGGTTTTGTAGAATTCAACTTAAGATTGTATCTTTGAAAAATTCAGTTTGTTTTTTTTTTGTTATCTGAAAACTCGGCTGTAGTTTTTCCAACCAAGCAGAATTCTGAGTATTTGTTCATTAATTACTGTTTTGTAGTTTTTCCAGCCAGGAAAATTTCGGACTCAAATACTAGGCAGTCGTTGATCTTCAATTGTTCCCACCTTAATAACACATCGGGGAAGACCCAAACAATTCACAAAAATCCAACTATTTTCTTACCATTCCTATTAGTTTTTAAGTATTATTAAAATCCACTATGTAAAAATATCATTATTTTCATCGGACTGGACTTAACATAGTTTTTGTCATTTGAAAAGAATTGGAATTTGTGTGTTCAAAAAAAAAAAAAAAAATTATAATTTAGTTAGTAAACCGCCCATAAGTTCATGGATCAAAATCATAAGACCCCGATTACTTTTAAATTTTGATCGTAAAATTCGAATCTTTTTCAGAAAATTCGCACACTTCTATAAAGTGATAACATTGCCCAATATTGGTATTATGAAATGTCAAATTTAATTTTATTATTTAAGATTAAATTAATTTTTTTTTATAAATATGAAACTTTCACCCCTCTCTGTCTCTTTCAAACATAATTGTATTAATTTTAAAAGGTATTTTTTAAATTTTAAAAAATAATTTTTAATTTTTAATTTAAGAGTTAAGTGCAAAAAAATCCTTCATAATATACAAAATGTGCAATTACCCTCCTATTGTTCGGAAAACCCTATACTTTTTCGATTTGTGCAAATAAGGACAAAACATAATTTTGACAGTAAAATTGCTAAATTAACCTTACTTTATCGTTAAAGAAATGAAAAAAACAAAAACGGCAAAAGACAAAATGTCAAAATTATCCTTAAATTCATATATGATTTTATTTCCATAGCTTAACAATACTCTATATAATTAAATACACACACACAAATACAGTCTCTCTTCAATATCTCTCTTCAATCTCAATTCACATGTCTTACATCTTCTTTATATATGTACACTTTATTCAAGCACCCACCAACCTTATCCTTTTTATTTCATAGCCATAAATAAATCCAACTATTTATAAAAATTTGAGACGCACAAAGTTAAATTTTGAATAAAGAATACGTAGGTTTAAAAATTTGCAAATAAAAAATAAACAAGTTCACACAAATGAAAATACTCATAGAATTGAGCCAAAGCTCCAAATATTGCTTTGACGTGGCATCCTTTGAATACAAAAAGTAATTTTTTTTTATCTAATTTTCTCTCTATTTCTCATATATCCTTTTTTTCAATGATTTTTATCTATTTATTCCGAAAACTTGAAACTAGTTCTTAATTTTTTCTCTTGATCTTTTTGAAGAGATTGGAATTGGATTGCTGATTTTTTAGAGTGGGTTATGCTCTGTGTTGATACTATGAAATTTCTTGGGACTTGCTCTGTTTTAGAGAGAGAAAAGAAATTTAGAGAGAGATTACACATAGAAATTTTAGAGAGAGAAAAAAAATATATTAGAGATATATATTTATATTTTCTTATAGAAGAGAGTTATAGGAATTGAAGGAAAATATATAAAATTAGAAAAGAATATTTGCAAGAAAGATTATGTTTCTATATATATATATATATATATATATATATATATATATATATAATATTCTAAAAAATTAAAAATGATGTACAGATTCGAGAATCTCATTTGCCAAACCAAATAAAATATAGTATTATAAAAATAAAATAAAAAATAAAAAGAATGTCTTCTTGGTAACAAGGTTGCTAAACGGGCAACATAGAGATATTTTAGAGACAGAAAAAAAGATTAGAGAGAGATTTTCATGGTTTTCAAGTACATCCCAACAAACTCATTCACTTTTCAAATATATAAAAAATTGGCAGGGCATTCTTGTTACACAAAAATGGTACTTTTGGAATTTTTTTTTAAAATTACATCACCAACCGCTATTTTTCAACCGATTTATTCAATATGGGCAATTTTATCAAAAGATAGATAATACAAGGAGTTGTATGCATTTCTTTTGCGTTTTTTTTCCCTTCTAATAAGGATGTGTTTTGCACATTATTTACATAGTGAAGGGTTTTTTTTTTTTTTGCACTTAACCTTTAATTTAACATTGAATAGTAAGGTAAAATGTGTTATTTCATAGCTCAATTAACAGATCGGATACGAATTTTGGGAGAATATGATTACTTTTTAAAAGTATAAAAATTTTCTTAAAACAAGTTGAAATTTTGTGATCAATATTTGAATGTAATAGAAGTTTTATGATTTTAACCTTAATTTTATTGGATATTTCAGGGTGCAGAGGGTTGCATACTTTGTTACTTCTATTAGCCTTGGTAGACTTAATTGTGGAAGGGTAATTGTACTTTTGGAATTTTTTTTTTTTTTAAATTACATCACTAACTTATTCAATAGGGACAATTTGCTCAAAAGATAGATAATAATACATGGAGTTATATGCATATTTTTTTCTTTTTATTTTTATTTTAATAAGGGTGTTTTTGCACATTATTTATATAGTAAAGGTTTTTTTGCACTTAACCCTTAATTTAATTTAGTAAGGTTAAATGTGTCATTTTATACCCTAGATCGAATATGAATATTGGGACAATATGATCACTTGTTAAAAGCATAGGAATTTTTTTGAGAGAAGTTGAAGTTTTATGATCAATATTTGTAAATAATAGGAGTTTTATAATTTTAACCCTATTCTATCTATGCCAGGATTATCTAAATTGTGGAAGGGTAATACTGTCATTTTATTCTAAGTAGAATAATTCTGTAATTTAGGTTTTCCTTTAACAAATAACAAGTCCTTCGTTTGACCTACGAACTTTGACAAGTTGAATGGCGTCTAACATTCAACGGCGCCCCAATGCGTCCGACCATATCACCGCCGCCTCTGAAATTATCGGCGGCAACGAGGAGCTGGTAGTAGAGATCCTTCAGCGTCTGCCGGCGAAATCCTTGATTCGATTGAAGTCGGTCTCTAAAACATGGCTCTCTCTCATCTCCAGTCGTCGCTTCTCTCTCCTCCTCTGGCAACAACAGAACCGACGACGGCGACATCCCAAAATCTCCGGCCTTTTCTGCAGCTGTGGATATGTAGGTGAAATCGATTATATTCCAACCATGGACTCCGAAAACAAGAAGTCTCTAACCCAATTTCCGGATTTCTCAAGTGGTGAGTCTGGTGAATGGCATACTAAAATCATAGACTCGTGTAGTGGTCTACTACTGATATGCTGTTTATGTTTAGCTAAGCCAGGCTATGATTCTTACCACGTTTACAATCCTACTACCAAGCAATTCTCTACTCTTCCCCGCCCTTTTCCCCAAAGTTGTCTTACTCGCAGTTTGAATTTGGCTTTTGATCCTTTGAAATCACTTCACTACAAAGTTGTTTTGCTTCAGTCACAAAATAAGGTGGAAACAAGCTTGTATATTTATTCGTCAGAAACAAATGCGTGGTCGAGTCCCTTTGCTGATCCTTTCTCGGAACTAGACCGGGACGTGGACGGAGTTTATTGTAATGGTTCCATCCATTGGATTTCCTTGCGTCCGAATGAAGCTTCGTTCTACTTTGATGTTGATAAAGAAATATTGTGCCCAATGCCATCTCCACAATGTCCCGGTCGTTGTATGCACCAGCATTTTGGGGAGTCTCGAGGTCATTTGCATTTTCTTTCTTATCATCCCAATGCTGGTTTCAAAGTCTCTGTCTCTGAGATGGAAAGAGATTACTCAAAGTGGTCATTGAAGTATCGGGTTAACCTTGAGGTCATGGTCGATTTTGTATCGCGGGATATGATTGTTCAAGGTGCACTGTCTGTGATCAGTTTAATTCATGGAGAATATGGAGATTGCCTAGCTTTCCATGGGGAAAAGAAGAAAGAAAAAAAAGATTTGTTTCTGCTGCTATTTCTAGGCGCCAATATGATCATCTCCTACAATATCAAGGATAACACCTTTAAGAAGCTTCATGATGTAGTACCCGGTCCTCATTCTAATGCGGATGAGCTTTTGGGGTTATTAAGTTGTCATGTTCATCCATACATCGAGACACTCTTTCCTGTTTGATTCATGGTAAGTGAATTTTAATCTCTATTTCAATGTTTTGTAGTATCAACTTCAATCTATCCAGTTTTCATTATATCTAGTAATACTGAAGTTGGTTAACTTGAAAAGTTTACTTTCCTACTGATTTTGTTTATTGTGTCTTCATGTCCAATTTCATATAATTATAATGCACCCCCTTAGTGGGGATAAAAACACAATACAATGGAAATGCATAACACTATATAGTTATGAAAAGTTAATATTGGAAAGAGAAACAACTTCTTATTACCATGAAACATATTTCACAATAAAGTTGGAGATCATCTCAAATATGTTTTATATACTTTAATTGATTCCCCACAATTTTGCCCCAAGGGTTAGCAAAAGGGCCTGGTTTTCAGGTTAATAAGGTTGTTCTTTTTCTTTTGTTGCAGTGGCATAATTGTACAGGAGAGGGGTACGCCCTCTTTAATCTGTTTGTATTTTTACTACAATTGCTAATATTCTAACATGCTTACTTTCCAAAAATAAATAAATAAATAAAATTCTAAATTTGCTTTTTAATCCTTTGAAATCACGTCACCACAAAGTTGCTTTGTTTCAGAGATTACAAAATAAGGTGCCCAGCGGCTACTTGTATCAAATACATATTTATTCATCAGAAACCAATGCTTGGAGGCCCTCCGGTGATCCTTTCTTGGAAACAACAGTGGACTTCTATGACAGAGTTGATTGCAATGGTTCCATCCATTGGATTTCCTTCCACTCAGAAGAACCTTCTTTATAGTTTGATGTTGATCAAGAAAGATTGTGCACGATGCCATCTCCACCGAATCATTATCAATTTCAACATCATTTTGGACAGTCTCGAGGTCATTTGCATCTTGTTGCTTGGGGTTGTAATTTCAGTTATAATGTTGATGTGTTGGAGATGGAAAGAGATTACTCTAGGTGGTTCTTAAAGTATTGCGTTAACCTTAGGCTCCTGGCTGGTCCTAAATCTCAAAACATGATTGTCAGCAATGGATTGTTCTTTGTGCTTAGTTTGATTGATGGAGAGTCTTTGGTACTATATCTAGACAGCCATATAATCATCTCCTACAACGTTAAGGATAAAACTTTCAAGAAACTTGGAGATTTAGCCCATCATTCTACCCGAGAGTTTTCAATAAATGGAAACTATCGTGTCCATAGATACATCGAGTCAGTCTTTCCTGTTTAAAGGTATTTTTAATCACTGTGAAGGCAGTTATTGTTTTGTAGTTTCAACCTCAATCTTCAAATCTGTCTACTTTACATTGTACTAGTAGATTGTCCTGGTTCGGATAAGATTTTGTGGGTTTAGACACTGGAAAGTCCATCCATACACGGAGACACTTTTTTCCATTTGATTCTAGGTACATTTGAATCACTAGTTGAATGGTCAATGTTTTTTTAGTTTTAGCTGACTCAATCTTGAAATCTATCTAGTTTACAGGAAAATTTTCTGTCCTACTATTGCGTCTTTGGAACACAATGCGCATATCAATAAAGTTGGAGATGATCATATACTTTAATTGCCTTGTGGCCAAAGGTTACACAGTCCCTTATGAGTTGTGACTTATAACATTAAAAGTTGCCACCAGAATGTGCAGAGACTGTCGGCCGGGCAGCCAAATCTCTCTCTGCCGCCGCTGCTGAAATCATCGGGCAGCAATGAGGACCAGGTGGCGGATATCCTTCTTCGTCTGCCACTGAAATCCCTGTTTGATTCAAGTCAGAGTCTCTCGAACATGGCTCTCTCTCGTCTTCCGATTTGATTCAAGTCAGAGTCTCTCGAACATGGCTCTCTCTCATCTTCCGGCAATTATAGACATCCCAAAATCTCTGGTCTTTTCTTCAGCTGTAGTGTATCCCCAACTGAAATCAAATACATTCCTCTTCCAGTCTTCTTCCGGTAATTGCATTCATGGTGCACGAAACCAGTCTTTAAGGGCTGTAGCTCTCTCCCAATATTCATTATATAGAATCATTAATTCCTGTAATGGTTTTCTACTATGTGGTTTTAAGTAAAGCAAGGCTTCTATCCTACCACCAACCAACCAATTCACTGGCCTTTTCACTCACATTAAGAGCTCCTCTCATTACTTTCGAAGGAAGACGGGATAACCATGTCGACGTTTTGCTGCCGGAAAATATCTAAAAACGAGAAGTAGAGGGTAACAGACAGACTCATGTAGAGAATAAAATATATTTCTTTTTTCACTGATATGTGACCATATATATAATGTTTGAGTTGTAACATCTAATTGTCAAATAATGATCGAATTAACAGACAATATGGGTAATAAAAAGGGAAGGCACTCCATTTTTTATACTATTGTACTACACTTTTAAAGGATTGACACTTCTAATCCTCATTTTATAAGTGAATAATTTTTATTTCTCAAATACCCTTCCAAAGATGTGATTTTTTCACTGTTAATAAAATCTATTGTTTGTACTGCAAATTAGTATGGACAATCATGTACAGAAGATGAAAACGAGACAATGCATTCTATCCTCCTCATATTCTAGCCCGCCTCAAAATTATTTGAGCGCCACTCATATTTTAATTTGATATTTATCAATTAAGGTCGATATGAGTACCCAATGCATTGTAAGAAAGGGCTCAAAGTCTAGAAAGCACTTCAATCAACAAGCACCAAAGCAGTATGCATTGAATCAAAACGTGTTTGTCTACTTTTAATTTTAACATTGTATGGCTTTGGGCTACAATGTTCACAATTATATTTAATCCTTCACTCATTGAAGGATCAAAACTGCGCTTTCTATATTTCGAAACCATGAATGGAAGTTTGTTTCCTTAAAACATGTACACAATTGATATAAATAAGAGTGAAAATTTATATATATATATATACTTGTCAAATTGATAAAAAATAATAATAATAATAATATATATTCTACTGCATCTTGAATTCCTTTGATCCTTGATTAATTTTATTTTTGATGCAACTATTTATTCTAAATTTCGTTTTTTTGCGGGAGGAGGAGGAGGAAAAAATAAATAAATAAATGAAAAAAGGTTAAAATTTATAGCAAAAATAGTATTTCCTGATTGAGAAATGATAGATCTTTCGATTTCAGTTACTGATTACTCCTCCGAATCCGAATATAACGTGGTTGTGAATAAGTCGAAAAGAAAGATATATTTACGAAATTTTTTTAAAAAATTCTAATAAAATTCAACCACTTTACATTCGTAGAAAGAATCGACAATTAACATCGAAAGACCTATTATTTTTCTTCAGGATTTTATTAGAATTTGGTAACCACATAAATAACTAGCGACAGAGACGGAAGAAGTAATTGAAAGAATGGGTAGTGACATGAAAAGGTGCCGCCAGAGACCGTCGTCCGGCCAAATCTCCTCCGCCGCTGAAATCATCGGCCGCAACGAGGATCTGGTGGCAGAGATCCTTAAGCGCCTACCGGCGAAATTCCTCACTGGATTGAAGTCAGTCTCAAAAACATGGGGCTGTCTCCTCTCCAGTCGTGGCTTCTCTCTCCTCTGGCAATCAGAGCACTCACAACCACATCCCAAAATCTCAGGTCTTTTCTTCAGCTCTAAATGCCGAACTGAAATCAAATACATTCCTCTCAATGTCAATATTGATGATGATGGTAATTGTATTAATGGTGGAGGAGGACAAAAAACAAGTCTTTTTCAACAACTCTCTTACCCAATATGCATACTACAATCATAGATTCCTGTAATGGTTTTCTTCTCTGCGGTTCAACGCCTAGGTTTAGATTGGAGTCTATGTTTAACGTTTACAATCCTACTACCAACCAATTCTCTACTCTTCCTTGGCCTTTCCTCAACCCTAGAACTTACCCTGCTCATCCTCGAAATTGGAAACTTCCTTTTCCTTTGACAACACTAAATTTGGCTTTTAACCCTTTGAATTCACTTCATTTCATTACAATGTTGTTTCGCTGTCCCTTAACGTTGTTCGCAAAAACTCTCATCAGATACATATTTATTCGTCAGAAACCAATAAGTGGAGACTCGTTGGTGATTGTTTCTCGGGACTGACAGTAGACTGGTGTAATTCAGTTTATTGCAATGGTTCGATGCATTGACTTTCCTGGTACACAGCTCAACCTTCCAGATACTTCCGTGTTGATGAAGAAAGGTTGTGCTATACTGAGTGCTATGACAGATTTGGTGTGGTTGTCTCCGAGATGGAAAGTGATTACTCCAAGTGGTCATTGAAGTATCGGGTGGCACCATGGTTGATTTTGTATCACAGAAGATGATTTTGCTGAGTGAGGAGGTGTCTTTTGTTCGTTTGATTCATGGAGAAGATGAAGGAGATGTGCTTTTAGTTCTATTTATAGGCACCAATATGATCATATCTTACAACCTGAAGGATAAAACCTTTAAGAAGATTCATGGTGTAGCAAGCAGATGTGAGATTACGTGGTTTAAAGATTGTTATGTCTATCCATACATTGAGACACTCATTTCTATTTGATTGGGTGGTCACTATTTCAATGCTTCAGTAGTTTCAACTTATTCATTCTCAAAATCGATCTAATTTCCATTATATATAATAATAATAATACTCTAAGTTGGTTTTGGCTTCAAAAGTTTCATGTCCTACTGATTTTGTTTATTGTGTTTTATGTCGAATTGCATATAACATCCTACAACACTAAATATTAAAATTTTAGAAGGGCGCGAGAAACAGAAACTTATAATCTGGTTTAGGACAATAAAAATAAAAAAATAAAAAATTTGACATTTGTAATTATCATAGTGGAAATAAATTTTGAATTGGCCCATTGGGGGAATCCATTGAGCAGTGTGAGAAGAAGATTTAAGGTGAAGTTGCATGAGTTAGATCGAAAGTATCACTGCAAATATTTGTTCACTTCTTCTACTGCAGTATTCTCCACTTTTGGTGCTATTGTTTGCACTATGAATGATGATTTCTACGGCTGAGAAATGGAAATACGAATGTCGAAATTGTAATCAAAAGCACAATTCTCTCAGGTCAATCCATATGGACTAACAGTATCTAGAAAATAAATTAATTAGGGCCATACATATTACATTATGGGTACTGCTCTGCTTTTCAATTAAGATGGACCACGTTAGTATTGGTATTTCCAGGTGTTATCACGTTTACAATCCTACTACCAAGCAATTCTCTGCTCTTCATTGGCCTTTTCCCCAAACTTGTCATGTTCACCTTCTTCTATATTTGGCTTTTGATCCTTTGAAATCACTTCACTACAAAGTTGTTTACCTTCACAAACTAAAAGGTCGCGCGTAAGGAGGACTACTTGTATCAAATACATATTTATTCGTCCGAAACCAATGCCTGGAAACCCTCTAGAAATCCTTTCTTGTCACCGGTGTATTTCAATGCTACTTATGGAGTCTTTTCCAATGGTTCCATCCATTGAATATCCTACTATGAAAGTGTTTCTTCATTCTTTGATGTTGATCAAGAAAGATTGTGCCCAATGCCATTTCCATCATTTTCGCATCGTTATAAGTTTCACCATTTTGGGGAGTCTGGAGATCATTTGCATCTTGTTGAGTATATCTCTAATTATAGTTTCAGATTCGATGTATTTGAGATGGAAACAGATAGACTCCAAGTGGTTCTTAAAGTATAGCGTTGATCAGTTTAAAAAGATGAAGATGATTCCACGTCATTGGTGCTATACATAGGCAGCGGTTTAATCATCTCCTACAACATTAACGATCCCACTTTCAAGAAGCTTGGAGATTTAGCCAACCATGGTTGTTCTTCTTCTTTGTCAGAGCGTTCGATGCATGGACACTTTCGTGTCCATAACTACATCCAGACACTCTTTCCATTTTGAAGGTATTTTTAATCACTTGGGTGGTCAATGTTTTGTATTTCAACCTCCATCTAGTTTACAATTTATTGTTGCAGGGGATTACCTTCTATTTAAGTGAAAGAAGTGGGCTGGAGCCTATTTAAGTATCTAGCTTATGTTACTTGATATCATCTCTAAACTTGTTTTCATCCACTTTGTTGGGGTATGGTTTAAATTCTTCATACTTCAATTGCCTTGTGTAGCCTATTTAAGAAAATGACAGTACTAGATAATAATTTATAGTTTTAATTCAAAGATATTATACCATATTTAATTTCTTCCAGAAAATGAAAGAAAAATAAAATCATTGAGCAATGCCATTAGCAATTTATGATACATTACATTTGCAAGAAAATAAGTAGTCAAAATCTTTTGGGACTCAATTCACCAAACAACATGATATAATAACTTTGTAACACTGCTACTATTATATATGATAACAGAATATATAAACAAACATCTGCTTTCTATTAATAGCTTCTCTACAGCGCTCAGCAAACATATACATATATTTGCTTACAGAGATCAAAACACGGTGGAACAGAAAAACTAGGAATATGATGATTGTGGAGCTGTAAACCTCAACTTTTCTCGTCGTCTTTGTTCTTCTCCTTTGCTGTCATTGCTTGTTTCAACCATCTTCTTACCATTCCTACATACTAATCTCATATTAATCCTTCTTTACCCTCCTAAGCTCATTCTTTCCTCGTTCCAGTGTATCAGCATTAGTAACATATTTGAATTTTCCCCAAATTTCGAGCTTCAATCCCATCAACTAGTGAATTTTCCTCTTTCCAATCTTTTGATTATCTAATTATTGTACTGGAAATAAAACTTTAACTGGGCCATTGGATGAATCCATTGAGCAGTGCGAGAGGAAGATTTAAAGGGAACTTGCATGAGTCTGCAAATATTTGGTTCCCAAATACTACTGCACTCTCCACTGATGCTGCTATTATTTACACAATTCTCTCTTTCTACAACTGGCAAAATAAAATCAAAAGCACAATTCCCTCTGGTCTATCATATCCATATGGACATCATCAGAGTCTAGAAAACATATTAATTAGGCCATATAATACAGGGTTTTCAGAACTCCCTTCAATTCTTGTGATAAGCTACGCAAATCAAAGTTAAGAAATATAAACAAACAAACTTCACAATAACAAAAATCTTTTGAAATCATGGAGAATCACAAATCTTAGGCAACCAACAAAATTCTTTTCACAAACATCTAGACATCAATATTTTAAGCACTTCAACAAGATGAACATCTAGTATATCCTGTATATTAACCTATAGAGACAACCATAACATCCTGTATCTTTAATATAAAGTTGAAAATCTTCCAAACTACATTCATTTAGTACTCTCATTGTCACTCATCAGTTCATCTTCAAGGCCAGAAACCTCCATTCTTGCAGAAGCTTGTTTAGCCCATTTTACAATTTTCTCGGCTTCGCGATTAATCTTCTCTTCCTCCTTCATTGCCTTCTTCAGCATTTTCTGCTGCCCCTTCGCTGAGAAAGTACTCAATTCCGACAAAAACTCATCGTTCTTTCCCCAATCAAGACCAAAATTCTCCTTGTTCTTTTTCCTTGAAACCTTTTTCGGCGAACACCAGAAACAACCGGTGTTCCGAGGTGGAGATTGCAACTCCATTGACGAATTCCATGAATTGGAAGGGGAGAGAGATGACCCAGATCGCGTTTTTGATTTCAAACCCATTTTTCTATCTGTGTTTCCCTTCGAAGGCGGAAAAATTGCTTTCTCTGGTGACGAATTTGACGATTTCGAAGGCGAAGGAACAGAACCAGCTTGTGATTTCGGCTTCAGACCCTTTCTCTCAACTGGGTTTTCCTTTGAAGGCGAAATGAACATGCTTTCATCATCAGAGAGCGAGTCCAACTCAGTTTTTGGCCCATCTGATTTCGTCAACTCATTATGGGATTGGGGTTTGAGGGATTTGACGGACAGATGCTGTGAATTGAAGCTTGAAGATGCAGAGTTTTTGGCAGTGGAGAGAGATGGAGACTTGGGCGTCTTCGTGACTGGGAACGATTTGAGTTTTTGGAACCGAGTTTCGAGGTTGGATGGAAGAACCGAGTCGGAGGTGAAACCAGAGCAGTTAATGGCTGCGACCTGTTCGAGAACAGAGTGGTCCAGTGCCTGAGAGAGGAGTTCTTCAACTGCACTCTCATCACTATCTGAAAGAAATGAGAAATCGGCCATGACACAGAGAGAATCAGATTCTAGATAGAGAAAGGGAGGTTTATATGATTTTTTATTTTTGGTCACTTTTTAGGATTTTCTTCAACCTTAAGCACTTCCTTTACACATGGTCTAACGGCTAACTCATCCATCACCTTGAAAATTTTGCCTACAATTTTAGACCATGGGACCCACTGAGATTAATATGGCATCACAGTGCTCCCACTAGTGAAAAGATGCGTAAGTTTAGGTACACGAACTCAGAAATTACACAGGAAAATGACATTTTAGACCAATTAGAAGATGGAAATATGGAAATTTTTTTTTTTTTTTTTTTAAGAAGTAAAATGGAAATTTGGCATTTCGCGAATGACAATTGGGATGGCAATTTGTATCCCTTCCCACCCTTGCCTGAGTACGGGATCGATATATTATAGAGCCGGATATAAATTTAAATTTTAAATTGGTTGCTAGTACAAATTCGGCCATAATTAAATAAGGCAAGTATAAATTTAGACAAACTTACTCTATACCAATTTTATTAATGTGGATTAATAATAATTATGTATATTTTTTTTAATTATTAAATAAAAAATGATAGACCACGTATTAATATGAACTCATTTACCCAATCATCATTGATTTAATAAATAAGCAAGTTGTGCTCACTATTTCTAAATAGGAGTTCATTTTCCTTCGCAACGGATGCTACATTTGAAAAAGGAACCCCATAATTTGTTAGAGAGAGAATATTACAATTTGAAATTAGTATTTGACTTTTATAAAGCATATCAATATTTTCGTGTGAAACAAAAAAATATATTGTGAATAATAAATGTGTTAAAGAAAATAAAAATAAAAAAGCGTGCTCTTATCCATAATTGAGAAAGAAGACATGCTCACGTGTGAGAACATTGGCATGATTTATTTAAAACAAAAGATTATTTAAAATATTAAAAACAATAAGTGAGTTATATATATATATGGAGAAATATGATATTTATGTTGCATTTATTCCTACCATATTGAAATCAATCGTTTCAAATACCATCTATATAAAGGTCATTATTGAGTGTGATTTTTTCATCTAAGCGAGTTTATATCTGTCCTGTGTAGGAATACATAGTATAGAGATAAACAACTATGTTGTCTCCTTTTCCAATTTTAATTTACTTTGTGAAACCATATAATAACTATCTTATTTTCTATTGATACCATGATTTAACTTTATTTTATTTTAAGAAAATACTAAAATGACAGTTAATATTCGCACTCTAATATAAACTTAGACGCTCCACTCTAACTGAAATGACAAAAATAACTTTGAATATGTCTTTTAGCATAAATTATAAGTTCGCTTATATCTTTCGTTTCCTCTTTATGGTCTCTCTTCTCTACGGTACTTATCCTCCAATATTTTTTATTTTTTTTATGCTTCTGCGTTCAAACTCGCCCCTTTCATCACAAATTAATTATAAACTATCATCGGGCCTAATTCTTTATGGTACAAACAATGTGTTGCCTGCATGTTGCTGTTATTGTTATTCCATCATTTTTTTTTCCCGAAAAACTGAGCAACTTTAATACATGCATAAGTGGATAATTTACAATGGTGGGCCTTAGGCCAGAGAAAATAAAGTAGAAGCCCAAAAGCAAACAAGGGCAAAGCCCAGTCCTGGGACAACACCCAGCCAATAATCCAAGTAGATAACCACCATTAACGGCATGATTAATCGTTAATGGAAGGTGTACAACCCAGATGGAGACGTAGTCTACTTCCTTGTGTCTCTTGTGGACGAGTATGGCGGAGGTAAGGAGAGTAATTCAGGTATGACAGTGATGATACTAGCAGGGAATAACCATGTATTGTTTACAATAAAATTGTCCACTGTTTTGCCATCATTTAGTTCAACATATGTGAGTACATTATGTGGAAATCTTGAGCTTAGAATACCTCCTAGAGCCCAGTTGTCCCACCAGAAGGATGTGTGAGCACCATTGCCAATGGTGTGTTTGATAAGTAGCCTTACATGATGCCTAAGTTGAAGGATTTTCCTCTAACTCCAAGAACAAGGTTGAGGGTCCAAAGATTTCTAGACTCGATGATGTGAGATTGGCACCAATTGATCTAAAGTCCGTTTGAATCATCTTATTGCAGGTCCCAAATGTACCTTATAATGCTTGTTCTATTTGCAACCTCCAAATTAGGAATCGCCAATATGAGACTTTAGGTTTACAGACCCCACTCCAAACAACTTTTGCACCAGAAGGTTTCATTTCTGGTCCTAACCAAATATGAAAATCTTGTTGAGTTCATTAATAACTCCTTTTACTAAAATGAAGATGTTGCACGAGTAGTTTTATATAGAGACCAACACTGCTTTGATCAATTGCAGTCTTCCTGCATATGAGAGGGTTCTAGATGTCCAATGGGAAATTCTATGGGTGATTTTGTTAATCAACAAGCTACAATCTTGTGATTTTAAGTTAGTAGTGATCGATGGGACCCCAAGATACATCACTGGGAGAGTGCCAACTTGAATGCCAAGTAGTGAAGTGATTGCCTCTTGTGTGTGATAATCAATTCTAGAGAAGTAAATTGAATTTTTTGAGAGGTTGATATCAAGGGCAAACATATAGCCAGAAAGAAGATCAAGTGCAGATTTCAGAACTAAAATTGAGATAATGTATTTATGGCACACCAATAGCAAGCCATCTGCATAGGATAAATAAGTGATTTTCTGTTCTATGCACCTCCAGTGATGGAAAATTTCCAATAGCAAGTCATTTGCATTGTTATTCCATCATGCTATCGCATTTGTAGAAAATTAAAATGGTTGGATATACATTCTCCATTAATATAATATCATGCAGGTGCGGTGGTAGTCCAGCGATAGGGCGTGTATTGTTTGGGACCCATGGTCCAACATAAATAAAATGGAAAAACGATCCCAAAAACATAGCATTAAATTTAGTAGCATTTAAAATGGAGAGTATTGGAGATATATTGTTTATAGGTAAACCATGTTTTTTGAAACTCATATGGTAAAACAAAATAAATATATAAACAAATTAGTTTTCCTTGCATTAATTTTGTTGTCCTGAAATGGACACATGCATGAAGAAGAGCGTGCCCAAAATTTCACGCATTTGGCAGGCATATCGTGCACGTATATGCCTATAAAGATTTTAAAATTTGAAATAGAGCTCATACACACAGAGACCTACACAAACTAAAATATTTAAATTGATTCAGCAACATGACACAAAAATGACTAATGAATAAATTCATGTGGGTCTCACATGATATCATCTCATCAACAGTTATAGGTCACTTGTCTTTTAATTTGGTTATTGAATTTAGTTTCGTGTAAAGATATTTTAATCAACCATGCTATAAAATTTGTCATAAAATCAAGTGTATAAAAAAATTAGAAATTAAATTATAAAGGTTTATGGTGGTTTTGAAATTAAATCATTATTCTTTCCCATGATCACTAAATGCAAAGCTAGGAGGATTATTTGCTAAAAACACCGCAGTTTTTCTTCTGGAAAATTATTTTGTCCCTGAACTATGAAAAACTCGCAAATAAGTGTAACTTTAAAAACTGAGAATGGACAAAAAAATTTAGATATTTTGAAATAGTCTATTTTCTAAGATTTTGGATCTATTGTGGACAGCCTCCCAAAGCTTTTTTCTTGGAAATTTTCTACAGTTTCAAAATATTGCAACAGAGATATTGGATTTTGCAAAACCTGATATCTTGTTGGAGAGGAAAGAGTATTACAATTTGAATTTATGTAGTTTGTCAATATTTTGTTGGGTGAAACCAAAATTTATTGTAAATAATGAATGTGTAGAAATTAAGCTAATTATAGTGATGGTGCGTGCAATCAACAAAAGCAGGTCCTAATTGAGAGACAAGACATACTTATGTGAGAGAGTACGTGTCGGCAAAATTATTTAAAGAGAGTTTACAAACCTATTTTATATGTTAAAAAATTAGACATTTATATCGCATTTATGCCTCTTATCAGGAAGAAACTCTATTAAGAGCATTACTTAAATAAATAAATAAATATATATATATATATATATATATTAAAAAGCAAGCTTGGTGTGAGTTTATATACATATATTATAGAAAAATATGATATTTATGTCGCATTTATTCCTAGTATATTAAAAATCTATTGAAACTTGAAAGTGTAGTTCTACCATTACAAGAACTAATATGTGGTCATCTCACACACACTGAATTCTTTCTTTGTCTCACATACGGTGGGGTTCTTTCTTCTTTCTCTGCCTTTCCATACTAATCACTTGGTGCATGGAGTCATCGCCGTCACCGCCGAGAATGACGTGCTGTCTCAGGCTATCTTCAAAGAAAAAGGAGGGTGAGGAGAGCAAAAATGGTGGAATTTCTGAGTCAAATAGCTACTATGGAGATTGGGGCATGGATGATAAGATTTTTAATTTTTCAGGGAAAGAAGAAGAAAGAGTGGTGAAGAAGGCCATCAAGGATGAGAAGATAGCTATAAAGGAAGCCAAGAAGGTTGTCAAGTTTGTGAGGAAGAAATCACAAAGGTTTGTGTTATGATGAATCAAATGATGGTGAATAAATCCGGTGACACACACAAACACACACACACATATATATACACACACACACATCTTATATATAGATATAGATAGAACTATATTTTCTTTTTACCAATTTTTAATTTATTTTGTCAAACCATACAATGACTATCTCATTTCCTTCGATAGCATGATTGAAATTTTATTTTATTTTAGTAATATTATGACTGAATTGTCCAAGTGTGTAAGCAGAATATTTGAGATAGACATTGTGTGGGTCTCACACGGATTGTGATGTATCAGTTAATAGTCTTTTACTACGTATTAATTAAATTATTTATTATTTCCAAACAATATATTTTTTAAATAATATATTTTACATGTTCCTATACATGTTTTTTTAAAATTTCAAATTTAAATATTTAAAATTTAGAAGGGCATATTAGTAACTTTTTAAAAAAAATAAGACATATCCACATATCCTTTTAAAAATTTCTACTCTCTCGAAAACGACATCTGAATTAATACAGAGGAAATATATTACAACATCCTCACTTGAACATCCCAACCAAAAGAAACCCACAAAGAAAATTAGCTCGTCAAAACTTGCACGCAAACAAGCTTGCACAAACGACATGACAGGAAAAAAAAACTTAAGAATAAATTCACATAAAATATTTAAGAATAAATTCACATGAGTCTCACATAATATCAATTATTGGCCACTTTTCTTTAAATTTTAACATTGACACAAAAATGAGTCATGAATAAATTCAGGTGGATCTCATATGATGTTTTTTTCATCAGCTTCTATCGGTCAATGTATCAAAATATTTAATCAATCATGCTGCAAAAATTGTAATAAAATAAATGTATCATACATTATTTATTAGAATTAGAAATTAAAATTGTAAAGGATTATAGTGGTTTTGAGAAAACTACTCACTCATTCTAAATTAAATGTCCATCTTTACAATTTTTGCTGTCCCAAAATAAATATTACATTTGAAAAGTCAAAATACTATTTTTTGTAATATTACCAATTTAACTTTCTTACATTAAACTTATAAAATATAATACATCACATCAGGTGCATATATTTGATAATTAATTCGCTATCAGTATAATAAATTAAAAAAATATTAAAATTTATCATCTTAAAATGTTAAATTTCTAAAAACAAGACATATAATTTGACAAGAAGGTAGTAGTATTTTTTATTCCATGCGCTCTTGTTATAAGATTTGTATTAGACAAAATATAGAGTGATTTAGATTGAATGGTTGGGATGGAGTTTGGGTTAGTGCGTAGGCATTGAAACTTATGTTACCATCAGTTCAACGATTTGTACAAGTTTTCTTTACTTCAAAAAAAGTTTATATATAGGCCTATTATGATATACCCCTAAAATTAGCCTCCAATGGGCATGGGCTGAAGCTAATATCTTATTCAAGTTTTCCAATTACAACCTAACATTTAATATATCTTCCATAAAATTAAAATGTGAATGATGTACAACATTGGATTGGGGTGGGCTCTATAGCTTTGAATTTGCCAAAACCAGACTAACAATTTGTGTCAGAAACTTAAACCTAGGAAAGTCAAGTAACAAAGTCGAGTTATGGAGTTATAAATACTGAACATACTTAAAGTTCAACAATAAGGAGAAAAAAAAAAAAAAATATATATATATATATATATATATATATATATATATATATATTTCCGCATACATTTGATTGCTTTCTTTTCTTCTTTCCTTCCCCATTTTTCTCACTTCCTTTTAACTTGTCTCATTCTTTTAACCCATAAGCGGGAAGACAGAGAGACGTGGTCCCACAGAATTCTGTCGCAGAAGCTTGCAGATGTGTATATGTAACTCATATTTGAGCCACGTCATCAATTCACAATATAATGGTCCGTCATTGACAAGGTCATATACCGATGCACTAGAAATGGAAGTTAACAAGTCAAGAGAAATACTAGAAGTATGAATAAAAAGACTATCATTATTAACATTTGACATTAGTTTCTGTAAAGTGATTATTCCTAAATCAATAGGTGTTTACACTAAGTTACCATTTAATGAGAAAAACGAGAATTAAAAAAGTCAAAAACCTAAGACTGCCGACGCTATGAGAGGCGTCACAGTTTAGATTAGAGCATCCAAAGCCTTTGGTGCTTGTTATTGGAGCAGGAAAGGGCTAATAGACCAAGCGTCACCGATCACCTCATTTCTAACTGCTCCCCCTCGATATTTTATAAACACAAACACACTCTCTCTCTCTCTCTCTCCCACACACCACACACACTCATATATATATATATATATATATATATATATTATAAGTTTATATAATCAATCAAGTGGGTTGATCTCTTGTTGCTGCTCATCCATATCATGCCCATTTTAGGGGTTCCACTTTGCACATATAAATTCATAAAATTTGTCACGACTTTAATTCCACAGCTGATTATATCTTGTCAAATATGTATAATTTTATTTATTTTAATAAATTTTATCATTGATACCAAGTCATCAATATTTCAAGAACATTAAAGTATTTTTCGTAATTTTGCATCACAATCCAATGGTTAGAAGGGAAGTTTCACGACTTCAATTTCATAGCTGATTATATCTTGTCCAATATGTATAATTTTATTTATTTTAATAAATTTTATCATTGATACCAAGTCATCAATATTTCAAGAACATTAAAGTATTTTTTCGTAATTTTGCATCACAATCCAATGGTTAGAACGGAAGTTTCACGAGGTCATCATAGTTTTATTCTTCCCAAAAAAATTAAGAAGTGAAAAATAAATTCAGCTTTTAAAGTTTCATTAAATAAGAAAATAAGTTATAAAATATATACATATATGGACCAATAAAATTAGCTGAGTGTGAATCAATCTGAAATAAATAAAAAATAATTATCTAAGTTCAAGTCACCAGACTAATTTAAAAATTTTAACCAATATTATTGCTTCACAATATTATATTTACAACTTAAAAAGAAATAGAACCAATAAAAGCGCTAACATCTTGGTGTACATAAATATTATTCCACGCTAATATCGCAAATTTTTTGTTCATACGCTAAGTAAGAATGAAGAATAAAGTCTCTTGGCAGTCATACCAGCCCTCTTGTCACAACGTTGACATTTTATCCAAAAAAGTAAAAACATAATCAATAAAACAAATAAAAATAAAAATAAAATAAAAACCATTAACGAATTTTATACTACCATCTTCTTAATACTGACAAATAACACACATATACCCACTGCATTATCATTGTGAAATTTTAGACCAATTAAATTAACCTAGGTATTTTTTGGTGGTCCCAATTTAGGATATGACTCAAATATACTATATATATATATAGGTAAATGCTATTTTCACAGCTATATATAATGGATTTTATTTCTAATCTTCTCTCACACATATCAAATGTGATTACTTTACCTATATATAGTGTATACTATATTTAGTACTTTTGCATGAAGACATTTTATAGGTGTAAGAAAAGATTATAACAAAGCACTCATTTTAGTAGAGTGGTTGGAGTAGTTACACAAAGAATGTCTGTATGTATAATTTGTGTATATATATATATATATATATATATATATATATGTAAGCTTTAAGATAAGAAAAGTAGTTTGTATTTAATTCTATGATCAACCATTATCCTCAATATATTCCTCTTCCTCCACAACCTCTCCAACTTTTGTTGCAATTATGAAGGACTCTAAGCCATGGAGACCCTTCACAGCAAATTGTTGTTCAGTGGAAGACAATACAATTTTCGGCAATTTTAGCCGGTGCCGGTCCTCCCGGTCGGATTTTTCTAAGAACGTGGCGCCATTACCGTCCTTTCGTCGCCTGTCATTCTCCGATTTGAGTCGTTCCTCGTCGACTCGCATCAATGAGGACTTGGCACAGTCTTTTGGGCCGGACTTGTATGATTTTCAGCTGAGTGAGTTACGTGGTATAACTCAGAATTTTTCGAGCAATTTCTTGTTGGGTGAAGGTGGTTTTGGGACAGTGCATAAGGGTTATTTTGATGAGAATTTAAGGCAGGGTTTAAAGGCTCAAGCTGTTGCAGTTAAGCTTCTCGACATTGAAGGCCTGCAAGGACATCGCGAATGGCTTGTAAGAATATAATAACTTCTTCTTTATCTTCCGAATATATATATATATAAAAAATAACTTCTTCATGTTTTTTTTCCCCTTCGAAAGTGAAATATTTTACAAAGAAATTGATTTTCTTCGTAAAGCCTTTCATCATAATATCACCAAAATTTTAATGGGATTTTTTATGAAAAAAATAATGTTGTTGTATTTAGATAGTTTCTTTATGATCCACCAAATCATATGATGTAATAAAGGTTAAAACTTAAATAGATATGTACACAGTAATTTTTCATAAAAGTGTTGTTATAAGAAGATATTTCATAGGTCTAGGCATGTTTCCGTTATATCATTGGCAAGGCATGAATAATTATTGCCCCAATACAACCTATAAATGTAATCTTATTGGAAAGATTATAAGATTTATAATTAATAAAACAATCTTTATATATATATATATATATATATATCTCAGCATATTTAATTAATACCTAATAGAACCAGAAACCGCCCCGACAATTTGTTAGGCCTTGAGAATATTTAAGCCCAGCCCGGCCCAGCCCAGCAGGATGCAGAATATTGCTTGTCCAAGCCGCTTCTCTGATTGGACTAAGGTTGGCCTGTGCAAGCTACTCGGCCCATGCCCACCCATGAACTATAACATGGGAAAGTAGTATATTTTCTTTTCAAAAAAAAAAAATAAATAAAAAATAAAATAATTACTTAGAGTTCAGCCGACCCACAACTCCTATTATGATTATTTTAATTTTTAATGGGAGTAGAGGGTGACTCTTTGGCAAACAAAGAAAAGTAGAGCATTTCTAAAAATCATTACCTTATTAACATGTTTGGTACAAATGGGTTCCAACGAAAATATGAATGTGTAAATTTACTTAATTTTTAAAAAATAAAATAAAATAAAAATATTTGGACTTATATATTAAATGGGCAATAGCCCAATCAGTACAAATTAACCTTTCCAAAGTGAAGGTGGGGTTCGAACTCCCACGTAGACATAAATATGATGTTAATAGGGTCAAACTCTCATTCTCATGCATGTTATTAATCATAACCATTTATAATTATGATGTTAAGTTTTGTTTTGTCCATGAAGGCGGAAGTGATATTTCTTGGGCAGCTTAGGCATCCAAACTTAGTTAAACTGATCGGGTATTGCTGTGAGGATGAAGAAAGGCTTCTTGTGTATGAGTTCATGCCTCGCGGCAGCTTAGAGAATCATCTTTTTAAGAGTGAGTTTACAATATCGCCTTCCAATTCATTTTGATTTTCTGAACAATATAATCTAATCCAATTTCATAACTGTATGACGACAATGATTGCAGGGCTTTCAGTGTCATTGTCATGGGGCACCAGATTGAAGATTAGCATAGGAGCAGCCAAAGGACTTGCCTTCTTGCATGGTGCTGAGAAGCCTGTCATATACCGCGACTTCAAAACTTCCAATGTCTTGTTAGATTCTGTATGCTTTCAATTCAATTCCATCTTGTTAGCTTCATTGCACTTATTTGTTTGAAATTTTATAATATATATAATCTTCACTACTTCTTTTACCAGGATTTTAATGCCAAATTGTCTGATTTTGGACTCGCGACGATGGGGCCTGAAGGATCAAACACCCATGTTACAACTCGAGTGATGGGTACCTATGGATATGCTGCACCTGAATATGTCAGCACAGGTAATGTTTCAACAATCAACCATAATATTATTATTAACTTCTCTGCTTCAGCAGAGTATATATACCAAAATATATGCTAAAGTAGTGTGCCAAACTAATGCAGGGCACTTGACCACCAAAAGTGACATTTACAGCTTTGGAGTGGTGCTTCTAGAATTGCTGACAGGAAGGAGAGCAATGGATAAAACAAGGCCAAAGAGCGAGCAAAACCTTGTTGATTGGGCGAAACCATACTTGACTAGCAGCCGAAGGATACGTTGCATTATGGACCACAGACTTTCTGGCCAATATTCTGTCAAGGGAGCCAAAGAAATGGCTCTTCTCGCATTGCACTGTGTGAGTTTGAACCCAAAAGACAGGCCAAAAATGCCAACCATTATCGAAACTCTTGAAGCCTTGCAACATCTCAAGGACATGGCAGTAAGTTGTGGGCAGTGGCCAGCATCGCCCAAACCTAGCAGAAAAGCAGTTTATTCTGCCAAAGGAAGGAGAGAGAATGGAGCAGCTGGGATTCATAGGAAGCATTCTCCAGTTGCTGCAAGCTAGTGATCTCTAAATTAATCAAATGGAGGCCTAAGTAAGTATAAAGAAGTGTGTGTACATTTTGTGTGTTAGAAGAACACAAACATGAATTTTTAAGGCATGTCTAGCTTCCTATATGTGCAAGTATATATGTGAACGGTGCTTATGTCTACTACATATATTTTTACATATATTCTCCTTTCATAGTGTCTTCTACTTCAAGAACATTTTATCCGAGTTCATGCTACTGATCTTGCAGAGATTAACTCAGGAATTGATATATGGTTAAATCAAACAGTCTTGCATTTTTCTACAATCATCACAGACCATTTATCTCTGTTTATAGAAATTTTTATTTTGAGATTGATTTCCATGGAAATTTCAAGAATTTGGGGGATTTGAGAGAGAGAGTCACCTCGGGCAGAGGAGGATCCATCTATGTCAAGTTTTGAAGTATCACAAGGAATGAAAATCCATTTGCTTAAAAAAAACAAAAACAAAACCAAAACAAACAAAGAAAAAAACAGTACATTGTGCTTGAATATCACCAGAAAATTTCAAACTAACCTCAGTAAAGTAAAACCCTTCACAAGCTTCAATGTCCACCATAATTGGTAAACCTCAACTCGACTAATTCAAGAAGATCAAATTTTTGGCTTTACTTCTTGTTAATTTCATTTCAACTACAAGGATCTCTCTCTCTCATTGAAAATGAATTTATATAAAATGAATTTATATAATATATATGAAACAAAATAGGTAAACATTGACATTTCTATACATTGGAACCTTCTCCAACCATTTAATTTGTTACCATGGGTCTCCTTGATGGCAATTCACTAATATAGTGTAGATATCCGGTTCTGTTCAAATCGGTCATAAGCATGTCGAGTTCTTAAGAATAACAGTAAACTTGCTGCTAACCCGAAAATAGAGATGCACCCCCACCACACAAAGGTTAAGAAATAGCATTGTCTCCCCATGCACACTACTGAGTCATTCATTACACCGCCTCCTGTGCTAGAACTCGCATTGGCATCATAAACCAGCGCAGCAAGGAGACCGTAGACAAGTGACCCAATTGGGATATTGGTTATGAGTATGTTGTGGTTGACACCCACACTATTAGGCCCAAACAGTTCAGATGTTATTGAAACAGCAGCTGCAAATATGAACCCTGAGCTTAATCCAACCAAGGCAGTGCCTGCTTGGAGCGCCATCTCACTGCCTGCTGCAGCAAGCAAGAAGAAGGCAATTGGGGCCGGAAAAAGTGCAATGGCTAGCCAACCGGTCCTTGCAAAGTAGATCTTCCTGCACAAGTGAACATTTTCTTTAGTGTCATTATATAAATTTCTTCATTGCTATGTCAGCATCAATAGAAAATCTAACTGATAACTCGTTTGATTACTTACGCACGCATGAAGTCCGGGGCTGCTGAAATCAAGCGGCCAAAGAAGGAGAAGGATGAATAGATTTTGATAAGGGTTGAGGTCATTGAATTTAGTCCAAGTGATTGTGCAATCTGCCCTAGATTATTACTGTAGACTAGACCAATTGTACCTCCACAAAAATATGCAATATAGTATAGCCAAAAATCCAACCTACGAATAAGCATCTGTGCGTTGTGCTCTTCTCCAAGCATTGTCAACCGATTTTTCTCTATTATTGTCTCACAACACCCTTCACTAGCTCCACTAGTTTTTCTTGGAACTAAATAAGTAGATGCATCACCATTAACAGAGTTAGTGACTCCATTTCCTAAATTACTTGTCTCCCGAGTGATGAGTTCTTTATGAAGCTCAAGATCATCCACATCAACAAGAAGGAAGCCTGAGCCTTCAAGGCGGAAGCTTGAGTGGATAGCATGACGGAACCAATCTCGAGCATAGATCATGCCAGGGATACCTAAGGGGAGGATGAGGAGGAAAACGGCCCCACTAAAGAGGATACGAGCTGTCATAAAATCCGTTGAACTGAGAAATAGTAGATAGAGGCCAGTGACAACGGCCAAGAAATTTAATAGGAGGAATATAAAGGAATCACGTCGAACTGCATCAGGGGGAAGGGGGTCCAAAGGAGGTTGGCGAAGAATCGGTATTAGTGCTGCAATGGATGTGAGAATCGGTATGACAGCATTGAGAAGAAGGTATAATGCATCGGACGATGGGTTAATTGCATTGGCAGCAAGGGTGTATAAGGCTGCACTTACACCATTGAAGCTCACTGTTAGTGCTATTGCAAGAGGCTGGTTAGCTGGGAAATTTCGAATGCAGAGAATGAAACAGACTGTGTTGAACCAGCAGATGCTACATCCAGCCAACAAACACAGAAGAAATACCTGCAACAAGTTTCAAACAATCAATCTCAATCAAACTAGTAGAAGGGTTTAAAAGGTAGATGTGATGCAAATTTGTAGTGCCATGTTTGGGCAAAATGATATTTGAAGTGGCAATGTCACTGCGCTAATGAAATAATAAACTGATATATTACTTACAAACAGAATGAAGATCATGATTCTAACAAAATAGTGATCTTAATATCATGCAGGTATTATGAAGAAAAGAACAAGAAAAGCCAAAAGATTTAGTGCAATGTCCCAATATAAAACAATAAAAATTATAACTAAAGCTATATAGTTGATCCCATACACAGTAAAGCTAGAAGAATTAACGACTCAATTTGCAAAAGCAAGAAAGAGAACTAATGAGTCTATCACATGTAATGCACAAGGATTTAAGTTGAATCATTTAAGAAAATGCTAAATTGACAAAATCAATGCGTCCAATGTAAGTGCTCTGTTTAGAAAGCAAAAAAATTCTTTTATTCAGCATAACAATATTACTAACCTCATTCAGCATTTCAGAGCTTGGTTGGAATTTAAAGTTGTAGGGGACCGGGTCTCTGAAACAAGTTTACAAGGAAATCTGTCTCAAACGCATTTCGTGTGCCATTTTCATTTTTTCTGTTTTTGAAACTGAGCAAGTTTGATAAGGACAGACCAAATGGCCCTAAAATCATGATTGTGAAATAATTGAGCTGTTTAGGAACAGCTTGGACTCGCCTCATTAAAGGCTTGTTTAGTGTTTGTTCATTAAGTAAAACAAAACACGCTCGAACCTGAATCATATGTATGCATACTCAAAAGTAACCGGTTGAAGCTCAAATAATAATATGCTAAACTTGCATAGACGTTGACCATGAGTTCTGTATTTTATCGAGGAACCAAGAATAAGAAAATGTATATCTGGTCTTCTAAACCAGAGAAAGGCAGTTGCCTCATCCTTGGACATACTGAAACGAACAAACTAATTAGGTCATAGATATATTTGCAAAGCTGTGGTGGATTTGGTCAATAATGCATGGTGGTTACATTTAAGTCCTTGTGATTTGTCATTATAGCCTAATGGGTTAGATAAGGAATTACATTGTCAAATGAAGAAAACGAAAAAAAGAATGAAAAAAATTGGAGTAAATGTTAGATTGTCAAATGAGTTTTATGTGTTTTGCAAATAATAGAGGGCCATGATGCATATGATCAAAGTAATGAGGAACTGAAATCTTATGTCTTTTATGTCTGACTTTGAAAGTTGAAACTAGCTGCCAAAGTAGAAGACACCAACCAGTCTTTGAAACTTTGGTGCTCAGCAACTGGAGAGGCAGGTTTGAAAAAGGATCTGAGAATGTCAAGGATTGGCCAGGAGGGTCTCTTCACGCCTTCTTTTTTCTTCTCATAGGAGTTATTTGACAATGACAGCCTTGACAGTTGAATCCTATCGTCAAACAGATTTAATGCTCACAACACAGTTGGAACGGAACAAGTATCTTTATTTCGCTTAGATCACCTTGACATTTGAAGCCTTTGTTACGCCAATGCAATGCATGGGCGTGCTAATAAAAGTTCCAAGTGTACAGTAAGGAACCTCCATTGGAGGAGTGAAAACCAAAAACAATATAATAGATAATAACATTTGTTTTTTCCATTTATAGATGATAGTAACATATGCTTAACCATTACGCAAAGTTGGTTCCACACAAGTATAGTGCCAGAAGTGAAAAAAAAAAAAAACTTCAAAACTATGTGACACTTTTTTTTTTTTTTTCCGACCTTGTCTAAGAACCTACTAGCACACTTGTATAAAGTGGCAAACTTGAAATATGTTTTGTCATATGAAAATATATACATATATGTTCTGTCATGTCCTAGCTTTTATTATTGAACCAAATAGTGACACTTATATAGTACTTTCTAAGATATCCCCACCCAATTGTTGAGGTGAATATAAAGCATTTGTTTTGAAAAGTGTTTTCAATCTTTTCCGTCCACTTTCTAAAATTTTCTCTTGATCCACTTTGTTCATAATTAGCAAAGTGGAAGAAGTCATGCCTGGTCTAATAAAGTAGGTCTAATAAGTAAAAGTGACATGGTAGGCTGTCAATCTTTATAAAAATAAAGAAATTAAAATAAGTCACATTCCATCAATCCATCCTCGTTAAAATCCTACACTTTCCTCCTCCTCCTTTTTTATAATTCTCACTAATTTAGAGCTTACAATTAGATTTTTTTTTTTTTTTCTGTTCTTTTAAAATTTTAAATTATTTTTTAATTAACTCAAACTCAATATATTTAAAATTGCATTAAATCTCATTCTTTAAAAAGAAAATAACCAAACTACCCCACTGTGTTTTGAATCTGTCCAAAACATGTCATGTATCTAAGAAAATTATAAAATAATTAAATTTTAAAACGTATCCAATTATGGAGTCATGTTTGTGATACTCCTAGATGAAAAATATCGATTCTTTTTAGATTATCATGAGAATCTTTAAATGAAGAGTCTATGTTTTTTAAATTATGTAACACAATTTTAGTCCTTGCATCTGCAGACCTACTGTGATACTCACAAGTCTACTGAACTTGCACGGTCACTGTAATTGCAACTGTGGGTTTATCTCTGAATAGTTGGTTAACCTGAGCCACATCTTTTTCTATTTCTTTTTTTTAACCTGAACCACATCTTTACATGATGCTGATTTTGTCCTGTTATACAATATATATATATATATATATTGAAAGTCAAGCATTAACGTCCAAACTGTTAGTTACAAAAAATCAAAACTAAAATTAATTAGAAGAAAAAATATAGGAGAAGATACTCCGTGTGACATCGAATTGAAGTTACAAAAGGGACTGGCTGCCTATTAGAAACAATAGTGGCTCACACTAGGCAAGTGTTCGATCCCTGCCAATCTCATTATCACCCCTGCCTTACTCAGTGTATTCTTGGAACGAGCCTCTACACCCCATGTTTGTAACCTAGGGTGAGTCCCGAGGGCCCAGGAGAGTTCCTGATGTTAACTAAACAAACAAACAAACAGTGGTGGGCTGGCACTAGGAACTATGTGACTGGAACGTGTGAATGGCCTGTCTGGCTATTAAAAACCACCCAATAATGAAATTGGTTTGGTTGGAGTGTTTGGACTTGAGTTGAAGATGGAAAGGAACATAACTGAAAAAAATATTATATTTAAATAACTCAAAAAAAATACTATAAAAAACCAGAGTTAATAAGGAAAATTATTTATACTTTGTTAATCCCCTCATAATCAAGTAACGATTCACAATTATCCCAACCAAAAAAAATTATCAAGATTCACAATTATCTCAAACAACACAATCTTTATACTCCAGTTATTTACTCATCATATCAATATATATATATGGTGGAGTGCAATTAGCAATATTCCAAGCCACAATTGCCACTTACGATGAAAATCCATTCATGGCATGTTGCAGAGAAAATGAAATTATAAATTATATAATTCACACACACACATATATATATATATATGTTTATACACAGAGAGAGAAAAAGAGATAAGAGTAAAAAACTAACCACGAAGTAGGGCAAGCTAATGATGTTCCGAATGACGAGCCATTGAAGACCATACCCAAAAAAGCCCATGACGGCCGCCACGAACATGACCAGCCACAAGGGAAGGTACATCAACGCCAGGCCGGACGACCACCCAACCGCCTTGCCGAGGTCGGAGGCCACGGCCAGGTAGTTGAGCTGCACCTGAGAGATCCCCAGCACCGACTTCATCTCCGACGAGTAGGCCGAGAAGTCGAAGTTCGTGCCCGTGAACGCCTGAATCCATATAGTCGCCACTAAAATCATCCACTTCCGCGATTGACCCGCCATGAAGAGGATCTCCGGCGGTAACTACCCACGGCGGCGAATGTACCCGGCGAATCAGAAGCTGCGTGGTTGTGGGTGGAGGCAGTTGTTGCGTTTGTTCATGGTGTCTCTACTTCGCCTCATTTATAAGTCGCACACTTTCCAATCTCCAAATAACGACAAAAAAAAAAGGTAATTTTCTGCATAGTATTTATTTTCTCTTACTCCGTATTTTCTTTTTACTGCTAAGATGTTTTTAAAAAGTTTTTGTATCACTTATAAATAAATAAATAAATAAGTTTTTGTATGATAAAAATGTTGTACTCCGCTAAAAAGCTAATGAACTTGCTTCACGTGGCAGCATGTGTTCAGCAGTTTGCAATAACAGGACAACTGCTTGACTGTGATGCCACTAAGGAGGAACTGACTAGGACATAGGACATGAAATAAGGCCATTAATTTTATTTTATTTTATTTTATTTTTTCTTTTTTTGGGAAGGTTCACAGATCACAACCTTGAATCTTGATTGTGAGATTATTTAAATGGTTTCGAGCGAAGTTGGGATTTAGGAATCTATTGAAATATGTTAGGAAAAAGATATTTTATTTAGTTTTTTAAATAGGTTTAAGAGTATTATTAAATTATAGTATTCGATAATAAACGATTTTGAACAAAAAGTTTTGCTAAACACATTAGAAAGTTTAGAAATTGAAATGCACTTTCCTTAAATCGTCATGTTGCCATCCCTATCACTCTAAGTTAAGATAAATTATTTAATTAAAGAAGTATTTTTTGGAGAATTTATTAATGGTGCTAAACTATTTGGTCTATTAAAAAGTATACAAATATAAATTTTGGATTCAATTATAAGACGAAGTGGCTTATGGTTGTGGATCAATTAACAATACCTGAAGTTAATTGGATTAAAATTGTTAGAAACATGAACCGAAAGCATTTGCTTACAATAAATGCAGTTCCTTAAATGCAACTGAAAATTGGTTTGAAAATTGAAGTAGCAAAGTGTCGTTTGAATTTCGATTTCTATAAAACTTCAAATGTTATTCTTAGATTAGCACATTTTTTAAATCAAATGTTGAACGTGCAAAGTGTGGTTTGAATTTAGATTTCTGTATAACTTCAAATATTTTGTACATTTTTTAAATCAAAGGAGGTTGGTTTTGATTTAAAAGTTGAGCATTCTTCTGGAAGGGTCAGTCCATGAGGTAAAGCCGTCCCTCAATGACATATACCACTTTATTATAATTGAAACCCATTCTTAATATATATAGAGAGAGAGAGATTTTATATATTTCTATATTAACAATTTGAATTAATTATACTAATTTAGACTAATTAATTACCAAATAAACATAATGCTCATGATTTGGGACAGTGCTGAGAAAATTAAACTATTTTTTGTACGATTAACAACCAATTTTTATTGGGCTTTCATTAGGCTGCGCTGTCCAAAAGAGAAGAAACAAAGGGAGGTGCGACAGCAAGAATGAATAGGCACACAAATTCTTGCACATTACAACTACATATTAAATTGTATATGCTGACTCATCAAGGATCTTAGTATGACCTTACTCCTGGTTTAGTAACAAAAAAAGGAGGGTTGAAAAAAGGATTACATCTAATAATTGCATATAATGAGGCTTATAATAATAGTAAAAATACAGAGCTAATTACAAATCATTGAAGTTCAAGGTTCATGAAAACAAAATTAAGTGTAACCCATGCATGTGCTTATAAGTGGGTTAATCCATGTGGTTATATAGCACTTTTGCCGGAGAATCCATGCATGTGGTTGTCCCCAACTACTAGTCCTATGCGCCTAAATTGCTTAATCCATGTGCTTAAATTGCTTGTGCTGACTCATCAATGTTTTTTTTTTTTTTTTCATGAAAAGTTAAGATTTAGTTTATATATATATAAAATAAATAAGAAAGAAAGAAATGGGTGTACAAGTTATTTGTGTGGGAAAAAAACTTAATCCTGATTTTAAAAAAATATAATACATTAATTTTTAAAATAGAACAACTATTATTGAACGGCTAAAAATTAAAAAAAAAAACTGACTACTAAAATGAAATGGAGGGAGTAGAAAATAAATAAATAAATAGTCATTGTACTTGTTACATTTTCCAATTAGTTCCATCTCTAATCCTTTCTTCTCAAAGCGTAATTTTTTATGCACAAAAGCGTGAGATAATTTTACTACCAAAAATGTTCCACCACCAGATCCATTTGTGCGTTGGCTGTAGGCATGAAATCGAAGGAATGGGAATCCATTTGCTTAAAAAAAAAAACAGTGTATTAAAATCCTCTGTTTTTCATCTGTATTAAAATTGTTCCTTCTAGATGCATGGAACACATTGAAGATATATCAAATGGGTTTCATTGATAAATTTTAATGTCAAAATGTGTTCCATCGAATTATAGTTTTTGTTCCATCGAATTGTAATTTTTGTTCAATCTTTTGTGTCTCGATGGTAATGAAGTAATAAATGCAACTCATATGCTTTCGATTCTATTCAGTTGAGAACATCACATTAGAGAAGGTATATCCTTATGTTGGGGAAGCAACCTTATCTTTTACTGCGATAATAGTAATATTCTTGTTACCCAAATTCATAGTTTGGAATTTTAATACCGGCCTAATGAAACTGGTTGCGCAACGTGTTTTTGGAAAGTACTTTTTATTAAATTGCGTACCGGTAAAACGGAATTGGTTCCTCCCCATGGAACCAGTTGCACACGTTGCATTCCAAAACAACAAAAACTCACTGGTAAAATGAAACCGGAAAGAAAATTTCAATCCTTGTCTGTTTTGTGCTTTCTATTTTGGATAATTTTTTGCAATAATGATCATACACAAAATTAACTTGAAAATTTATACTATCTCTAAAAAAATTTTAGAGGTAGAAACAAGAAGTTATTCTATCTCTAAAAATTAATTTTGTGAGGTAGAAACAGGAAGTTCTTCTATCTATAAAAATTTTAGGACTGGAAAATTTTTATTTTTTTAATTGAGAGATTTTTTTTTTTTTTTTTTATATGAAAATCAATTTGATTTTTGAGACCACACATATATACACAAAAGTAATTTAGGGTGGTGTTCACTATTTGACGAGAATTGGAACATAATTGAAGATTCAAAGATTCAGAAAAGTGTGATGGTAGGAGTCAAGGCGCAGACTGTTGTTGATCTACCAACAATCCTTTTACAAGATTGAAGGAATAAGCCTGAAGTCATGAGTTGTTGGACGGAAGGTCGCAAAGCTGGTGACGTTCAGCGAGTTGAGTCTTGATAGAGTGAAATGATGTGAGCGTAAGTCAAAGTGAGCTATACTTTGCTTCAGATTTCTTCCAACTAGGATTTTCACGCACAAAAGTTCAATGTCATCTCTTAAACTTTATTTACTTTAATTGTACTTTTTTTTTTTTTTTTTTGTGAGTTTGGATTTAGTTTTATTCCGATAAAATTAAAATAAGTAAAAATTGAATAAAAGAGTAAGTAAAACATATTCACCTTTTAATACAAACTTCAACATCCATTCTACATATCGCGACTCAAAAATATTCATCTTGGCTTTGCAGATTAATAAACCAGCCTTTTGCAAGATAGAAAATAAAGGACATCGACCATTTTCTCAACTACTTAGAATCGACTACATGAATCCCGTATATCACATAGAAATGACAACAAAATTTCAGATAGCTAGTTCTTGTCAACTAAGTCTCCACTCTTGTTCAGAAAATTGTAGACAACGTTTCAAATTGATCTTGGAATATTATTCGGAGCTTCTTTGAGGATTGAAGGTAGCTGGGGATAACCCAAACTAACCTCTGTGAAGTAAAACCCATCATAACTATTGACTTTCCACGTCCACAATAATTGGTAAGCCAGAATTCTAACTACTTCAAAGAGATTGATTCTCTTGGCTTTTCTTTTCGAAAAAAATTCAACTATGTACAAGATGTTGACTCTCACTCTCTGAATGAATGAATTCATATATTTATTACAAACAAATAAAGAATGTTATATCTATAATTATATACATTACAACCTTCTCCAACTGTATAATTGAACTTAATTAAACGCTATATCTGCTCCTTGATTGATTGTAATCCAATACTAATATGGTGTAGAAGATATTCGCTTATGTTCAAATCGGTCATAAGCAGGTTGAGTTCTTAGGAATAACAGCACACTTGCTGCTAATCCCACAACAGAGACACACCCCCACCACACGAAGGTTAAGAAATAGCATTGTCTCCCCATGCACACTACTATGTCATTGGTGACGCCTCCTCCTGTTGCATAGGCATCATAAACCAGCGCAGCAAGGTAACCGTAGAGAAATGAACCGATTGGGATATTGGTGACGAGTAAGTTGTGGTTGACACCTACACTATTAGTCCCAAACAGTTCCGATGTTACTTGAACAGCACCTGCAAACCTGAACCCTGAGGTTAATCCAACCAAGGCAGTGCCTACTACCAGTGCCATCTCACTGCCTGAAGCAGCAAGCAAGAAGAAGGCAAATGGAAACGGAAAAAGTGCAATGGCAAACCAACCAGTCCTTGCAAGGTAGATTTTCCTGCACAAGTCATCAACATTTCCTTTTTAAGTACGTGTGTGTGTGTGTGTCCATAGAAAATAATTCTAATTGGGAACTCGTTTGATTACTTACCCACGCAAGATGTCCGGGGTTGCTGAAAGCAAGCGGCCAAAGAAGGAGAAGGATGAATAGAGTGTGATAAGGGTTGAGGTCATTGAAGTTTGTCCAAGTGATTGTGCAATCTGCCCTAGATTATTACTGTACACCAGCCCAAGTGTACCCGCACAAAAGTATGCAATATAGTATAGCCAAAAATCCAACCTACGAATAAGCCTTTGTGCGGTGTGCTCTTCTCCAATCATTGCCAACTGATCTTTCTCTATTATTGTTTTACAACACCCTTCACTAACTCCAGCAGTTTGGGTTGGAAACGAATACGTAGATTCATCACTATTAACAGATTTAGAGACTCCATTTCCTAATTTACTTGTCTTACTGCTGATGAGTTCTTCATGATCCACCACATCAACGAGAACAAAGCCTGAGCCCTCACGGCTGAAGCTTGAGAGGATGGAAAGAGGGAACCAATCTCGAGCATAGATGATGCTAGGGATACCTAAGGGGAGGATGAGGAGGACAACAGCCCCACCACAAAGGATACGAGCTGTTGTTAAATCTGTTGATCTGAGAAATAGTAGATAGATGCCAGTAACAACGGCCAACACATTTAATAAGAGGAATATGAAGAAATCTCGTCGAACAGCTTCAGGGGGAAGGGGGTCCAAAGGGGGTTGGCGAAGAATCGGTACGAGTGCTACAATGGATGTGAGAAGGGGTAGGACAGCATTGAGAAGAAGGTATAATGCATCAGACAATGGGTTAATTGCATTGGCGGCTAGGGTGTATAAGGCTGCACTTACACCATTGAAGCTCAGTGTTAGTGATAATGCAAGAGGCTGGTTATCTGGAAAATTTTGAATGCAGAGAGCGAAACAGACTGTGTTGAACCAGCATATGCTAACTCCAGCCAACACACACAAAAGAAATACCTACAACAAGTTTCAAACAATCAACCTCAGTTAAACTAGTAAAAGGCCTTAAAAGGTAGATGTGATGCAAATTTGTAGAAACATTTTTGTGCAAAATGAGATTTGAAAGGGCAATGTTGTTGCAGTAAAGTCATAATACAATAGTAATATAATGAATTATGATTCTAATTGCTACAAAAAAAAAAAAAAAATTGTAATGTAAGTATCATGCAGGTACTATGAAGAAAAAAGCAAGAAAAGCCAAAAGATTTTGACCAATGCCAAATAAATAAAAACAATAAAGCTATATAGTCCATCCCTACACAATATCACGGAAGAATTGACAATTCATTTTGGAAAAGCAAGAAAGAGAACTAATGAGTCCATCACTCCATCACATGTGATGCACAAGGATTTAAGTTGAAGCATTCAAGTAAAATGCAACACTGACAAAATTAAAGCGTCCAAGTTAAGTGCTCTGCTTAGAAAGCAAAAAGATTCTTGATGATTGCTAGCAATATCGAGCTACTTTAGTTGGACACTCGGCTTTCACATATTGCCATATTGGTTTGGAAACCAATCAAAACAGTTCTTGGTTTGGAAACCAATCAAAACAGTTCTTGTGATTGGTTTATAGTTCAAAGTGGTTGTGATTGATTCCATCAATCTTTGAAGGCAAGTGTCTAGCGACAATTGCCTGCACTCTTCAAGATTCTTCGATTAAGCATAATAAATATTTCTTCCGTTTTAAAATAGTAACTTTGAGAACCGTGATTCACAAAGTTTTCAAAGTATCCAATTATTTTTGAACGAAAAAAATAACAATATTTGTATCTAGTCGCATTCAACATTTCAAAGCTTGTGATTAGAATTTGAAGTTGTAAGAGACCTTAAAGTTGTAGGGACCTCAAAAGCATTTCGAGTCTTGTTTTCATTTTTTCTATGTTTGAAACAGAGCAATTTTGACAATGACAGGCCAAAAGGCCCCCAAAAACATAATTTAGAATAGCTGAGCTGTTTAGCTTGACTCAGCTCATTAAAGGCGTGGTTAGTGTTTGTTCATCAAATAAAACAAGACAAGCTCGACCTAATTATTTGTAATGTACAAAAATTTACAGCACGCAACAGGAATGCGTGACAACACTTCTAAAAACATGGTACCATACATGTTTTAAGTGGGGACAAAACTGAAATATGTTCTCTGTCATATCCTAACTTTTACTATGGAACCAAATAGTGACCCCTCTATGATACTTTTCTAAAATGTCAAGTTGTGGTGGAATAAAATGCATTTGTTTTGAAATAAGTATGTTATATATGATACTTTTTAAAATTGTATGAGTATGTTATGTATTATATTTCTTTTGTCTTAATTTAAGTATTGGTTTGGGGGAGTAGTAATTTTTAAAAGGACACGTGGAACATACATTGTTTCTCTAAAAATTTACTAGCTTACCATTTTAAGTTTTGAATATTCAAATTTAAAATTTTAAACTCACAGAACATATATGGATTGATGTGAAATATATTATTTAAAAAAAAAAATGAACTATTATTTTGAGACTAAAAAAAAAAGCATGACACTTATTTTGAGACAGAGAAAGTACTTTTTTAAAATGTTCCTCTCAATAATTGTAGTGAAATAAAATGCATTTGTTTTAAAATGAGTACGGTATATATATATATATATATATATATATATTATTAAAAGAATGTTGTGATGATGGAACAGATTAACAGAGTAATTGAAGTGCAAGAAATCATGAAAACCCAACTGTACTCTTCGATAGGCAGGTCTAATAAGTAGAATCAACATAGTAGGTTGTCAATTTTTATTTAAATAAAGAAACTATCATTGTTAATGGGCCACATTGAAAAGTATGGACTGTAGTGGGGTTATCTAGACCCTTGGAGAATAGAAAGTAGAAACTAAAAAGACAGAGAGATAAAAATCAAGGACGAATTGATAAAAATTACATCCATCTCTATACACATATGTGTGTGTTATAGCTTTATATGGTGAATTGCAATTAGGCCAAAAAAAATTAACATTGAATATTCGAAACCACAAGTTGCATGTTGCAGAGGAATGGAAATCATAAAGTATATTTATATATGTATATACATATAGAGAGAGAAATTAAGAAAAGGGTAGAAAACTAACCACGAAATAGGGCAAGCTAATGAAATTCCTGAGGACAAGCCATTGAAGACCATACCCAAAAAAGCCCATGATGGCCGCGACCAACAAGACGACCGACAAGGGCAGGTAGGCCAAAGCGAGGCCGGACGACCAGCCCACTGCCTTGCCGAGGTCGGACGCCACCGCGAGGTAGTTGAGCTGGACCTGAGAGATCCCCAGCACGGACTTCATCTCGGACGAGTATGCCGAGAAGTCGAAGTTGGTGCCCGTGAACGCCTGAATCCAAATCGTCACCGCCAAAATCATCCATTTCCGTGAGTGACCCGCCATGAAGAGGATCTCCGGCGGCAACCATTTACGGTGGCGAATGTTCCCGGCGGTGGCAACGCAGAATCTGCGTGATTGTGGTTGTAGGTGGAGGGAGTTATTCCGTTTCTGATTAGCGTCTCTACGTGGCCTCATTTATAAAAACGTTACACAGTTTTCATTCTCCTGATAACACTAAAACCAAAAATAGCTCCTCCTAAACTACTAGGATATTTATGGCATGCTTCATTAACTACAACCCTTTGCTTTCCCTCTTTCTTCTAAATTTAGTTTTCTCTTGTTATATATATTTTTTTAACCATTTTCAATCTCTTGTACTATAATTATTATTCATCTTTTGTAATTCTTTGAAATTTTTATTTTTCTCTTTTTAGATTTTTTTAAAACTTTATTTTCAAATAAATAATTGAAATCGATATACTCAAAAAATTCTGTCTTTCTTCTCCCTTTACATAAGCAATTGAAATTCATATGCTCAAATTGCAATAACTTTTAATTTCATGGATGATTAATTCGGCTTCCCTGTCACTTTCGTTTATGAACATTATTTCTTGATACTTTCGGATTCATCATTGTGGCTCATAGTTGCATGGATCGATTAACGATCAATCAAAAATGAGGTGGGATGAAATTAAAAATAATTTTAAAAACTTATATAAAAAAGTAAAATAAAAAAAAATAAAAATTAGTGTGAGTTATCACATTTATATGAAATTAAGATAAGGAATGTTTTGACTTACAAGTAAAATTGATTATTAGATAAAAATGGATGCTTGCCCTAGTTTTGCATAGCTCCAAAACTAGTACAAGCATCATATTTTAGTCTACCTATAGATAATTATATAATCTTAATTACACCATTTCTGAAATTCTGAATAATCATATTTTGTGAGTTTTCATAAGGATGAGCTTCTTTTTTTTTTTTTATCTCTTATAAAATTAGACCAATATTTCATAATAGTCAAAACTCAAAAGTTAATTTATAACCAAAAAAAAATTTATTTAATAAATAACTAATTAACAACTTGTTTTAAATAGTTGATATTTAATATTTATAAAGCCATTATAAATATATACTTATAATAGTTCAGTTTAGTATTTCTTTTATTAATAAATTTTATAAACAATATTCAAGTAGAATTAATAATAAAATAATTGTGATCGAAAATTAAAATAAACAATAATCAATAGAAATTATGTAACTTCTTTATGTATAAAATTAGTTGTCATCCATAAACTAAATAAAATTGCAGAACAGAAACCAAATTTATCAACTTGCTAGTCAACCTGAACCAGATTGAAAAGAGATAAGAGAAATTAAAATTTTAAAGAAAAAATTCAATTTACTGATATTTTAATTTGTTGTCATGTTTCTAATAAATTATTGAAAAAGTCTCATAATAGAGGAAATGTTGCTAATCAATTATTCAAAAATTTCAAAACAGGGAAAAGGTAACATACTGATTTTTTAAAAAATAAAAAATCCCAACTTTTTATGGAATAGAAAAAGTAGCAGAAAAATCATAACTTTACACTTACGATTTTATATTCTTCTCTATCATGATTCTTCTTTCTGTTGATTCTTCTTCAGCGGCAAACCCTATAAACAAAACAAATTTGTTGTCAAGTTTCTAATAAATTATTGAAAAAATCTCATAATAGAAAAAATGATGCTAATCAATTATTCAAAAAATTCAAAACAGGGAAAAGGTAACAAACTATTTTTTAAAAAATAAAAAATCCCAACTTTGCAGAAAAATCATAACTTTATACTTACAATTTTTTATTCTTCTCTATCATGATTCTTCTTTTTGTTGATTCTTACTGCAAACCCTATAAACAAAACAAAAGCAACTCTAAAAGCGAAACAGAGAAAATGAATTGAAAATAAGAAAAAAATCAAAAATTAAAGAATTCAAGTTACGTAAAAATATAAAGTACTTTCATGATACTTCTGAAAAAATGAAAAAGAAATCACAATGCAAACTAAATTTACAAGATCAACCATGTATTGTTGTCACTTGTCAACAATCAAACATTAAACAAAGAATAAAAAAATAAAACACTTTCATGGTGCTTCTGAGAAAATAAAAATAACAACTAAAGAAGAAAAACATAATTCTAAAGTACTTACCAGATGAAGGACAATTGACGGCCTTTGGGAGAAAAATCTCAACACCAATTACAAAGAGAAAATGAGCCAATATAGTTTTGGTAAAATACAAATAAAAAATAAATAAAATACTTTCATGATAGTTTTGAAATAATAAAAAATAAATCACAATACAAACTAAATTTACAAGATTAACCATTGTTGTCACCAACCAAACATAAAACACTAACATAAAAAATAGGATTACCTATTTTATTTTAATTGGTAACTTGTTTTAATTGTTTTAGTAAGAAGAATTTCGAGTATAATAGGATTTATTTTAATTGGTAACTTTTAAGAGTATAATATGATTTATTCTGATATAATAGAATTTATTTTAATTGGTAACTTTTAAGAGTATAAATAGCATTTATTTTAAATGGTAATTTATTTATTTATTTATTTATTTATTTATTTATTTTTAGTGATGATTTGAAATTCTTGATACCCCTTGGTCCCCCCTTGTACAAAAAATCTGAATTACAAAGAGAAAATGGACGTTTCGTAAATTATTTTATTAAACAATTACCTATTTTATTTTAATTGGGAATAGTTATTTTTAATGATGATTTGAAATTCTTGATCACATCCCTTGTATAAAAAATCTGAACACCAATTACAAATTGAAAATGGGCATTTGGTAAATTATTTTATTAAGCAATTACCTATTTTATTACCTTTACCTGACCCACTTATTTTATCTTTTAAACTTGTGGTTTTTTTCTTTTTTTCTTTTTGGGCCCATTGCCAAAAATCACCCTTTATTATTACCCAGTTGCGAAAAAGCCCTTATAAATATTTTTGGCAAAAAATCTTCCTCAACTATCCCAGGGTGTATTTTTAACTAATGTCCGTTTAAGTGGTTGTCTGAGGGATCTTTTTGGACAAAATTACTCCCTTAACAGATTATTCTTCAGACAATTTATTTATTTATTCTCTCTTCTCTCTCCGCATGAAATAAGTCTTCTTAATTCCATATTTCTCAACCTTTACCTAACCCACTTATTTTACCTTTTAAACTTGTGGTTTTTTTCTTTTTTTCTTTTTGGGCCAATTGCCAAAAATCACCCTTTATTATTACTCAGTTGCAAAAAAGCCCTTATAAATATTTTTGGCAAAAAATCCCCCTCAACTATCCCAGGGTATGTTTTTAACTAATGTCCGTTTAAGCGGTTGTCTGAGGGATATTTTTGGACAAAATTACTCCCTTAACATATTATTCTTCAAATAATTTATTTATTTATTCTCTCTTGCATGAAATAAGTCTTCTTATTTCTTCAAATACAAAGCTAACAGTCAATCGAAAAAACCCAATTATTAAAAATTTATCTTTCAACACTGTTTGGACAACATGATATAACACATGTAAACTATAATTGAGGTCCCATGAATACTCAGCTATACACATAACCTATGACTTATTTCTATTTATTTACTTTTGTTATTGTTTTTTATTTATTTATTTATGATTTCATCCATGTAATTGAACAAATCTTTTGTATTTAAAAAATGTTATTTTTCCTTTGATTTCTCACCATCTTAATAATAAGAATTAAAAATAAATAAAAAATCTTCTTAATAATAAGAGTGAGTAACCTTCTCAGAAATTACCCCTATACTTCGTCCACATGGTATGTAATTTTCGAACAGTATGTGGTGTATTTAAAACAATTTTGAAGTAGTTGGTGGTCAAATCAAAACAATATATGATGAGATGATTAATGCATTTATCTCAAACTAAATAATTTAAATATCCTTTATAATTAGATTCTTGTGAATTGAATATAGGGCAACGATATCTTTTCACATTTAAAGTGTTCATATTTTTAGGTTTTTAACTTGAATACATCAACTATAACAATTTCGCCACAAAAAATTATTTTGGGGTATTTCGTGTTCCCGAAGTAAGAAATTTTTTTTTACAAAAATTAGATTTGAAAAAAAAAGAAGAAGAAATTATGTTGCTTTTTAATTGCCAATTTTAGTCCACTTAAGCATAAGGAAAAGAAAGAATTTGGACTAAGGAAGCATGGCAAATTATTAATTATTAAATAGTAGAAGATGAAAAAATTAAGCAGCTTAAGAACTCTTTCAATGCACTTGATCTTTAGTAGTTACTAGCTACAATTAATTATTTTTAAAACAGTAGCTACCCAGACTCACACCCTATCGTTCTATCAAAAACCAATTGCTAACAATCCTTGACTTTGCACTCCCCCATCCAACAGCTCTCAACCTCAGGCTTATTCTTGACCTCTGTAGAAAGACTGCTGGTAAATCAAATAATACTCCACGAATGCTTTGACCCATTCAAAGTATGATCGCTTTATCCATTTTCTTCAAATCTGAATTTAATGAAGAATGAATAGATCTGTTTTTCGAAATTTCTGAATCTTCATGCTCCAATTTCAATGAGATAGAGAATAACACTACTAAAGCACTCATGTATATATGTGTGTGCTCTCAAAATAAAAATAGAAAAATCAGGTTTAATTTTCTGAAAAATATCTCTCAAAATAATAAAATTGTGTTCTAAAAAGTCGTACCTCAATGTTAAATAAAAGAAAGATTATATAAAAGTTTGAAAGACCTAAAGATACATATAAACCAAGTCAAATTTGTACATAGGTTTTTGGAAGGAAGTCTACACATAATATGAATCGAAATAGATCAGGAAGGTAAGTTACTAAAACAGATCTGAAGACCTTGAACCGGTTCAGCAAAGTGGAACCGGTTCAAGATGATGTGATACCCCTTAATTTCGGAATACGGATTGATCAAATCCGCACACAAAATTAAAGGATATCAAAACAATTAAAATATTCCAAACAAACGTAGAGTACAAAAAAAAAAAAAAAAAAAAAAAAAAAAAAGAAGAAGAAGAAGAAGAAATAACTCACTGAAAAAAACTAATAAATAATAATTTCATTTAATACTTCTCCAAAACTACAACTCGGGAATCCCGTAATTCATAGACCCCTAAAAAATATTATCGAATAAATAACAATATTACTTAAAAGTAAACAAGATGAGTAGATGAATGACAGTTTCCCAGCTGCGGATCCTCAACCTCGAGACTGAAACTTCTAATAACCTGAAAAATAAATCGTGGGTTAGACCCACGAGCAAATTCTCTCTACCAAGCCTCTGAAAGCTAATAAAAAAAATCATATCTGTCCAAAACAATCCTATTAAAGTTTTTATCTTTAATATACAGTGATACACCCGTATATAAAAACAACAGTCACATCTATTACTAAGTTCATTAATTCCAAAACAATTATCAATGATTAAATAATAATCATACCTAGAACAATCTACCATTTATTTTAAAGAAAAGTTCCTTAACCTCAATTCCATCATAGACAATTAATTAATCATTTAAACAATAAACTATAATTAAAGGAATATTGCATTTAATCCAATATCTAATAATAATTTTAATTATTTAAATCATATAGCCAATATATATGCATTGACAAATCATCCATGTCTCCACCAATATTATTTTATTAATATATATAAAATAATACACTAACCTGTAAGTACTATATTATTCTAATTTAAGAATATTTAATCTTAATCCAACCTATACAAACAATAACCATAAATAAAATTTTAATCATTTAATATATAACAATTTAATTATGCATTGGCAATTTAATCATGCCATTATAAATATATTTATTTATATATTGGCAATTCAACCATGCCTCCTTAAGTATATTTATTTATACATTAGTAATTCAACCATGCCTCCATATATGTATATTTATTTATACATATATTTAAGTTTTTGGAACTCATCCATACCTACAATTTAACCATGTACCAACTTAAAACTTAACAATAAACGAAATCATACATAGACATCCAATGCATATCAAAAGCATAACATTAATTTCATAACTAGTCTATTATGATTTAATCAACCATACTACCTATAAAGCATGATATACCAAATATGAATAATAATATTAATTATCTTAAATGATATATGATATACACATATATTCTTTAAAATATATAGATATGTATACACCCTTCTTAATAATCCTTGATTATTTAAAATCACATATACATATATATCAATGATTATATATATGCACACACACAAACATATATATATATTTATTTATTTATACATCCATTCATATAACTCATAAATTAGATAAGCCATCCATAAAACTCATTGCTACAATCACTTCAAAATTTGTACTTATTTTTTTAAAATATGTGAATCTTCAAAGTCTGAAGGGATTTTAACTTTTATACATATGATATGCATAAAATATCTGTTACTTCTCTTTCCATTGCTTTTTCTTTTATTTTCTTTTTGTGCAATTGAATATGTGGACTATGATGATGGGTGGACCTACCTCTTGTTTTGGAAAAGTATACATCATTTTGACGAAGACTGTTATGGAACAGATCACATAATGACTGCATGACCAGAAACTTGAATCGACGTATGTGGTGAACTTTGAGATTCACAAACTTTATCCTTTGTCAATTTTCCTCTCTTGTTGTTTTCTTTATTAAGAACCAAAATTAAGAATGCTAAGTTTATCATTTCATTTTCTATTGTTTGGTCCACCTTTCTAACTTAATTTGCTAAGTTTTCTTTAAAAATGTCTTATTAACTTTGGATAAATTGCATTAACACCTCTTTAGGTTTAGATTAAAAATAATTATCTACAATTTAAACACTTTTTGAACAGTAACTCCTCTAGGTTTGGTAAACTAAACAAAGATACCACCAACTATGATAAAAATACGTACTTACCATTTAACTTCTAAATTAATTCATGTAAACCATTAAATTACTTTTATAATCTCCTATTAATTAACCAAAATGACCCTTAAGAGAGTGGGAAAAAAAAATCCGTGAACCATCTTGGGATGCAAATCAAACCCTAAACTATTCAAAAGTTGCAAATCACCCCCTCCCAATCACCCTGAACTAATATATTCCTTCCTTGGTATGATTTTGGTAAAAGTATATATCATTTTGATAAAGATGGCTATGGAATAAATCACATAATGCCTACGTGATCTGACAATAAAACTTGAATCGACATATGTGGTGGACTTATGAGATTCATAAACTTTTATTCTTTGTCAATTTCCCTCTATTGTTGTTTTCTCTATTAAGAACCAAAATTAAGAATGCCAAGTTAATTCCTTTCATTTTCTATTGGTTGGTCCATATGTTGAAAAAACTTGTGAATAAAACTTGCATGCAACGTAAGTTGAAAAATAAAGCCAGGTTAGACAAATAATGTGAATGTGATTTTGAGTGTCTATGTGGCGACCTTGTGGATGGTGTGCCGTAAGCGGGTGTAGAGGCACTAATAGACTACCATACTGGATGAGGTATAGGTTGCACAATCCTACATCACTTGGGTAAAGGAAATGTAAAGTGCTTATATATGGTGGTATTATCTCAAATTGGTATTAGGCATTTTGGGATAAAATCTAAGAGTAAAATCGTGTGGGTTCAGGCTCAAAGCGGACAATATCATACCATGTGGTGGAGTGAACCATTACAAATGGTATTAGAGCTAGAAGTGTGGTCAACGAGGATGTTAGGCCCAGGGGGTGATTGTGGCAACTTTATAAACTGGTGCATATCAGAGTGAATATGTTTTAAAAATATGAATCAAATTCTAGCCTCGGCCTATTATATATATATATAGTTTAATATATTTTACTCTAATTTATAATTATATTTTAAATTTTGTATAATATTTAAATAGCACTAATTGTACTTTCAACAACTCTACCTTTCTAACTTAATTGCTTTAGAAATGTCCAACAGGACTATGTCACCCACAAACAAATTTCTTATTACTTTTTTTGTAATCTCATGTAGAATTAATTTGAATAAATATGGACCAAGTTTTATTTGATCTGATGGACAAAATGGAACTATTAAAAACATTTGTGATACGTGTCATGAAAATTCATGACAGTTAAATCATATTCTGTGCCGCTCATGGAGCTAGTGTTTTGAATATTTTTCTAAAATATATTGTCAAAACTAATATAGCAATTACTACCCCTCAAGGGCACAATGGCGTTGGCAAAGATCCATGAGGTAAGTCTTCGGGATCTGGCTTTCAAATCGCACTCCTAACTTAAATAGTGCATGTGTTATGAAGCCAATACACGTGAAGAAAAAAACACAAACATAGGACAATAATGTTTTACCACAATACGGTGATGAAAAGGCCAATATGAGTGGATATTAGTATAATCTTTTTTGATGTATAGTCTAGTATTGTTGGGCCTAATTTAATGGGTATAGAGTATCTCCCTATCTATTCGTGGACCTCGAATCCTCTCAACCCAACACCAAATTAATGGGCTGGATCATAATACCTTAAGCCCAGTAAACATAACGAGTTGGACCCTATCATAATTTCTCAAAAACCAGATTGGGCTTAGTTCCATTAGGCCTGGCCAGTATCTCACATTTGGCCCTACTATCTCTCTCTCCCTCTCTCTTTCACACGCGCGCACAGAAATTTTCACAGTGCCTACCTGCGGCAGGGTTTTAGACAAATTGAAAAACTCCGTGGCCGTTTTTGCGCCTCTCAACATGCAATGAAACTCAAGGCGACTTCGCCGCCACCGCCACCGCCACCGCCACCACCATCAAAGCCACCTTTAATTCTCTAAAGGCAGGCTCAAACAGCGCTAAACCCAAAAATCCAAACCTTCTCTGTTTATGCATCCATCAATGGATTTGAGAAGACTCGCAATCGCCAAACCCACTTCAAGCTTCTCACCCTTCACGCGTCTCTTAACCTTCGTGACCTCCAACGCCCAGCAACAACAAGAGACCGAACGACCACAGAAGCAATTAGAGCACCAAAAGCAGTCAGAACCGTTTGATAAGAGTTTTCTCATGTGGGTAACCTCGATCCTCTCAAAACCATTTCTAGATTCCTCTAAATGTAACGATATTGTAGCCACTTTGTCTCCTTCCCAATTCGATAGCGTTCTCTTTGACATTCACTTATCAGTGAACCCAAAAACTGTTTTGAGTTTCTTTCATTTTGCTTCTGATTCTTATGGGTTTAGATTCACTGTTAGATCTTATTGCGTTTTAATTCGTTTGCTTATTGGTTCAAAACTTGATGATGCCGCTCGCTTGCTTTTGATTCGGTTAACTGATTTGAAGCTTCCAGTTTTGTTTAATGACACCAAAAATAGGCATCTTGAGATAGCCATTGCACTGGTGAATTTGAATACGGTGTCCGAGTCTGCTCTTAGCGTTCGGACATTTGATTTATTGATACATGTCTATTGTACCCAATTCAAAAATTTGGGTTTTGACTTTGCATTGGACGTATTCCAGTTGTTGGCAAGTAAGGGTATGTTTGCGTCTTTGAGGACTTGTAACTATTTGTTGAGTTCTCTTGTGAAGGACAATCAACTCCAGAAGAGTTACGATGTGTTTGACATTATATGCAAAGGTGTTATACCAGATGTTTATTCGTTTACTACAGCAATTAATGCATTTTGCAAGGGAGGGAAGGTTAAAGATGCAATGGGGTTGTTTTTGAAAATGGAGAAGATGTGTGTTTCTCCGAATGTTGTTACATACAATAATATCATACACGGGCTGTGTAAAAATGGGGATTTGGATGAGGCTTTTCAGCTGAAAGAGAAAATGATAAAGAATGGCTTAAACCCAAGTCTTATAACATATAGTGTCCTTATTAATGGTTTGATGAAGTTTGAGAGATTTGATGAAGCCAATTGTGTTTTGAATGAAATGTTGGAAAAGGGTTTTTTACCGAATGAGGTAGTTTATAACACGTTGATTGGTGGGTATTGTAAAATAGGGAATGTTAGGAATGCAATGAAGGTAAGGGATGATATGGTATTGAGGGGATTCAAGCCCAATTCAGTTACTTTTAATTCACTTATTCAAGGTTTCTGCAAGACTAATAAGATGGATCAAGCCCAGCAGCTTTTGGAAGAGATGCTCTCGATGGAGTTATCAATAAATCTCGGTGCTTTTTCTGCAGTTATTCTATGGCTTTGTGTGAATTCTAAGTTCGACTTGGCACTACGATTTGTTAGGGAAATGCTGTGGAGAAAATTAAGGCCAAATGATGGCTTGCTGACCATGCTAGTTGGTGGGCTTTGTAAGGAGGGTAAGCATTCGGATGCAATTGACCTTTGGTTCAGACTACTGGAGAAAGGGTTTGCAGCAAATATAGTGACCTCAAATGCTCTTATTCATGGACTTTGTGTGGCAGGAAACATGCTTGAGGCTGTTAGGCTTCTCAAGGAGATGCTAAAGAGAGGTTTGCAATTAGATAGGATTACATACAACACACTCATCGGGGGGTGTTGCAAAGAGGGGAAATTGGTGGAAGGATTTAAGCTAAGGGAAGAGATGGTTAAGCGAGGCATTCAACCAGACAGTTATACTTACAATCTTTTGATACATGGACTATGCAATGTGGGCAAGATGGATGAAGCTATGTTGCTTTGGAATGAGTGCAAGAAGAATGGTCTGGTTCCCGATGTTTATACATATGGGGCCATGATAGATGGATATTGTAAAGCTGAGAAAATTGAAGAGGGGAAAGATTTCTTTAATGAGCTGCTTAAGCAGAATATGGAGTTAAATTCAATTGTTTATAATGCACTTATTAGAGCTTACAGTAGAAACGGGAATATGGTGGAGGCCTATAGACTTCGGGATGACATGAGAAGCAAGGGCATTCCACCAACTCTTGCCACATATTCTTCTCTGATACATGGGATGTGCAATATTGGCTGTGTTGAGGATGCAAAACACCTTTTTGATGAAATGCGAAAGGAGGGCTTGTTGCCAAATATCATTTGTTATACTGCCCTAATAGGTGGTTATTGTAAGTTAGGTCAGATGGATAAACTGGGGAGTGTCTTGCAGGAGATGTCTTCAAATGACATACATCCTAATAAAATTACATACACTGTCATGATTGCTGGGTATTGTAAAGCAGGTGATATGAACAAAGCCAGGAAGCTTCTCGATGAGATGGTAGAAAAGGGAATTGTTCCTGACTCTGTCACTTATAATACTTTTACCGATGGATTTTGCAAGGAAGGGAAGGTAGAAGAAGCTTTTAAAACTTGCGATCTTATGTCTCAGAGAGGAGTAAAATTAGATGAAGTTACATACACTACTTTAATTCATGGGTTGCACCAGCACTCAACAAGTACAAATCAAAAATGATCAGTATAGTCCTAAAAGGTCAGGTTCTTAATTTGTACATGAAATATTGCATCTAATCCGTACTCCGTTGTTTCAATTAATTGTTTGCAGATTTTTTTGTTGTGTTCTCTTGCAAGGTTGTTGGTTTTTATGATCAATAAATGCTTTTTTGCTTTACCCTTTTCAGGCAAGCTGATTGTTTACCATGGGATGGCAACCTCACCTTCTCTTTCAAGAACCAGTTGATGTTTACCTAAGATATTAATCACCATAAAGTTTCCTCTATCAGGTCTGATTTGGACCCTTCTCTTTTTTTTTTCCTCCCCTGTTACCGGTGTCATATATGGTCCTAGTTGGTTTACAATTTCTTATTCTTCCATGGGTACAGGCAGAGGCGTGTTGCTGATCATGAGTTTGCTATGGGACGACAATGTTCTCTTTGTGGCTTCGTAAGTCATTCTATCAGTATAATCTGTTCTTTTGATGTTTGAGCAGTCTCTGTGTATGCCTCTTGAAATTACCTCGCTATGACATTGTTGTATTTTGACCGTGGTATCAAATTTTATGTTTTCGGAATACTTACATTTTGAAGCCTTCCTCTCTCTTTTTTTATTTTTTATTTTTATTCTTTCTAAATTCTTTTCAAGCTTTAAGCCTTGTAGCTATATTTTTTTAAAGAAGTTTGCTACGGTAAGACAATTTTCTCTTTGTGGTTTAGTAAGTCATGCTATCCTCATAATCTGTTCTTTTGATGGATGAGCAGTCTCTTTGTGTATCTGCCTCCTGAAGTTAGCTCGCTAGGACACTGTTGTATATTGACCATGTATCAAATTTTCCGTTTTCATAAAACTTACATTTGGAAGTTTTCCTCTCGTTTTCTTTTATTTTTATTCTATCTAAATTCTTTTCGAGCTTGAAGCCTTGGAACCATAATTTTTTAAAGAAGTTTGCTATGGGAAAACAATTTTCTCTTTGTGGTTTAGTAAGTCATTCTATCCGTATAATCTATTATTTTGATGGATGGGCACTCTCTGTGTGTATCAGTAGAAATACAATATAGAAGAAAAATGAGAAAATTGTGTAAAGGCTTGAATGAGATGAACCACTCATTCACATCTCTAGTATCTAGTATTTATAGATAAAAAGAGCACATGCTTATATTACAAGAAAGGAAACTAAATCAAATCTAAATCAAATTACAACATATTCTAAAACATATTATATGGCATATTCTATAGCATAATCAAATCTCTGCTAATATGGTAAGTCATTCCATAAATCGTGGCTATCATATATGCTAACACATGCATAATCATGCTAATATGGTAAGTTATTCTATAAATTATGGCTACCATATATGCTAACACTCTCCCTCAAGTTGGTGCGTGGATATCTGAAACGTCTAACTTGGACAGTGCATTCTCAAACACAATCTTGTTGACTCCCTTTGTAAGAATGTCTGCAAGCTGCTGAGAGCTTGTGACAAATGGAGTGCAAATTTGACCAGTGATGATCTTCTCTCGAATGGAGTGACGGTCCACCTCTATATACTTAGTCCTGTCATGCTGAACGGGATTTGCTACTATGCTTATGGCAAACTTGTTGTCGTAGTAGAGTGAGAATGGAAGTGACACTGGAAGGCACAAGTCTGTCATTAAGGTTTTCAGCCATAGCAACTCACATACCCCAAGAGCCATAGCCCTATACTCTGCCTCTACACTAGATCGAGAGACAACATCCTGTTTCTTACTGCGCCAAGTAACCAAGTTACCACCAATAGTGGTACAATAATCCGAAGTTGACCTCCTATTTGAAACTGATCCTGCATAATCAGCATCTGTCCAAGCCTCAACACTTAAGTGACCATGATTGGCAAACAAAATACTATGGCTCGGACACCCTTTTAAGTAGCGAAGGATCCGAATAGCTGCATCAAGGTGAGGGGTACGAGGAGAGTGCATGAATTGACTCTCGACACTCACGGCATAAGCAATATCAAGTCGAGTCATAGATAAATAGATGAGTTTCCCCACAAGTCGTTGATATTGACCAACATCTTACAACAACTTCCCCTCAGAACAGCCAACCGATGATTTTGCTCAATCGGAGTATTAGCAGGACGAGCGCCAAGCTGATCAGAAGCAGAAAGTAAGTCAAGAACATACTTGCGTTGAGAGATGAAAATGCCAGCCTTGGAGCGAGCCACCTCAATGCCCAAGAAGTACCGTAGGGGACCAAGATCCTTAATCTCAAACTTACAGCCAAGATAGCTCTTAACCTCAGCAATTCCGGTAGTATCATCTCCGGTAAGAACAATATCATCGACATGTACAATGAGAGCAACTGTTTTACCTCCTGAATGACGCAAAAACAAGGTATGATCAGTTACACTCTAGTGGAAACTAAACTTGAGCATGGCGGTGCCAAAGCGATCAGACCAAGCTCGAGGAGACTGCTTGAGGCCATACAGAGAACGACGAAGACGACAAACCATACCAGAATGAGCATGAGAACGAAAGCCTGGAAGAGGAACCATGTACACCTCCTCCTGCAAATCACCATTGAGAAAGGCATTGTTGACGTCTAACTGAAATAGAGGCCAATATCGAATCGCAGTAACGGAAAATAATACACGGATGATATTCATCTTGGCAACAGCGGCAAAAGTCTCTTAATAATTTATGCCATAAGTCTGAGCATAACCCTTGGCGACCAATCGGGCCTTGTAATGAGCAACTGATCCATCTGGATTATGCTTAACTGTAAACACCAAACAACAACCTATAACCTTTCGTCCAATAGGAAGTGAAACCATGTCCCAAGTCTGATTTTTCTCAAGTGCTTGTAGTTCTTCTGTCATAACATCACGCCATTGAGGTTGTGCTAGTGCATTTGCAACACTAGACGGAAGAGGAACCGAGGCAACAGAAAGAAGAAAACTTCGATAGGAGGATGAGAGAGCACAATCAGAAACAAAATTAGAAATGAAGGTACATGTGCTTGAGGTGACAAAGAAGCATCCAACAGGTATAGACGGCCCACTTAACGCCCACTGCCAATCATCCGTTTCGACTCCAGATCCTGAAAAATACAATGAGAGGGAAAGAACGTTACACTGCAATTTAATTGTTTGGTAACGCTACTAACAGAAATAAGATTTGTAACTGTGGAACATGAAGTGTATCTTCCTCTTGAATTTAGCTCGCTAGGACATTGTTGTATTTTGAACATGGTATCAAATTTTATGTTTTCATAGAACTTACATTTTGAATCCTTCCTCTCTTTTTCTTTAATTTTTATTCTTTCTTAATTTTTTTTCCAGCTTGAAGCCTTGGAACCATAATTTTTTTAAAGAAGATGAACTGTCTCACAAATCATATTGCTTCTTTTAGTTTTATTAGGCACAAAGAAGCATTGATTTATAGAATCATATTGGTTGAATATGCTTGTGGCGCTATTATAGTTTTTGGTTTCTGTTTTTGCTTTTGCAACTGGTAAGATGAGTTATATGTGATCTAAATAAGCTTTGCACAATTTATAGGATAAATGCCCACTGATGAAGCTCATATGTTGGGGGCTTTGTGGAGGTTCATACATGAGCATTGAGTAGTATAGGAAGCTAAACCTGATCATAAGTATTCTTTTGAGCATTCCAAGATATTTTTTTGTCCCTTTTCAAAATTATGGTTTAGTTGCCAAGAGAGTAAAGGAACTTTAAGGACGTTCTCTTCTAGTGTGGGGAGGTAACATATTTAATTGTCTTATTGCAACGCTGGTTCTTGTTCGAAAGAAATTTGGTGGGTTGGGTTTGTGATTGTTATGGTAATTAGTCATGTGATTTGTGCTCTATGGGGATTTTAGAAATTTGAGGTGGAAAGTGAGGTGATGTTTTGCAAGCTTGGTTGTGTTGGTATGCTTAGTGGACTTTTTGAGAAGTTATAGTGTAGGTTTCTCTAAGGGTGTTGGGAATGGTATTGTCTCTTGGTATGCTTAATGGACTTTTTGAGAAGTTATAGTCCTGTTTTGTATTTCCTGTGCTCGTTTTTCAGTTCTTGTGAATGGAACTCCGATCGGTTTTTTCTCTAGTTCGAGGGGGTTGAGACAAGGAGATCCTATTTCTCCGTTCTTGTTCCTCTTTGTGATGTAAGCCCTTAGTAGATTAATTAAAAGGGCGGTTGATTTGGGTTTTTTGAGAGGCTTTAGGGTGGGCAGAGATGCTGCTAGCCAGTTGGAGATTTCTCACTTGATGTTTGCTGATGACACTTTTGTGCTCTGTGATGCTGATGCGACTCAGTTGAGATATCTGAGATGTGTTTTGGTTTGGTTCCAAGTTGTCTCTGGGTTAAAGGTGAATGTTGGTAAGAGTGTTCTTGTGCCGGTTGGGGATGTCCCAAAGATTGAGAGGTTTGCCCAGATTCTCGGTTGTCGCACTGGCTCCTTTCCTATTTCTTACTTAGGGTTGCCCCTGGGTGCTCCTTCGAGATGTGTGGGGAGTTGGGATCCGGTTGTGGATAGATTTGAACGAAGGCTGGCGGGTTGGAAGAAACAGTATCTCTCAAAGGGGGGTCGGGTCACTCTGATTAAGAGTATCCTTTCTTGCCTCCCCATTTATTTCATCTCTCTTTTTCAGATTCCTTCCTCTGTGGCGGAGAGGATTGAGAGATTGCAACGCAATTTTCTTTTTTTTTTTTTTTTGGGGGGGGGGGGGGGAGTTTAAGTATCACTTAGGTTCGTTGGGAGCAAGTGTGTCGTCTTATTCGGAGGGGTGGTTTGGGGATTAGGAGGTTGGTGCCTTTCAATAAGGCCCTCCTTGGGAAATGGCTGTGGAGGTTTGGGGTAGAGAGGCGATGGCCTTGGAGGAGGGTTATTGCGCATAAATTTGGGGAGAGCAGTGGAGGGTGGTGTTCTCTTTTGGCGCGTGGTCCTAGGGGTGTGGGGGTTTGGACTGCCATTCGAAAGGGGTGGGACGATTTCTGCAAGCATGTTCGTTTTCGAATCAGGGATGGTAGAAGGATCAGATTTTAGGAGGATCTTTGGTGTGGGGAGCTTCCTCTTGCGCTTGCTTTCCCACGGCTTTTTAGGATTGCCTCACATAGGCAGGCCATGGTGATCGACTGTTATCATTTTGATAACGGCAGATTGACTTGGGATGTTCAGTTTAGGAGGCACTTCCAGGATTGGGAGATTGAGGAGGTGACCCGGTTTTTGGAGTTGTTGTACTGTCAGACGATTTCAGTTAGAGATCCTGACTATTGGCTTTGGATTCCTAACCCTCAGGGTCGTTTTGAGGTGAGATCCTTCTTCAGGTGTCTTTCGGTTGGCGCTGGCTGTGTTACCTGGACTCGTCAGTGAAGGCCAGAGTGCCCGTGTCGACACGACACGACACGAACACGGACACAGGATATACGTCCGACCCTCCATTCTTCAATCGGACACGACTGACCAAGAAAATACATAGAATGATGTGTAGTTTGATGCTTGTGAAGGATCAGGAATTTTTTTCGTGTTTTTTTGTTAAATCTGTAGCCATACGAAGTTTTCTATTTCAACAATGGCGTTCTGGTTCGGATCGGTGGTCTGGAGGTTGAAGACACTTGCTGTTTGTGAACTAGCACGCGCTGGCTTTTGTTCAATTTTTTGTGCCATCTTGAGCGTGGTTTCACGCAATTGTTAATAACTTAACACCTGTTTATTTGGATCTGAAAAGATAAGGGATGGGACACAGTTGTAAAGCATTACTGTGGTGGGTTACAGTTGTAAGCCTGTAACTTTGCTTTTTACAGTTATAAATACCATGTACATTGAATGGGCCTCCTTTTTAATTGTGCTTTGGACTTGTGCAAGCCCAAAACCCAAGCATCAATCAATGACTAAAATGCACAAAAAGACATATTAGCCCATATTGAATTAGTCATTCTTTTTAATCGTGCTTTGACTTGTACAGGCCCAAATGCCAAGATTCACATACAGAGGCATATTAGCCCAAGCCCAAACCCGCCCTTGGGTATACAAAAGAAGCCCTACAGTTCAGAATTTCTTATTTACAGGTTCCATAAAATAGCAGTAACAGGGGAATGCATAGCCATGACATGCCACAAATCAAATGAGGCAAACAAATGCAGTAATAATTATAAATTTTTTATAAAAAAGTACAATTGATATATATATTTTTTAGTTTTATGATTAATGTCTCAAACATAAAAAAAAACTTACAAATTTTTCTCTCTTTTCAAAGTGTCCAAATACCCGTGTCCAATATTTGGACACTTTTAATCCGTGTCCCCGTATCCTGAAAATAGATAGATTGACGAATCCGACCCCTAGACACGTATCCGTGTCCGACACCCGTACCCGAGTCCGGGTAACATAGGGCGCTGGCGGTTTTTTTCCTTGGAAGTCCATTTGGCGAACCAAGGCTTCTCTTAAGATGGCCTTCTTTGCTTGGACTTCTGTCTTGGGTAGGATTTTGACTCAGGATAATTTGAGGAGGAGGAATCAGGTGGTGGTTAATAGATGTTATTTGTGCTTGCGAGATGCGGAGACCGTTGATCACCTTCTTCTTCATTGCAGCATGGCTAGGGACTGTTGGGTTTTGATGATTGGGCTGTTTGTGATTCCTTGGGTTATGCCGGAATCCTCTAGAGGGTTGATTGAGGCTTGGAGATGATGTTTAGTGGGGGCTCTCACTCGGGACGCTTGGAGGGCGACGCCTCTGTGCATTTGGTGGTGTATTTGGCTTGAGAGAAATCGGAGATATTTCGAAGGAAAGGAGAAGCCTATCTCTATGCTTAAGTTCTCTATTATCTCCACTCTTTTTTGTTGGGTTTCAGGGAGAGATTTTCGATCTGTAGAGGAGTTGGTTGTTTTTTTGGCCTCTTTGATGGCTTGAGGCATTTTGGCCTTGTTTTGTCCTTGGGTTTCGCTCCCCCTTTGAGCGGTTTCTTTAATAAATTTTACTTATAAAAAAAAAAAACAAAACAAAAAAAAGGATGAGTTTAAAGTTTGGCGCACATGGATTGTGTTAAATTCAGTGTACATAGAATCGAGAAGCTGACTTGGCCGAGTTGGATGAGGAACATACTCACCAATTTGGTGGGTTGGGTTTGTGATTGTTTTGGTAATAAAGTTTTTTTTTTTTTTTTTTTTTTTTTTGTAATTTTCTCTAGACTAGTTGGAAATGCTTTTGCTCTTAAAGGGTGATTTTCTAGCTTTATTAGAGTGCCTTTAGGAAGTATCTACGTTGGGATGAGGGGCTTTTTGAGGCTGTGGCCAGTACCCCCAACCACCCCCAAAAAAAAAAAAAAAAAAAAAAAAAAAAAAAAAAAAAATTTATACTGCTTTCTTTGTCCTATGCTTCTTGATGCAAATTAAGTTTGATTTTCTTTTGCGCTGTGGAGGCTGAGATCTCCCAGATTTTTTTTTTTTTTGGGTAAATACTTATGCACATTTCACAAATTACCTGCTATGGGGGTTGAACCCCCACCTCCACTTTGAGGGAGGAGAGGTTATACCATTGGGCCAATGCCCACTGGTGAGATCTATTTGATTCTTACATCTCTTAATGAATGATAAGGCAGATTTTCTGGCAAAGCATGTGGCTTCACCTTAAAGAACTTTAGTGGTCATCTTTACCATCCTTGAGGAATTACTGAGGCTAAGTTTATAGGGATTACAAGGGCTAGCTATTTAACATTTTCTTGCTTTCTGTTCTTTTCCATTGTGTTGTGGCGTTGTTTTCCTCGTAATACATTTATTTATTTTTCATATAGAAAAACGGAATTGTAGTTCTTGTTTTGTTCTTCTCCACTATTTTGTATTATAGTTAATTAATATTGAGCTCTGTAGGTGGAACTCAACGATCGGACACATAAAAATCATCATGGTATGAGCCTCTACCCTGGTCCATAGGCATGTAATTAGAAAATTTTGTACTAGGTAGCTGCAAGTATTTTGTCAGTGATTACTAGCTTGTGGCTTGGATGCTTTTTTTCGCTTACAGCTACAGCAAATAGAGTTTGATGTTAACCCAGGTAACGCAATGCAAGATGGAAATTTCCCCCAAATGGGAACCTGCTCATATTAAGAGGTGAATGCCCTGGTCAGCCAATGCTTTGTTGTTTTCCATTCAGATTCTCTTTGCTGGGATACATGAACATGCAAGTTCTTCAAAGACGAAAAGTTCACTATGCAAATAATTGTATCTCATTTAAATTCTGTTTCCCAGGCCAGCAACGAGACATGAACTAGACGGAGGTTACAGTTTCTGAAAGCTGAAATGGGTGTGAGTTTGAGATCATGTGTTTATTAGATGCATGGAACAGGATCAGTAATCCAACTTCTGGATCCAAAGAGGTTCGCTTTCCAGTTCATGGATGTTAGAAACTGTAAAACTTTAGATAACAAGTTTCAAGGTATTCCATGTTGGAGTTGATTCATCATTGTTTTATTTTCCCCATTATTATCTTGCTTGGAACTCTTCAACTCCACAAAGCCTTTTTTCAACTACTTGGGGTCTACATGAACCCTGTTCCGTTTTGCATCTTATCGTCAATCAAACATACGCTGTCATATATATTCTTACCATTTCAACCCGTTTAGTTTTTGTCTTTCTTCTTTCCTAGCATTGCTGTCAATATGGATCACATCACTCTTCCTTACTATTGTGATTAATGGTCTTTGTTGCACATGGCAAACCCTCTCAGTTTGTTTTCTCTCATTTGTTCTCCAATTGGTGTGACTTCAACTGTCTCGTGAATATATTTATTTATAATTTTATCCCATGAAGAATACCAGGTCCAATAACTGTTTTATAGAAGAAAAAAATTGCAGCACAAAAGATAGAATTCTACAAAGTTTAGAAGTTCTTTTATTTCCTTTTATTTTGTGTTGAAATTAGTATTGCTTCTTTTCTTTCAGTAGTGGAGGTTAACTTAAGGTTGTTTTATAAAAGTAGTTCTCATCTCTTTCTGTGCATGCTCTATCATGTAAACATATACATTACTGATCTGGCATGTATTTTACTCCCTGTCTGACAATAAGTGTCCCTCTTTTCATTTTGTGATATTCCAAAATATGTTTTGTTTTGAAAAGTCAAATGTAAAAAATTGAAGCTTTTCTATGTTATCATTTTTTAATAACTTTCCTAAATATAAACGTCTCTCTAGAATTTTACAAGGTTAGTTTTGGAATTTTAGAAGGAAACATGCATTGATTGCATGTCTCTATAAAGAGTTAAGTTAAGAGTGCCCAAAAGGGGCATTTGATTTGGGACAGAGGGAGTCCTAATTTTGCATGTCTTAAGTTGGAACATGGATATCGTGCAACTGACAATTATTTTATTGTAGGTTGTGGTGTTACTGTCAAGCCTTGATGGGCCTAGGGTTTTTTGGTCCTAAGCGTAAACAACTATGCCTGAAATAAATTGTTCAGAACTCCACCACTTCCTCTAATTGCATATAGCCCAACACATAGTTTATAATGGTGTCTCTAGGCTCCAAAGAAGCTGCAGGCTTGTTAAAGCTCCTGCAGTCGGGCACATAAAGCTCTCAGGCAAGCAATTTTCGGTTGGCTTCAGGAAAAAAAGCACTTTTTTAACCCTTAATCAATGTGGTCATATTTTAATAGTCGGTAGTTTATACTTTATATCAATGTGGTCATATTTGATTAATTTATTGATTAAACTTGTTAGATATTTGGCTTTTGGAATTTCTTAGCTTAAGATTGACAACTTGCATTATATGTATCTAATGCTGGATTTGTTAATATTTATGATTCTGATGTAATTTAAGATCAGGAAAAAATATATATGTGTATATATATATATATATATATTAAGATAATACAGATTGTAATGCATTGATTTATTTTACCTTCCTAGTTGATATGCCAAAAATTCCACTTTTTTGAAAGAAACAAAAAGTTTGACCAGTTTTGTGTTTTCAATGGTGTTAACTGTACAATGGTTTAACTGTATGTTTATACAAATTGAGAAGTTGAGAAGATATATACATTAATCTAGCTAACCATCCCATTGATATATTGAAAATTTCCCTCATTTTGGTCTTGACTTGTTTATGTTGCATAATTTATTTATTTTTCTATAATACCTATGTTTGATGTGTGCACACGCCCTGTAATTTGTTTAGGCTCTCACTTTACTTTGTGCCTTGCACTTATGTTCCAGAAACCTTTAATTTTTTTGTGCCTTCTTTAACTATAGCCCTTCTACCCTTTATTAAGTACAGATTTAAGCTTTTCTTGGCCATCAAAGTAGCCAAGTTTGCCTGTACCTGAGCCTCCTCTGCAGAACTGAGACCAGGTGTGGTCCTATCCTAAGTCACGCAGGGCGGGAGCGTGAGAGCATCAAAATTTAAAATATCTAGAGAGCATGAGCGTTTATTGGGCGCCTATATGATGATTTTATGTGTATTTATTTCATATGAGCCCAGATGGTATTCTCTCTCCTCCTCATAGGGGAGGTTGAGTGTTTAAGCCCTACTAGGGGCAGTTTGTGGGTGTGTGTGCATTTACTTTTATTTTTTTTAAAAATGAAAATATTTGGTGGAGATGCTTTTATTATTCTTGTTATTGTTATTGTTATTTTTTTAATATATATTGCAAGTGGAGATGCTTTTGTTACATGACACGCTTGCATGTGACATTTCATTTTAATGTTCTAACCAGCATTTTGATTGGGAACTTGCTGGATGAGTATCCCATTTATGGGACTTCCTATGAAGATCTAAATGTAACTTTATTTTGCTTATTGATTTCAGGGGCACAGCAAAAACAAAGGGTACTCCCTCTATGATGTCGTCTACAGGGTTTTGATTTTACTTCGGGGTTAGCTTTACAAGGTCTGCTATCTGTTTCTAACAATCAGAAGATCTAGAATAGTCCCAATTCCTTGATCTAGAATAGTTGGTCCATTAATCAACCTTGATGTAAGGGGAGGGTTTGGTACAGATCTATCACTTGGCATTACTGTATTAAATTATTTACACAAAGAAGTTTTGATATTCAAATCTTTGTTCTCATGATACAGCCTGAGTTTAGCAATGACCCCTTCCCAGTAAATATGGCTGAATTTGAGTTTAAATTGTCCGGATTCATATAAATATTGCGCCTTCCTGAGTTTTTTTCTTCTATAACAAGCAATGACAGTTTTGAGTTTTTTTTTTTTCCCCTTATTTGAAGTGTAAAAATAATGTACATATGCATAGTATGCGTTTACTCTTACATTATTCTGGTACATTTCTACTGTCACATACCCACATCTTAAAGATCAAGTTTCTTTCCTTTACAGATTGAGATATGGAATGGCTCTAAAATTGAAGATGATTTGCATCCATGGGCTGAAAAACATGAGCAGAATCAGACTCCAGTGCAGCAGCCAACTCCGGCCATAAGATGGCCGATACAGTCCAAGACCCGTCGCCCTTTGCACTTTGCCTTTGGTTTATATAACCAACTCCAATCCTTTCTATAGTTGAACAGACAGTCCCAAGCACCGGACTCCCAAATCCGAAATCCAATTCAGCGACGGGAAACCTCCTTCCCGATGACACTACAACAGCAGGCCCTCCACGACCTAACACTATCTTAGCTAGCATCAAACCAGGCCTATGACACTCAATCCAATCAATCAAATCCAAGAAATGTGCCTCATTAGTTACCTTGGAAATTGCTTCATGGACTATCTTGGCAACACGTGATATGGATCCTTGCTTCAGTTCAGACAAGCTTGCCTCACCAGTAGCTAGAGACAAGACATTTCCTATGTAGTTCGACATAAAATTCTGATCTTTACACATTCTAGTTCTCCCATCGACTAACCAACCCATCTTACAATTTTCATGACTTCCATCTATCGCGCTGACCATTATCTTCCAGATGTAAGCTGAGAAAGCCTCTATTTTGGTTCTTTTGCTACCATCAATACATGCAAGTCTCTGCAACAAGTTAATGCTTGATACATCTATATTATATAGGCGCTTGAGCAATATATTTCGTGTTGGCATGTTAAGTATGTCGTCCATAGTGCAGGAGACGAAAGTTGTGTCCAATGACGGGTCATAAGAAGGAGGAAATCGGGGGCAGAGGTGTCTACGGTGATCTGGTATGCAATGAATTGGCTTACTTGTGGCTATTTCAGACCATGTAAGAAGAAACTTACCAAAGGCACTCGCATCACCCAACGCATGGTCAAATGTAAATGTCATTGATATGCCTCCACAGGTGTAGCGCGTTACCTGGATTTGCAATGGGAAGTCAGTGTTGATACAGACTAGTTTTCCCTGAAGAGATTGATTAAGATTGTAGAAGTTTAGCACTCTTAGAGGGATGTTAGCCTGGGCCTCCACAAGAAGAGCACCATTGTTGTCACAGATGATTTCAGGCTCAGCGGTTTTTGGGTTCTGAACAATCCGACCAGCAAATGGATAAAAATGGTGAAGCGTTGCAGCGAGGGAGAGGCTAAGGGCCTCTACGACTGACACGAAATCATCAACGGGTGGTTTATGGTAGAAATAAAAGTATGTGACGGGAAAGCGTCCAGAAAGAAGGTCAAGGTTTGAGAGAGTGAGAACATGAGGGTCTGGCAAGGGACAGATTGCTTTGATGATAGATTTTCTGGTGAAGTTCACTTCAAACTGGTTGTGAACTTGAGCCTCTACTGCCATTATTAGAAAGTATACTCTGTTTGCGAAAGGTGAGTTGGTGATGGTTTTGCTGCTGTCTTAGTGGCAGTGTCTCTACTTGTAAGTAGCTGAGATTATTAACATAGCATACTTATAGTGGATGGATTATCATAACAATGTTTTGAAGTCAATTCTCTAAGTTGTTTGAGACATAGTTTGTGACCTGTTCAAAGCAATGATGCCCCAACTGAATTTTTTTTTTTTTTTTTTTTGCAAGAGTCAGTTTGTGCATGAATGGAGTTGATAATGACTTTAGACTAAACCAGTGTCTCCCACTATGTGGTAATCACCTTCAACTCTTCTTTTCTGTACCATCATACTTGTTTTGCAGGTCAGAAATTTTACATCAAACTGTTACGATCACTTAGAAATCTATTCATTGGTGGTAAAAAAACATATGGAATTATGGAATTTTCTTGCCAAAAAAAGAAAAGGAAAAGGAATTTAAGTTGTGCACGGAAGCTTCCTATTGATCTCCAAGATGGTTGCAGTGTAGATGATAGTGGATGAAAAAGCAAGTGGCCCATAATAAGCACACAACTTGAAGTCGACTCCAAGATTCACGATTCTCTGTCACAAGAGGAAAGAGAATGAAAACTCTGCTGGAAGTGCAGATATTTTCATAGATGAATATACATACAAATATATATTATATATATATATATATATAGAGAGAGAGAGAGAGAGAGAGAGACGTGATTGTTAGGGATTTGGAAGATTTTCAAAGATGCCCATTAACAAGGTGGTGATCAAAAGCAGGAATTATAGGTGTTTTGACAATAATGTATATGACGCATTTTATTACAAGAAAAATCTATGTTGGTGGGAAAAGCATATATAATGGTTTCATCTCATGATTTTCATTTGAAACTTGAAATTGGTGGAGACTTTTGAAGAACCCAATCAAAAACTTCTTGTCACACCATAAGCTTTTTAATCAAGGAAATTCTGGTTAGTGTGTGTGTGCGTGTGTGTATATATATATATATAGTTCAAAAGCAAAAGGAAACAAAGACTGAGGAAAAGGAGGACTATATGAAAATCCTTTGCTTTCACTGAAAACAACTGGAAAGGAGCGTAGCTATCAATAAACCTTCACTAACTAGGAGCTATTTTCACTTTGTTTGGAACCAAATTGCTTTGTAATTTTAAATTTGAAATGGAAAAGGGAATTGGATTGTACTTAAATAAAATTATATTTTAGTGTTCGGAAGAAATTGGAATTTGTAAAAAAAGAATTTAAAATAAAATAAGTTTTGAATCAATTTGAGATACAGAAACGTGACAGTTATGAAGAAAGTTTTTAGAATTAGAAACAAAAAACAATTAATAAAAGGATAATAGTGTAATTACATTCTAAATCCCATCAAATCCTATCATTTTTGCTAGAATTTCTCCACCTTAACAATTTTTCCAAACGCAGGATAGATTTCTTTAATATGGACTCTTTCTACATTCTTTATTATAGTATATAGTAACGTACTATCTCTAATTCTTTTAGGTACAAATATAAATTGAATTTGAAGTACCCTTTCTGTATCTTCTGGTCTCTTACCATCTCAATATATATATTGTTGAGAAAAATATGTGTATAATATGATATACTATATTATCACTATTTAAATATTTTGATAAATTATAATATATATAATTATTATTATAAAATAATATATATATAAATAATACTGTCTCTAACAATAATATTAAATATTATTAAAAATTATAAATGAATATAATAAACTATATGTATAAAGAATCTGATAATAGGTCGATGCTAGAATTTATTTCTTTAATATAGATACAAAGTTCAAAAAATTAATTGAATTTTACAGCCCAAGGCCGAACTGGGCGGGTTGCGTGCGTGGTAAATGGTTTGGACTCAAGGAAGCCTATGTGCCCAAATTTCAAACATATTCTTATAAGTTTCACTTTTTATTAGGCAACCACTTCCCACATTTTGCATTAGGGGTGGCCACAGATCGGATCGGATCGAATATGTGAAATAACGGATCGGATCGGATCCAATCCGCAGATCTCATCCTCCATCTCCATCTCCATTTTCTTCTCCGATCTCCTCTCATGTGGTTACGCAGTCTTTTTGCATGCGTCTAATCCACCGTCGGGAGTTCCCGGAAAACCTTGACAGAGCACTCACGAGCAAGAAAGATTTTTTGGGGTTGGACATGTTTATATGCGCAGATCCATACAAAGAGCCACCCATGAGTGTTGTGAACATGGCCTTATCGGTGATGGCTTATGATTATTCGGCAGAGAAGCTTTCGGTGTATGTCTCAGACGATGGAGGCTCTGAGTTGACTCTCTTTGCTTTGATGGAGGCTGCTAAGTTTGGAAGACACTAGTTATGCTTATTTCAGATCCAACTACCCAAAAGATGAAGCTAATAGCTATGTGTGTTTAATAAATTATTTTTCTGATTTCTCTTTGCTCAATAAATTTGTCGGTGGTCCACTGGTCAACTCCCAAAGTAATAAATAATAAATAAATAATTATATTGTATAATATTAATATATATATATATATACGAATTGGCCACGGATTAGCCACGGACCGGATTCACGGATCGGATCGGATTTTTGACAGGCTAATCCGTAATCCGATCCGTGAACTACAGATTCATATTTTTTGAATTCACCAACGATCCGTGGGTTTAGCAAACCGATCCGATCTGTACGGATTGGATCGGATCGGATCGGATTCGCGGATTTTTTGGCCAGCCCTATTTTGCATACACATTTCTTATTTTATAAGCTTATCAAAATACCTTACTTTGGAGTTAATTTCTCATTCACCAAGAAATGGATTTGAGAAAGTTAATATACTACGTTCATCTCTTTGCGAAGAGGAACATATTCATGAAGTTTCTATTTTGTATGCTCCGTTTTCAATATATATATATATATATATATATATATATTTATTTATTTATTTATTTATTTATTTATTGCATCTCAAAAGAGTAAGAAGAATGTATTTTAAATTAAAAAAAAAATTGCTTTTACTAACAATAAATAATGTATGGTGTGATTAGTTTTTGTGACTCATTAGCATGGTGTATTGGCCATCAGTGTCCACATCCAACTGGATCACAGAGAAAGAGGAAGAATCCACCATGTGATAGCTAAACCACATCACAGAAATAGAAGCTGAACCTAACCCGTTTATAAAATGACATACAACTACCCTTCTTCACAAATAAAATGTAGCAAGGGTGAGAACACCAACTTCCGTCTCAGAAAATGGTATCAAAGATGACACCATTCAACAACAATAATTTATACTGGAGTATTCAAAATTAAATGTGAGCATTAGTTTTTAAGATTTTGATAAAAATTATAAATAATTTTATAAGAACAAACAATTTTTTTTTAAATCTCTTTATACAGTTCCCTCCTCAATTTTATACTTGAAAAAATTATATATGAAAAAAATTATACAGTGCCCCCCTCAATTTTATAGTTCCTAAAATTAATTATTTATTTATTTTATTTATTTTTTCTTTTATTTCTTTAAATAAAAAAAGTCAAAATTTCCTACCACAATTGAAACTTTTTAACTTTATCTTTTTAAAGTTTCTCTTATTTCTCATTTCTTTTTTTTTTCTCCTTCTAATCTTAAAATTCTTCTTTTTAACATGGATATTTGATTTTTTTTTTCCGACAGCGTGCCCTCCTCACTTGAAATCTTGACAATTGCCCATTGCTCCCCTGCTGGGACCGTCCCAGATGAGGTATGTAGGCAGACGGAAACTTTCTAGAAACTTTGCTATATCTTGAATATAGAAAATGGCAAAATTTGAATTTTTGGGATTTATTAATCATTTAAGCCTCTCATGTCTGCCACACTTCTAGTACAATTATTGATTATCAGAAGACAGCCTAAAGGAAAATAATAGCCACAATATTTGTAAGATGATGAGGGGGGAATTCTTTGTCTCCCCTCATCATCTTCTTGTCTCTAGTGTTGAGGTGAAAAAAAAATTACAGAGGGGTATTTTTGTCAGCTGACATTATTAATATTTTATGAATAAAATAAAATAAAATTTAATTTAAAAATATTTATGTCATTTGAAACTTTAAGAGTGTTATTGTTTAAAATTGCGCTGACTAAACTTATCTTAACCTTTCGAAATATACATAGTCAGTGTTTAATTAAAATATTAATAACAATATATAATTGACATATTAATAATATTAGTAGCTTTAATCCTGACATCAACAGCAATGAGAAACCATGATAAAGAGAACAATTACATTTATTGAAAAACATACTCCAAGTTAAAACTACAACTAGCTAGTCCTGTACAAGTTAGGTTTATATACAATATATAGTATACACCTACAGCTATATGTAGCTACTTTCCGCACATAAACACGCGCGCGCGCGCACACACACACACCTTCTTCATTCCCAGCTCATGCTTCTCTAATATATGCACATTAAACATTTGAGACAATTGTTGTTGCTGGAATAACCGGTACAGAGAAATATGCATCAACCAACGAGGCTTCGCATTCCACCATTGGACCGTTGTGGCAAAACCCTTTGCAAAGTGTTTTTTTGGTGTTTTTAAAGATGAAACTATATGCAGAGGCTAGAAACCAAAAACCTAGTCGAATAACATCTCGTGTTTTATGACTCCTCCTTTGGAGCTTACCTTCCCATGCCTTCTTTTCGCCTCCAATATTTCTTTCTAGGGAGCCATTTCCGGAATGAGGAGGATTATGATTTATTGCTAGTTGGCATTGCATTTCATGGCATCGAGAGAGTGAAACCGAGCCGTCTCTCTCTCCGTAAGATGCTTCTTGAGAGCCCTTCCGGCTTGAGGGCTGCCGGAATCCGGCTAGGGTTACAAGTTGGTTGGCCATTAGAGGAATCAATGTACGTTGAAAATTGTCTTGGTGGTTGGTTTATATAGAGGCCCAACGAATGAAACGTAACTGTCTGATGATGGTATGGCATGTATCAACCCAAGTTAAAAAAAACTTGTCACACTTAAAATTAACTGTAGAACATCAAAAGATTGGGCGGTTATTTGTCATTTTCATTGGATTAAATTTATATGAAACTAGATAATTGAAGCCTTCAAGGTGCTGAAAGGGTTAGACCGAAGAGAAATCTAACCATTCATATTATTTTATTTAATAATTTTTCTCATACTTAATTTGTGCCCTTTGTGACAAATCGGAACTTTTATTGTTACTCCTAGGGTATGATTGGAATGCACAAGTCACCACCTTTTCACTGCAAATAATGTTATAGAAACATCATGAATAAGTGTTATTCTTATAGTCAATTTTCACCATGCATGATCCAACGTGCCTGACACACTTGCGAAGAGAGAGAGAAAAAAAAAAAAAAGCACATGCGATTAAGGGTATAATCTCACCCGAAAGGTCTCAAACCCTTCTTGTTTTCATCGAGAAAGTCTTTAATATTCGGGAGAGTAAGTTGCAATGTGGTACCTTCTAATAAAGAATGCTCTTTATTTTCATTTATAATAGAGAATAGGAAGTTTATAAAATAAATAAAAACATTCATCGGGAGAAATTTCACGTGATTGTCTCCTTTTCAATTTTAATTTTTTTTTTTTAAAAAAGAAAGGTGATTATGCATCACTTTTTATTCCTCTTAGCGGTCCAAGTGCGCAAATGTTGTGTGTACATTTTCAAGAAAAGGTGAATTATTGATGTAGTCCTTGTTGAAAGGTTTACCTTTCCTTAATGTCATGAATATGTGACTGTGGACCTTTTGGACCCCCACTTAACTGTTCTAGGATTGGTGGCCCTAAACTGAAAATAACATTACGTTCTTCTAGCTAACCGTTTGTGGGCCAAATTCAAATCTCATTAGTTATGATGTGAACCATCATCAAAACTTGATAGGTCAATCAGAGCCGTCCACCAAGTTCGGCCACAAAAAGCATGACAATATCGTGCGCACAGCAGGATAGTGCGTGGAAGGCCGGCCATCAATCACTATCGTCCATCACCGACTTTACAAAAAAGAGTACCAACCTTTTACCCTTCTTCCGAGCATGACAATATCATGCAGACAGTACATGCCATTATATCACTTATGCAACTACTCAAATGAGAGATAGTAGAAACCAAAATCATACCCAGAGTCCTTAATACCGGTGGTAGAATATACCTGAAAATAATTTGAATTCTTTTAGACTTCAGATGTCATCAAACAATACTGTTGCCTATTTACAGGGACGACTGTTGCTCCTCGTCCACCGGATTAAACACATCCAGTCATCATTGTCACGAACTTTTCCTCATTTGTCAAAAAGGCATGGAACCCACCTGTAAAAGGACACGGCTCTTCCGAGGGCACTGTCAGATATGACGATGCGGTATCGTCACTGATTGAGCACAGTTTTTAAGTGTGAATAGGCACAAGTCCTAGTGTCAATAATTGCATACAGATTGTCACAAAAAAATGTTTAATGAACCATTATTCTCGACAGCTTGATTAAACTTCCAACTCATTGCATTACATCAACTTATTCAAAATAATGATACAATAGTTATAGCCTCATCAACAAAAACTAAAACAGAACGAACTATCTATCACTACAGCCACTTCGCTGAAAATTGAAACTTCTAACATCATAGAGAGAGAATAGCAATTAGAGAATGTAATGTGATATACCCGTGAGATTTTTCATCAAAGGACAACTTCAAATTCAGCACCAATTGGAAGATGATCACTTGGATGCTGATAATTTGGTAATCCATCAACTGTATCAGAGGATCCTGGTTCTGGAAGTTCTAGGTAACTGACTGGTTTGATATATCCAGAAGGAGAAAAGAATATATAATCAAGAGTATCGGTAAAACCAGGAGTGCAGTTTGTGAATTGTGGTTCCTTCCCCGTAAATGCATAGACACTACATAATGCAATAGGTAGATCTTCCAAAGAATCCAGCATTAGCCCTGTTGAAGAGCTCCCTGATGTTAGGTATTGATATACCTGAAACAACAAGAATCTAATTAGTCTACAGCGTAACCTTATTATTATTTTTTTTCTTCTGGGTGAGTAAACAACACACACATCCATTTCGTCCCACCAGGGGCTTGAACCCTCGGCCTCCCACTTGGAGAGAGGAATGTCATACCACCCAAGCCAAGGGCCCAGTGATAACATACAGTATAACATTATAGGGGAAAAAAGAAAAAAAGACAAAAAGAAAATCTGAGCCACTTGATGACCAAACAACATAAGAGTATATGTGTGATATGAAGCAGGCATTTAACTTATCAGTTCATCACTTCAGAAATCAAAATTATCAAACAAGGAATATAACACTTCTTCACAATTGATAACAATCGATTGATCAACAGGAATCATTGAAAACTGAGACATTTGATATGGAATATAATAATGAACCTTATCTCCAGGGATTGAATTGAAGTCACCAGCCACAATTACAGAAGGAGTACAATCAAATTTGTCAGATACCAGTGTTTTAAACTGAGCTAGGCGTGACAGAAGATATTTAGCCTGTGCAAGCTTGACATCAGCCCATTCTGGATCCCTGAAGAAGCAGAATTTAACATCTATTGTAAGAACAATATATAAAAAGTCGCTCCTCAAGATGAGTAAAGCTGTAATAGTAAAAAAATTTATTTAAATTACAACCAATGGTGAATTTTAAACCGATTTACCAATAAAGGTGCGTGTTTGCCACAATAATGATATGATGAGAAGGATCCTTAAGTTTAAAGGCAGCCATGATACCAACACAATCACGTTTTAATCTTACACGAGGATCATTAGGATCTCCACGGTTGCCTTGAATATTTTTTAGTGCTAAACCTGAAAACGAATAGCTGAAGAAATAAACCACCAACATAACATGATGTGGGTAATTAAAATAAAAAGAAGCCTTACAAAACCTATAGCTGAAGCCATCACTCAAAAAATATATAATTAAACAGAACTCAATCGGAAAAGAAGAAAAAGAAAAGAAATTCAAAAGTAAGAGAATTTTTTTTGCATATATTTCTCTTTTGTATTAAATTGTGACATTTGTGAACCAGAAGAAATTTGAATACATTACGATCATTCAAGTGTGTAAAGTTAAAGAGAAGCTTTCCCGATCTGTTTGTAAATAATTTTGATTTTGAATTTAGTTGTAATAGTTGTGAGGTAGCAAAATTTGAATATACTATCATCTGTCAAGTCTGAATAGAAGTGCCGCACCTTTCTTAAATGTCACTTGAATGCTTGGAGAGATTTACTCTTAGCATATGGCTGTAAATGGTGGGTACCTTTACCTTGCAAGAATTCTCAAACTAAAAAGGATATCTCTTTAAATGAGGGTAATTATGAGTGATGATTTCATATGAATAAGCTTTTTTATAATAAGGTTGAAATTCAATATAAAGCAATAATGAATAGATGAAATGGTTACAAATCTGATTTGGTGCTGATCTTGTTCATCAGTACTCTATGTAGGCAAAACAATGATAAGCCTTGATTCTGGAACAATTGATTGGTCCGACATTCTTATATCTATCATCATTCAGCTCCAGCTAGGATCACATCTTCTGTTAGAAAAAATCCCATTTATGTTTTATCACCACCTCAACCCACCCACTTTCTCTAGCCTTTTTGCTTGTCCTTGTATCTCCCTCAACTCAAATGAAATCATCTTCTCTTCAGTGGTTGATGATTCAATAATCTTGTAGGAAAACCCAAAATTTTTTGAAAGTCTTCATGCATCCGTAACTGATGCCATCCATTGTCCTTGTATCTCCTCCCTCAACTTGATCCAAGTCAACTTCTCTTCAGTGGTTCATCCAATGTCATGTGGCACTGCCCAAACCTTTTTAAAGGACTTCCCACGTCCTTAATTGATGCCATCCCCTTGCTTCTCATGAGTGCACACACTTATTTTTTCTTTCTTTTTTCACCCCTCTCAATATCCCCATTTCATATAAAGTCAATTTCCGTACTTGTTTCTTGGCAATCTGTTATAAAGCAGGTGCAACCCTATTCTTCACTTGTAACAATCGAAAACTCCAAAAGCATCTATTAACTTCATTCAACCAACTCTAATTTCATAAGCAGCATCCTCTTCCATCTCCCACGCATTTACTAAAATAGTCATTTATTGGACATTTCCTACCACATTAAAGAAAAGAATAGCTCCACATGATAATGAAAATTTTCAGATAGCCATATCTTATATTTTCAATGACGTTTCCGAGACATTTAGTGGTTTTTAAATCTGAAAGATTGTTATTAAGATGGAATTGTGTCAAAGTCTTTTACATTGGTTAAGAGAGAATTGCTGTTCCTAGGGCTGATTCCATCACCTCTTGTGGGCTGAAGAAGGCCATAGTCATTTGAACAAAGCAGTTACGTCAAGAGAGGAAGGTGATTTTGATACAAACCCTAGAAGCACATAAGTAACATAACTAATTAACTTCTATGTCATTCTGATTTAAAAAGAGTTTCATCTAAACTGAACAATTCATCTGAGAAGGTGAAATTATGCTCTAGTTTTTCTTCTAAATCACTACAAAACTTTAGAGTCACCTGATTTATTGTTCTCAATGAAATAACTGCAATATTGTACCTTCTTTTTTAGAATAACAAATTATCAAAGTTTTCAATTATGAAGAAGAATAAAAGAATAAAGAGACAATTTCTTTGAAAGAAAAGTAGGAAAGAAAAGAGGCACCATAGTCCAAAAAGAAATTTTGGAACAATAAAACTACACTGGAGAAGTTAATATATCAGCTAATTAATATCGCTATGTCATAATTCTCGTTCCTAAAACATAGATCACTTTGAAGGATCACGAGAGGGATCTATACATCCAGCCAATTAGCTGCTGCCTAATCTACTACCACCAAGATAACATAATTTTCATTTCATCTTTCCAATAGGTATGTTCCATTGTGGTATTCTTCTAAATAAGATATCAATCTAAGCTGCTGCCCAGAATTCAGTAAGATAATTATTTAACTGACACCACATCTGATGGAGATCCTGAGCCAACTGGTCTATGCACTTAACATAGGCGTAGACGTAGATAATGATTACTTATTTTGTTTTACTTTATATTTGGATTTCCTTGTTTATTTAGGATTTATGTTTCCTATTTTTTATTTTATTTTTTTATATTTGACTTTCCTTGATCATTTAGGGTTCTTATGCCTATATATATGGGCAATGGATACATTGTGAGACACGTTTTATGAATATTGATATTGTTTTTGAGAGTATTGTTGAAATTTCCCCCCTCTCTATTCTTCTTCTTCTTCTCCTTCAAACTCTATTCTTCTTAACCCTACAGCAACATCAGCTAGCTAAGACTAAGATGGTGGGATGCCGGATGCATTCACATGCTTGCAGAATTGTCCTTCACATGTTTGTGGCTGTTCTTTCTGTTATGCATAAATATAAATTTCAAGTTGCTGAAGAAAATATTTATTGGCTTGAAGAGAGGCACTAACTGTAAACTAAGTAAATAACTAAAGTTCATTCTTTCCCTAATACAGGGGTGAAGTTAACTTACTAAAACAAATTATGCTCGTTATTCCCTAGCTAGTATGAATAAAAAGTGGGTACTACCAGGGTTTTGATTTAGAAAACAGGAGAGAAAATATAAAAATCAACAAGCAGACAAGGGAAATGACTTTAAGTAGACAGAATAAGTGCATGATGAAAAATACAAATTATAGTAAATTGAGTTTACAGTGTATATCTTCAATTTAAATTACAACATGTACCCAAGTGGGAAATGTTGGGGTGAACAAGAAAAGTTTGGGTAGAGCCAGATCCAAATGAAGCAAAATTTGATTTTTATATGAAATTTGTCCAAGCTTAGTAGAGTTGACTAAAAAGTCAATAACTTATCACACTTTTTTGTGCACCTGGAGATATATACAATAGCAAACCCGATAGTTACAAAATCATAGAAAAAAAATAAAATTTATATTTTTGGACGAAAAAATATACCATCTTGCGGCTCAGCATCTTTATTTCCACTAGCTAGTTTGTCATTATCTTTATCAATACCAGAAGTTGTTCCATCTTGAATCGAGTTTGCAAGATCATTGTATTCTATTTTCTCCTCTAAGACCAACTCTGTGCTGGATAAATTATCAAAAAGGGATGGATAAAAAAAAAGAATTAGTTACAAAGATTTCTAATAATTGAAAACATGAATTCCTGCACTTGTCAATTTAATGGAAGGATTATCATATAAAATTGCAAAGTTGATAAAAAATGGTTTAATTTCAAACTACATCAATCAAATTGAAGCACAGGATCTAGTTTTCAACTCATAACATTAGAGTGAACAGTTCCACAATAAGGATGCTAGTCCACGCATAATCGCATCCACGCATTGATTAAATGAAAATGGTTTAAATATGAAATGCAATAAATTAGTGTGATCATTGATCATAATATATTATCAGAAAATTAGTCTCTTTCTCTCCCTATCTAAAACACACCCAAATATACATTGATTAACTTTGACACTCTTGCTCTCTTTCCCACTCTCGCTTCCACTTTGTGTGCCTTAGTGCATGACTCTAACATGAAATTCAATCATTTACTTTGAATCAGAAAAGAAAAGGTTAAGAGTATACCTGTTGTGCTTATAAAAAATCCCACACCCATCACGCTTCTGCCCGCTTCTCTGAATATAGATACTTGAATAACCAACAGTCTCCATATTCCTTTTGTAAAAGCTATCATACTCATCTACTTCCTGGAAAAAAATTATAAATATTAACTAAATGAAAAAACAAAGAATCATGGACAATGAAGGTTAAAGAAAGAACGGGTTTATATAAATAGGAAAGCTTCAAAGTAAGTCTACATTAGCATAAAAAACCTGTAAACAAAGGAAGTCAGCACCAAGGCTCTTGAGAAGAGTTAAAATTTCTTGGGAACGAGCTTTCCACCTGTAACAAACATTAACAAGCACACAACAATTACTTATTCAGAAGTTGACAAAGAATTTGACCAAACTTAGATTCTAATTTCCATGGGAAGGTTAGAACTAGACTTCAATTTAAATAGTTTTAAGTGATCCACCATTTTCCTGCCAAGGTTAAACTGGATATCAGACACTTTCGATTATGAATTGAAAAACAAAATTAAGGACAAACAATATTTACCCAATAAAATTTACTTCTTGCTTTCTCTCTGCGAAAATATGTAATCACCTCTCTTGTCAATTTCTAGACATAACCACAAGCCAAATATACAATTTATTTCTATATTGCTATATACCACTCTACGTAATAAATCTGTCTTTCTCATGTAACCATTAGCGCACAACACAAAGCACAACTCTTCCTGGTTTCACTTATATGCACACTGATTTTCTTTCACTAGATTTTTTTATGCAATAGAGACGAGCAATATCCAAGGATATTTTGAGGCAAATGAAACCCATAAGTTTCGGCGTTGTACCATGTTTGCCTTAAGAAATTGACTAAGAGGCTTAGATATCAAAAAAAAATTGTTCATAAGGCAACGAAGTTGAAGTTCGAGGATTTACTTGAGACAGGATGATGGAGAATGTGGAAACAGAGCACTCTTCACGTAGACCTGCATATGAAAATAAAATGAAGTGTTTTAATTTTTTGATAAGTAAAATGAAGTGTTTTAATTGATCAAGGGAAACATTACTTCAAAGGCACAATAATAATCCCCCAAGCTATTATCTTCCGTATGAACAGATTTTTCTTAATACAACTCGTTAAATCGTGACATTACTCTCTGGAGCACATATCTCATAAACTGCATTCAAAATCTCTTTGGATGCATTTAGTACATAACAATAGTAATCACTTTCAAGAAACCAAGTCAAAGCTAAATGATTATCATGTCACCATTCAAGAAATCCTTCTCCAATCTCAAGTGGTGATTTGGACATATAAAGTTTCACCTTCTTCCTGGGTGTCGAGAACAGATAAGTTTCATATGAAGGATATTGTTGTATTTTGACGTGTGAAATATAAGGAAGATCACTGATTTCAGCCATTACTACTAGTTCTCTTTGTCTCTGCCTGTCCTTTTTTCTTTTTTTTTTCCTTAATACTCAAAAGAGGGCGGGCCTTGGTGCAACGGTAAGTTGCCCCATTGTGACCTGGAGGTCAAGGGTTCGCAACGAAGAAACAGTCTCTCTGCTGCATACATCTGACCCTCCCCCGACCCCGCAATGGTGGGAGCCTCATGCATTGGGCTAGCCCTTTTACTTCCTTTCTACTCAAACACACAAGTATCAGAGCAAAACTGATCTAGGATTGATGGGACAAAACTTGGAAGATCTAGCAGCTACTGACATCAGTAACTGTACAGATGCATCAGGAAATTTTTTGAGCCACTTGGAGTACATTTGAAGGGGTTTTTGCCAATACTCAATGGTGACTGAATTGGACTAGACTTGATATTTAGAGGATTTTAATCCAAAACGAGCCATTTTGGTGTGGTTTCTTCAGATTATTAGGTCCATATTGACGATATTTTCAGTTACGGTGGTTTTAAAAAGGAAGGTGGAACTGAAGGCGATTTTGCCACGAGATGATTTGACCATATGCAGTGAAACCAAAGACTGCACCAATATTAACTATTGTGGTCCAGGTCGAAAGCATGACAGGTAGAAAGGGAAGGCCAATCCAAAATGGTTAGTGATTTCAAATAAATATAGCCTTTAAATAATCATACAAAGAACTTAAGATGTGATACAAAATTTTTATTACTAACTATGATTAAGATACACTAGAAGATAGTGTTATTCAAGGGAATTGGAGGTTGCTGATTGCAATTTTTGGTCTACAAGTAAAGTTGAGTTTTGAATCACTAAATTCACTGTTTAGTCGAGAGACCTGTATGTGTTCTTTTTTTTATCATACACTCAGATAGCTGTTGAGTCTTTGTTTGTAGTTGTGTTTCTTGGAGGGTATATACTATATACGCCTTGGAATTTCTACTTGTAATTTTATTTATTTATTTATATATATATATTTTTCTGTAATAAAATTCTTCTTACTAGAGGGGAGGAAAAAGGGATTCCTGTCAAGCAGATACGCTGAATTAACCTGAGTCAATTTGCTTGCATACAGAAGCAGGTATTCTCACCTTTAAGGGTGGGTGCAAAGAACAATACATCCAAAACTATGACTGGCAAATATGTCCTGTTGAATACTTTCAACTTTTTTCCCGCTAAACCCAAATTTACACTTTTTACAAATAAAGAAACACGGTAATTTCATATAGTGCCCATTAATAGATGATGAAGTACAGGGAATGACTGAAAGCAAGAATAAAAATTAAATTCAATCAGTTTAGATGACAAAATGATCATGAAATCATACCTGAGCCAAAATGTTATACGAGACAAGACGGAATTTGAAGCCTGTAATATCAAATTTAACATGGCAAGTTTAATTACGTTAGGAAGCTCAAAATTTGTGCATGTATCAATATTATTTTATATAATCAAACACACTGATAAAATGACAAAACCCCCCAAGTGTACTAACTGATACTTTAAAAAAAGTAACAAACCCAACAACAGAGAGAAAAAAATAATAACACACCAATTGAGTGAAAATAGGAAGAGACAAAAAATGCAGGATCCCATTTGGACATCCAAATTTACTTTTGACACAAGGATATGATTTTTAAGACTAAAAATTATATTTTCTTCACTGATATCTATTCCAAAAAAAACATAAAAAGGGAGGACATAGATTACTGAAAGAAATAGTGATTGGAAGAGTACTTCAGAGTAAGCAATTTCATGGATCCAAATAAATCTTGTTAGTCAAAGGTCCTTCCATGAATAGCTGAAAAAGTTTTACAAGTTCGCCACTTAGCATCCCCTTCCAAAATTAATCCAAGATGGGGGAGTGTATAAAAAATGCAAAGCTTTTTTCTTTCTTTCATTTTCTTTTTCTTTTTATTTATTTATTTATTATTATTTTTTTCCCCTTGGCAAGAAACTCATGCACCCATTTGCCCCTATGAGGACTTGAACCCTCACCTCTCAATTTGGGAGGTAGAGGAGATACCGCTAGGCTACAACCCTTGGTAACAAATGCAAAGTTTATTTTAGTGTAAAAGGAAATATAGGAAAAAGAAAGAAAATTAATAATACTGAACAAACTAAATAATATACAAAATTAACAAATAACCAAAGGAAGTAAGGAAAAGGAAAAAGAAAAAGAAAAACAATAATAACATAGTAACAATAAAAGGAGCCCAAATAGAGATATGTTTCATGAATAAGTACAAAATTTTCCGTCCCCAACCCCATTTTCTAATTTTGCAACAGTGCACTCTTCTGATAGCAGAACAATGCCTTGGCTAAGCATTGACAACATTTCTCCAACATAAGAATAGGGTGTAGAACTGGAAGACAAGTTATATTTAATCAAGAATATGAACTTGAGTATAAATGGTTCAAATGTGGAAGGAAAGGTGAAATAGCATGCATCAAGAGACCATTCGTATTGAAAATGACAATAAGAGAATTTGTAATTGGCAAGGAAAAAAAAAAAATCAACAACACAGAAGAATATAGTGTTTGGAACTGCTATTAAAGAAATGCCTTCATGTAAGCAGTTCTTCTATCATATTCTTCATTTTCAGATGCATTACAGATGGCAAGTTCTAATTACTTGTACATCAGGTATTAACCAGTGGGAGAGACTCACCTGCTAACACCTCTCCCCCAAACCTCTTGAACAAAGATTTCTCATTCTATCATGTTTATATCTCTATTTTAACCTTTCCCCCTACTTTTCTCTCTATGTCCAAAGAATCTTTATATTTATATATTTTAAAGAGAAAATGAGTCATACCATTTCCAGATACAAAAATATACATACCATCGGGTTTACTTATTGAAGTAATCTCATTCTGTTCCACAGTAATAAATTTTGGACATCGAGGTCCCGCTGTTGTGCTCATTTTCCTCAAACAAAATCTGCTGTAGATAAAAACACTCGAACAATAAAAATAAGAAAAAATGAAACTACAAAGGACCCACGTCATATGATAGCAGTGGTTGGATCTCTTCTAGTTCACCCATACCAACATTTATGACATTTTAAATCTTGATCGCATCTTTTATTTAGCTTTTTTAAAATACTTTCTTGGTTTTGAGAGCAACAATGCTACAATTCCTATGGCAAAAAATGAATGAAATATCCTAACTGGGTTTTAAATGAATGAAAAGAGAATAAAAAATATCCATTATTTGAAAATCACTTGATAGATCACAAATTTCGATTCCAAATTGGGTTTTAAATAGAAATAGGCTAACCTCCATTTGGTTGCTAACAAATTGTATTAACAGGAAAAATATATATATCCAGAGTCTTTGATTTTCTGTGGTCACTCATTAAATCCATACAATTATATGAGGTTCAAGCAGTTGAGTGCAGTGTAATGCTATATAGGCTCCAAAAGTAATTAAAAAAAAAAATTGCTTATCCTTTTATTTCCACTCCGGCCACACCAAACACAGCCAAAGTAATTTTCTTTAGGGTGTTTTCTCAGCAACCAAATGCAGAGCAACATTAGTTTCAGATTACGTGTGTACTTATGGAGTTTTCTGTTCGAATTGAGATGTCATTGCTAAACTTGTATTGAAAGTGTCAAAATTTCAACCAACAAATGCCCAAGTCGACCAACAAAAGAGGCAAACAAAATAAAAGGCAATACAGCTCCTCCAAATCATAGCAAGAGAGTATTTTTAGGATATACATAAACACACACACTGACACACACAGAGGGAGAGAGACCATACCTTTGTAAAGAGGAAGCAAGACGAGGGCGATGAAGGAAAAAGGAACACTTCAGCATGATTTTTTCGAATTGAACCAGTTAAGAGGCCTATGGGTGCTTTGTATTGAGCCCATTTATATGAGCCATATGGACCTCTAGGCCCACGACTGACGTTATACTATTGAGCCCATTTATAACTTTTTTTTTTTTTTTTTGGTTTTTACGTCCATGATCTCTCTCGCGTACACTCGTACATGTCCGTCATTCTATGTCCAATTAATAAAACATAACCTTTTATAAATGTTATTTTGGTATTTTTAGAAAACAAATTTTACAATTTTTTTTTTTTTTTACCCAATTTATATATATATATATTTTTATTAGGGTGAAACTGCCAAAAGGAAAAGAAAAGAAAAAAAAAATTACTTCTAGTAGCTTTCTTTTTGTTAAATAAAAAGTCTTTCACTAAAAATTGAAATCTTAATTAATTTTCATTGATTTTTCTTCAAAAATCCTTTTAATTTTTATGTAAGGGAACATCCACAATTCAATTCACAAATATTTTTTAAAAAAAATTTCAAGAATCAAATCAATCATATAAACAGTATTTAATAGGATTTCAATTCAATAGAGGATTAAGAAATACGACGTATAATTCGAAGTGAATATTACCAAAATTAAAAATAGGGGAAAACACGCCCATTAGGGAGGGTTCGGCGCCAAGTCGCGGTTGCACCGTCCGTTGCTGCCTCCGCCACCGTCTGCTTCACCATTAGGTACGGTGTTTTCTCTATACTCTCTCCCTTCAGTCTTCTCTCTCTCCAGATTGTTTCCCTCAATTCTTTCTAAATCCAATGTGCTCCCTCTTTCTCTTTTTAGGTATATTATCCTCAACCAATTTCACATTTACTTTTTACTTGTCCATACCTGGACGTTCACTCTGTAATTTCAGTTCTGTTTCTCATACCTCAAACTCAATTCCACTCTGTTATTCATGTTCATGGTCTTTTCTATTTCAATCCTTAAATTCCAAATATGGAACTCCACACTGCATCAGCCGAAGATTTCGGAATTTTCTGCCTTAAATTGGGTTTTCATGTTTTGTTTTATTTATTTTCTTTTACTTTTAATCATGTGCTCATGCGTAATTGCCTTAGTTAGATTTAGCTTTGTTTTATATTACTTGTATATTGGTTTCTTTTTAAATTCAAACCTGTATTTGATTTTATTTTAGCTGCAGATTGGATAGTTGGTTATGGAATCAGCAGTATATTTATTTATGTTGTGGGGGTTGGTAGTTAAGGGGAATGTGGAATAAACAATTTTTGACGGTCTAGTGTATATGTATGGGAACAGTGAAAAGAAACACAATTAGACAGCAATGAAATGATACAAAAGAGGAACAAGTGGGGGAGGTGAGGACACCCAACATTGAGAGGGATCCATGGTTTTGGACTCCATAACTATACGATTGTCAACAAGGTTAGAAAATGATAACTAAGTAAGATCACAACTTCTGGAAGATCATTAGGACAATAGGACGTCGTTGCATATTGATTCCATTCACTCTCAATTTTATGCAATTGAAAGGTCTTTGCTGCCAACTGGCCTCAGTGCAAGCCAATGCTACAACCATGAATGCTGATGAACACAGAACTTGTTTCTGACAACAAATCGCAATACCTTCTGCTTCATTAGAACAGAAAAATTTGGAGCCCTAGCGATCTTAGTCGTAATGATCACCTCTAAAAGCTGAATATATATACACATATATACATGCATATTTATTATTTTTCCAAGCGGTTTGTCATTTTAAACTTGCCAAATAACCAGCAGCGGAAAACCATGATATTTCTGTTTTGGATGCATGAATCCTCAATTTCTGGGTGAGAAGCCACTGATTAAATCTCGAAATTGAGTGAGCTGCTGTTGATATTGTAGTTTTGTTGATTATACTTTTAGTTCTGGATTGGGTCTTTGTTCGACTGACTTTGTTTTAGTTACTTAGGCTGTAAATTTCAGTTGATTTGGTTTTCGTTTAGTTTAGTTGTATAAGCCTCTATCTGGTGTTCATCAAATAACATTCTAGAATTTGAAAGTTGGTGTTAATGATATTAATTTAAGTTGCACTGGGTTTTGGGCTATAGATTTTCTATTAGGAGATGTGTTTCATTTGTTTTTAGTTTTCGTCATGATTTTGCTTGTGCATTTAGTTATGCTATCTCTTTGTGTTGAATCTTATTTGTTTTTTCCATTCAGTTCTTAATATTCAAGTTTCTCCAAGAATCTAATATTAGCCAGAAAATCGAGGAAGCCAAAGCTACCTCAAGTAATACATTTAATGCAAGTTACATGTTTCTATCCTTTAGCGTTCAGCATTTTATTTGGTAGCAGTCTATTGCATCTTCATTGCACTTTAGTCTTGATAACTGCATTTGTCAAATCTTCATTCATCAAATTAGTTTTGTGTATCACTAAGTTTATTGGGTACCTTCTGTTTCAGATCTAGGTTATGTTCCTTTTATTTATTTTTTTCCTCCATCGAATTAATAATTTTGTCGTACGTTTTATTTATTTATAATTTTTTTAATTTTCAATTTATACTGTGATGCCTTGATCATATCCTTTTTATCTCTTTGCGATTATGGCGAAATCATATTGTTAAAGTGGCCTATCAGATATTTTTTTGCAAAAAAATAAAAAAAAAATGGCAGAGTTTTTTTTATTTTTTATTTTTTATTGTTCTTGTATCTTATTCAATATTCTTTTGAAAAGAGTTGTTGAATCACTTACCTAGATATCGGGCAGTTGCAAAAAACTCTTGATATAAGACGAATGATCTCCTACCTCCTCTATTACCAAAGCTGATTTGGGACTACACTAGAGAGAGGCTTTTAAAGATCTATTATGATAAATTTGAGTGGCACCAAGACAAATGTAAGAAAAGGACAAAAAAAATAAGGCTTTTGAGGTTATATTTAAGTCAGCAAGATAGTTTTATTCCTTTCTGTTGCTAAGAGTATTGCATTACAAATAATAGTACAACCATGCAAGTTAAAGTTGGTTCTTGTGATTTATTTTCTATTTTGAATATTCATCATGATTGTGAGGAAAAACTAATAGCGAGGGTCTTGCTTCTCCTAGACCATGTTGTGGACCTCTATAGGACAACCTTTATGAAGCTGCCCTCCTTTTTGAAGCATTCATCTTTATAAGATCTGCTTCTTTGCTCCTTATATGCTGGAATAACCCTATTGTAGAATAAAGCTTTCTTCTGGAAATCCCATTAAAATATCCATTATAACAGTCAACGCTATTGTGCTTTTCTATTGATAAATGATCTTCTCGGTTCTACTACTAAGTACTAACAGACTCCTTAACTCCTTTTTTAACTATATTATATTATTAAAAGATTATAGAGTTTGCCAATGTTGCAATGCGCAAATCATCACAAGCTTTAGTTACCAAGGTTTTGCCACTTCTTGGAAAATTTGAGGGTGGCTTCCATTCTATTAGTTGGCTCAAACAGTCCAATGGTGATGATGATGGTCATTATGCTTGGTTGATGATTGTTTTAAAAAACGTAGATAAATAATGATTGACTGAATAAAACTCAGGGAATTCCTATTTTCTTCAAGACAAAGGGCTAATAAAAGCATACATATGCATGAAGATGAATGCACTTTTATTTGAGTTGAACATGGATGTTTTGCTTTAAAATGGAAGTGAGAGCTTGTAACATTGTACAACTTGTTCGTTTGTTAACAACATGCTCACTTTAGAATCTCCCGTTTGATTTGTGTACTTTTAGCTTCAAATTCTACATAAAACACTATTGATCAGTTTAGTTTCCATGTGAACCGGAACATGTCTTAATATCTTATGCTAACTGTCTCCTCATGGATGTGTAATTCTTTGGATATGTTCCATGTTGACCATATGGTTTGCAGTTGATGACCAAGCATAATGGACTGGGCACTTGTAAATAAAATTTGGGACAAGTGGGCATCTACTCATATTGATTCCTGTGGTGAGCAAAATCAAGTTTATGCAATTTCTTCCCCTTCTTCTCACAAGTTCATTATATGAATAAATGAATGAGATGGATTTTATAACTTCTAGGTCAACCATTGAAGGCTGCTTTGCTAATTAACTATGACCCAACAGGACCCTCTCGCTTGTTATCTACCATGTAAGGGGAATTGCAATATCCCATGCTTCCTATGACTTATTTTCTATGGCTATCTTGAAATGTAGATCACGTAATATATTGCTTGTATGGTTTCTAAATTCTGTTCATGAAAGCATCATTGTAGATATTGTATCTTGAACCTTGTAAGAGCATTCACTTGTGAGGCATTTTCACTCGTGCAAAGCAAAGAAAAATCGAAGCATTCAACCTGAAACACTATAAGTTTATTACCCACTAGGGGTTCTCCAATCTACTAGGAACCTTAAATGCTCAAGGCAAAAATAAGATGGAAAAACGCTTTGATTCTACTAAGCAAAATAAAATAACAACCTGTAAATTTCAGTGTTACTTATAATAGACTACTCCATTTTCTATTTAAACAAGGATATCAGAAGGCAAAAGACTCTAGAATTCAGCACCTAGCGGATTATTATTATTATTATTATTTACCACTCTGAATCATGAAATTACACATTTTCTAAAATTTGAGCCGGAACAGACTATGAATCCACTATAAATGAATATTCACGAAAACCACCGAAATAAAACAACAACAACAACAACCAAGCCTTTTCCCAATTATTTGGGGTCAGCTAAATGAATCCCATGTTTTTAGTCCGTTCTATTTAAGGCCATAGCCTCAGTCAATCCACATATCAATTTTTTGTTTACTAACTCTACCGACATTAACTTTGGTCTTCCTCTTTCCCTAGTATTACGCTCAATGTGACTATGTAACTTTTCCTAACCAGTGCACTTAAAAGGTTTTCTTTGCAAATGTCCAAACCATCTTAACCTATTTTCTCAATTCAATTGGTGCTACTCCAACCATTTCCCGAATGTGATCATTTCTAATTCTGTCCTTCCTAGTCTTACTGCACATCCATCTCGACCTTTGCATTTATGCCACTCACTTTATGCAAATGTTGTTTCGTAGCTGCCCAACATTTAACTCCTGAAATAAAAAGTTACCAATAATGTGAATGGACAACTAAAAGGGTGTTTCATAAGACTTGTCAAGGTTTTTTGGATGTATGCTGTAGGGCTTCTAACTATACATAATCTGTTGCTGACAATTATTGATCCAATGGTTATGCCTTGGTTTGTTCAAATATAAAATCTCATTTTGTTTGTTTCTCATTTGCAAATACATATGCAAGTATGCACAAAAGGTCTAGAGAAGGTATGCAAGAGTATTTCAATGGCACGTATACCAAGTAAAATATTGGATTTTATTTTATTTTATTTTATTTTTATTTGGGACTACTCTTGCAATGGCACGTATACCAAGTAAAATATTGGATTTTATTTTATTTTATTTTATTTTTATTTGGGAGTTAGTTATTTTTTTCCAATAAATTGATTCAGAGGAGGGGAAAAAAAAAAACCTACAATTAACTGTGCTCTGTCTTATTGCTTATGTTATCTGGACTTCGAGTAAAGGTTTGGGGCGCAAATACTGGTCCAATTGGCAAATTTTTTTTTTTTTTTTTGGTTATATGCTATTATGAGGACTTGAATATGTATACACATACATTTCATAAAATAATATAAGTACATGTTTTAACGAAGATAACTAGCTATATATGCATATTATGTTAGTTATGACATGTAAGAATCATTGAACTATGAAACAAACAAGAAAAAATCTGCAAACATGATTACATGAAATTCCATGTGTATTAGCACTCAAAATATGCGAGACTAAGTGATTAACTAATTTAAGTGACTTTTTGTATTGTAATTTGTGGGGACCTCTATATACTTGCCAACTCTAACCATAATCACATTTAAATTTATGGATGTAGATTTGGTGAGCAAGAATTATGTTGCACTTTCGTATCTCTTTGGAAGACTAACATGGTCATTAAAATGAAGTGTATAGCGTTTTCATCTTTTCCCTGACTCTGTTTTCTTCATGGAAAGGAAAAATTACTTGCTGATTTATTTTCTTTTGATTTAGCAAAGAAAGAGATCAGACTGCATTTAAATCATTTGCCTTGTACACACACTACTTGTCAAAACAAACAGATCTCTATCATTCATCTTCTTACCTCATCACTTTCTTCTGACTCTGGGATTTGGAGCCTAATTTTGGTGTTTGCAGTGCAGAGCAAGAAGGAATAAAAGTAAATCCTATTGAACTGAGTCAATTTATTGATTTCATCAAACAAAACAAACTCCAGAGTGACAGCTTCTTCATTGGACCAAACCAATGTGAGTTGTTCTCCAGCTAAGCCAAGTCAGTGCATGAAAATCCTAATTTGCATTTTCCCACCAGTTCTCAAGTGTTGCCTAAAAAGTTTTGCATAAACTCTAGTTTTATGTCAAAGTCATTACAGGTTTTTATCTTGAATATTTGAAATTTTGCAAACATGTTGTTTTCAATTAACTTCCAGTGCAGGCTCTATTTTCTGAAATGATTGTATTCCCCCAAGTGTGAACTTTTTTATATTCAGTCCTATATGTACACGAGTATTCCCCAAATTATTACAGGACGCTCTTTAGTGCACACACTGACATTATGGGCCAAACATTCTGTGCTCAAAGATCATGAGATCATCTTCCACATCTGGGAGAATTTGTCGAACTCCATTCTATCAAGAATTGGTTTGATTTCTCCCTTGAATCTGACAGATATTCTTAATTGGAAGAAACTTTCAGTTTTCTCTACAACCTTCCTTTTATGTAGTTATTCCAGGTTAAACTAGAGGCCGTCCATGTGATTCTGTAATACGTGAAATCTTTTAGGGTTTGCAAACTGTCATTCAAGTAGGGCAAGAAGTAAGGACTACTTTTGCCAAGAAAATGGGTATAACCCACTGGTTAACAAGTGGACCCTGTCAATTGGTCACCTTGTTGGATTTAAACTTCTTGCTTGCCCAACCTATTTGTACCTTGAAAAACTTCACTTTTTTTATACTAACAAGACTTCTTTTTGGCAGACATAGTCACATCAATTCATGAGAATTCGTTCTCTGCAAGGTGCATGAATACTTCAAAACCTGCTGGTGAAGGCGCTATTGTAGTGCAGACTGCAGCATTCATCTTGGTTGCACTGTAAGCACTTGCAATGTTCATCTCAACATATTCATATTCAGCCACTGGCTTTGGGTACATTTTCAGATTGTGCTTCAGATGCTAATGTGAACACAAATATAATATGGGGAGCTTGATACCCAACTCATTGAGAGCATCAATTTCTTTACCATTCTCCCCATTTATCTTACAGGTATGATGGTTCTATTGGCTCAGCATCTCGTGCTATGGTGGTGGTTGATCAGTTTGCATGGCAATTAACTCGGAGGAATCTTTGACCCCAATCTTGAAGCAGTTTAGTGTGTACCAAAAATTGATTAGTACAAAGATAAGCGTGCTGTGGTAGTTGTTGTACTAGATTTATGGAGGTTGTAGTAGCATCTTCCGAATCTCGGGTTGATGCACCTCAAAGCATGAAACTTTGACAACCTGAATTACATATGAACCCGATGTGTCCATGTTGCATTAACCTAGTGCAAAAAAACCGCCCCTTTTTCCTATTAATGAACTTTTTTCAGGCTTCCAAGATCCGACAATGATGTCCAGACATAGCAAACCTACAGTACTTTCCAAGGGAAGAATTTTCTTTCAAGACAGTACATTTTCTCCTCTTTCAACTATTGAAGTAACCTCTGCAATGTGCTGAGATGAATTCATAAAAATGTTGTCATCATTACTTGTTTTGGGAAAAGAGAGTTTATAAATTCACTGAACATTATATTAGTGCTCGAGTGCTTTGATTGCTGTGCTGTGGAGTCATATAAAGGTAAAAACGAGGTAACAAATTCTTATTAGGATTTGTTATGCAAAAAGAGTGTCATCTTATGAAATTTATTACATAAGGAGGGGTGCATCCCAATTGATGTGGCGCTGAGGAGACCATTTACAAACTTACAATAATTTTGTGCACAAACACACACTCACTCACATACTGTTGGGATTATGTTGAGAAAAATGAAGATCAATTACTACCCACTTGTGAAGGTGCTGCATTAATATCACCGGAATTTTGTGTCCCTCCCCTATCTGGACGTGTTGAAATCGCTTTCAAATTGCCCTCATTGTAAGTAGAAATGATGTAAAAGTGGAATTGACTTTGTACCAACTTCTTAGGCGGGTCGTAGTGCAAGGTTGCTATTGCTATTTAATTGAATGTTACGGGTTCAAAACGAAAACTTATATTTTCAAATATGGAGGTGAAATTAAATACATATGAAGTCTAGGGCTATCTCCAGTGAGCCCACAACTTTCTTGTATAAATAAATTTTTTTTTTTTAACATGACACAGAGTACAAATGGATCAAATTTGTGGAACATTACCAAAATATCATTAATTTCATATTTTGAAAATCTATAAAGGATGGTGTTGTCAACCCCCTTAAAATGTGAGACTCTTTGTTTCAAATACTGAAACACTTATGTGATAAAGAGTTACAAATAATTCACGTTAAATTGAAAATTTTATATAAAAATAAAATAAATAAATAAATTTACTACATTTTTGTGAAAAAAATATTTCAAAGTCTCTTGATAACCTAGACTATTTTTAAAATTTTGATCCGTCCAAGTGTGACCCCACTCATTTGTGCAGAGTTCCGACCGAGTTACAATTTGAATACCCATATGTAGGCAGAGAAGACGCCATGTTTTCGCTTCCTTTGTTCAACGAACGCTCTCTCTCCTCTCTCTCACACATACACACACTAACTCTTCACAAGAAAGCCAACTAAGTACATAAAAACTGAGTCTTTTCCATTCCATTTTCATCTCTGTACAATGCCTTACCCAAAACTACTCTGAAATCTCTCTCTCTACCACTCATACACATGCCCAATAATCCCATCAACCTACACATCATATAACTCCAACCCAATATATATATCAAAATGCAGTCATTCCCATAACTTCTGAATCTGAAACTTTATCTTCCTTTTCTGATTTTTGTTTTTATGTGGTAGAGGAAAATTAGTGGGTTTTGAATCTTTTGATGATGTGAAGATCAGATCTTTGAAGGCATTTTTTCGGTGGGGTGGTGGGGCTGAGATGGGATCGAGCAGTAGCAAACATAATGCACCCGAATCATCATCATCATCGTCATCCGATGTTCGGAGGACTCGATCCCGATCCAAAGGAAGCGGTGTTTTTCAGTCTTATTGTCTCCGACCGTCGTCTGGATCTCACGACGATGACAATGACAATGACGACCAGGTCACTTTATCTTCGCTCTTTTCATATCTTTATTCTTCGATATTTCACATTTCTGATTCTCTTTTTATATGTAGATAGATATGTGTATTTGTGTGTGTGTGTGTGTGTGTTTTATTATAAATTTTGATGTGTTTGCCTGGTATATATTTTACATGGCTATTCTTTTGGGGCTTACATTTTGAAATTTCAAATGATTTGATTTGGGAACTGGGTTAATGATGTTGAATATTGAGTTGAAATGCTTGAGTTGTGATTTGCATGACTGCAAAAATAGAGTGTTAAATAGGACTAAATTTACACCCAAAAAAATTGAACATTGGAGAATTATTTGAGCCGAAGTCAACTGCAGAGTTTACACATCGGACTCGCCCTAAAATATTCATGAAAATGTACTGGAGTGTGGATGTAGATTGGTGTACATTGGTGCTTTGTTATACTTCGTAGTCTTGATCTCTAATTGTGTGAAGTGTGCTAATTTGAACACCCCCTTGTAGGTATTTAGAGTGCGAGTGCTATCTGTATTTATGTTGATTTCCAGAACTTTCGTCTCATGCTTCACATTTGTCATTAATCATCACTTCTTTATTGAACAGATACATACATGGGTTCTTATAGTCATTTATCCTTTATAGCTCCACGATTTCTTCTCAATATCATCCCCTATTTTGCGGATTGACATATGGCCACACATCTTCACCATAACAGATTTATGAAACAAACATTTTGTCAATCAGTTAATGATTTGCACGTCCACTGATCTCCTCTTTGCACATTTGAAGTTTGTTGAATTTGTAATATATCTCCTCAACCTCATCTAATTTGTAGAATGGTGCACTCAATAACTTTGATGATTTGGCTTAAATGAGAAAGAGTGTGGCATCTATTTGTGTGGATTAATTAGGAATGTCTTGCATTCTGTTTGTACGGGATAATGGCAAGCTAATGATGATGAATTGGGAATGTTTTGCGTCATGTCCTCAATGTTTCTCTAATTTTTTGAATCAAAATTGGCCAGTGTGCATGTTCAGCTGCATGCATCTGTTACTGTTTAAATTAAGAAAATTGGTTGACTTGGCCTTGAGTTTTTGATCAAGGGATTTCCTCCCTTTATAACCACCCATCTTTCCACATACGACTTCTCACTTTCCTCAAGTATTGAATGCTGATCCTCTGCCTCTCCAATCATGCTCCCTTCTTTGCCTCCTAATTTCAAATGACAAATTTTCTAGTGTTCAAGCATTCCTCTTTTATATTTGAATAAACATAAATAAAATTGTACATATCAGTTTTTTGTGACAAAATAAAACTGTTCTATGTTAATTGAAAATATTTTTCTCCCCATCTGGTCAGCATTGTTAGCACAACTCTGTGTGTACATGCTTCATTTTAGAAATGTTCAGCTGGTATAGGTCAGACCAAACATCCTGCAATCATTGGTTGTGATTGAACTGTCCTTTTACATGCTCTTATACATCCATAAATACTATAATAATAATATTATTATTATTATTCAGATCATTAAATTGATATTTAACTCATGCTTCGGTTTTCTGATCATCAGAGTGAAGAAAATGGTAATAACAGCCAATGTGCAATCCAGAACAAATCAGACCTGGATCAAGTGAAAGCTGACTGCTACAGGAAGTTTAAAGTTGAACAACCTGGTGATACAACCTGTATACCTTCCAACATCGAGCTTGATGAGTGGGGTCAATCAAGCCTCCCATATACCGTCTCCAGATCTGATAGTAGTTCTTCCCGAGCTTTCTCTAGCCGATCATTGAACCCGTCAGGTCGCTTGCTTTCTCGTTTTAGATTTTTTCCTGGTAATTTAAGCTTCAGGTTAAGCAGAGCAGCCAGTTTAGGGTCATCGAGGGCTTATCCTGTACCTTCGACAAATGATGAAGAAGAGCTTCATCTACACGCAGGTCCTGCCATTGGCTTGGTTAGTAGAAATGAAACTCGACAAGGTCCTGATTCACTTCCTGTATGGCTCAGTAATAGATCTCCCATGGCACAGTATGAAGATGTTTCTTCTGGTAACTTGCAGATTCCTCCAACTTCTGCTTCTTCTGATGGTTTACGAGATGATCAGATAATTTCTACTGAAGACATGACCAGAGATATTGATAATACTCCAGTCGAGTTTAATGTAAATATCCGTTCTCCAATAAATCATACTGAAATAGATGGTATTGAGACAAGACCTTTTGATAGGCAGAGTGGAGCTCGAGAACCTGTGGAACGGAATGTAAGGCTTAGTAGAACCCTAAGTGTTGGAAGACTTCGTGACAGAGTTCTACGCAGGTCATCATTTCCTGACTTAACATTTTGTCCTTTGCAACAAGAAAGGGAGGATGGATATGCTTATCAGGATGGCCAGAGACAGGATTTGGGTGGCGGGACAGGGGCATTGGCATCTGATGAGAATGCCTTGGTCTCTTCAACTTCTGGCTATGCTCCGTATGGTATGTCTGGTTCCTTGTACTGCAGGCAAGATTCTGAAGTGGAAACCTCGCGTGCAAGAGAAGCCAGGTATCTTGATCTCTTGGAACATGGATCAAATTTTCTAGAACGGAGAAGAAGAATAAGATCTCAGGTTTGTAAAATTCTATTAACTAATTATTGACAGTTATATATATTTAATCTCCTTAACTGGAGAATGTAAAAGGATCCGTGGTCCTAAACTTTTTTCTCATATTGACTATTGACAGCAATTTTTAAATCAGATCCAGATCATGTGGCCTGTTAGCAGGGTTCTGGGTGCCCATAGTTTGGCTGTTTAGGACTTAAACTGGCCAAATTTGAACTTATGGTTTCTATATGTAATTTTGAAATTTTGCTTCCCTTTCAAGTAGGAATTATTGCAGTTCCATATCGTCCTAAAGGTGGCAGTTAAATTCACATTCTGCTACAATACTGTTTTTATAATCTATTCGGCCAAACTTAGAACTCTTGTGCCTTGTGTGTGTGGCGCTTGTGAGTGTTATATTTGTACTTCTTAATGCAACACATTCTAATGAATGATACATATCTTAGGTACGTGCTCTTCAGCGGTCGGGGAGCCGTTTTGAGAACTTGTCCAGACATGAGAGATCTTGTATCTTATCTGGTCAACATCGAACAGGTCAGTGCACCTGCCGTGTCAGTACTCGAAATGCTAATTCAAATGATGGCACCAGTGCGAGGGCTAGCATATCAAGAATTGTCATGTTAGCAGAAGCTTTATTTGAGGTAACCCTACCTTTTCTGAGGGCTTCCATTGTTCTCCTTACCCACTTTTATTTGAGTTGAATCTTTTGTACATATCTTAATTAGGTTCTCGATGAAATTCACCAGCAATCTGTAGCTTTATCCTACCAACCTTCTGTGTCTCCAATTGGATCTATTCCTGCACCTAATGAAGTTGTGGATTCTCTGCCTGTGAAATTCTACAGTAAATTGCAAAAGCATCTGAATGAGGAGTCTGCACAGTAAGTACAAATGTTTCATTTTATTTGATTTTCAATTTACTGGAACATCTCTGATGGATATGGTTGTTTCTTTTTATTATTATACATGAGGGAGACCCTTTTCAATTTATTGGGACTACTTTGCTACAGAATCATATTTTGCTGTCATAACTTGTTGGTAGGCCTGTGCTTGCAAAGTATCAAATTATCTTAAGTTGACAATCTTTATTATCTGAGTACATTGTAGCCTATAGATACCAATTTCTATATGTAAGTAAATCTGGTCCGAGTTTGTGACCTGCTTATCCATGTGCTGGTTAGACTTGAGCCGTTAATTGGTCCAGGCCAATCTTAAAAATTGATCATGCAATTAGTCTGAGTGATCTACCAGCTTCCTCCAGTGTGTCTAGCATGTTGTGCCATGGGTTGTGGCCTGTGATTGGACCTTTAAAGTTCCTACAAGCAGTGTTTGTGGTTTCGATCAGAATCTTATGCAGCATCTGTAGATGAGTTTCTGTCTGTTCTAAACATTGGTAACACAAATGGTCAATCACCTACGGATAGTTGCTGCAGTTTCTTGTAGTAGTTGATGCAGCATTTGTTGCCATACATTAAGGTATTGCTTGTGATTAGCGATGGCAATTTGACCCGCTCTCGCGGTTACCCGCCCGCCTTGTTTTTGGTAGTTTTGGGGGACTGTTTAGCTTATTTGGGCGGGGATGGTTTGATGTAATAAAAACCTGCATGGGTCTGGTGCGGGGGTGGGGGGAGGTCGCCCCGCCCCGTTCCGTTTAGATAGACAAATTACTTAAGTACCCTTATTTCATTAGTATATATATTTCTCAGTATATATATTAAGTACCCTATATAACAGTATTAAAGTAACAAATGAATTTGATTAGAAGGAAAGTTGCAATAGTGAAGAACTGAAGATGAGGAGAAAAAAAAAGAACTAATCTATTTCAACGATAAAAAAATTATGGTCTTAAATGGGGCAGGGCGGATACCCGCAGGGGTAAAAATGTTAAACGGTTGCTGGGATGGGGTGGAAAGTCTCCCCGTTTTTGCGGTTTGGGGTGGGACAGGGGCAAGGTTTTTAAACGGTTGCAGGGGCGGGGGAGGGTACACCTGCCAAAACCCGCCCCCATTGCCATCCCTACTTGTGATCATTCTAGATGATGTAGCATCAAATCAACTTAGTTTCTCAGTTTTTTGGTGATATATGAGTATTAGGTTGCTTCTTTCAACACACAACACGACAGTTCTATTGAGGTTTATGAATATATGGAGAGATTTGTGTTGGCTGTAGTGTAGAAACTTCTGGAATTGAATATGTTTATTTTTAAGTGTCAAGTCCTATGCGTTATGTGAAGATTGCCTTTCTACAAGTCTCATACTAATCGAATTGGTGAGATTTTTTAAAACATAATCACTGACGCACTTCTATTTTTCTTGTTCTCTTTTTGACACTCATTATCTTACTGGCCAATTCCTTGGCTAATCCTTTGGTTTACAGGTGTTACATATGCCTTGTTGAGTATGAAGAAGGAGACAGCTTGCGGATATTACCTTGCCATCATGAATTCCATAGAACATGTATAGATAAATGGCTCAAGGAGATACACAGGTACAGATTTCAGCTTATGTTTTTAGTTATTACAAATTATCCTGCTATCAATTTCTTATGAGTACATCCTCCATGGCAGATAAACTCATCAAGTATACATCTCAACTCAATTTTACTCCAATAGCTGAAAAGTATTTTACTGGTGATTTTTTTTTTTTCCCTAACCAATGATATGACACACAGGGTCTGTCCACTTTGCCGTGGGAATATCTGCAGATCCGACTCGTTACCTCTGGAGAACTAAGGCAGCCAGTTTGCAGTATGTTTTGTCGCGGACCATCAGAGTGCTTGGAAACCAAAGAGATGTTTTTCTCTACCTTGGCAATCATAGAAAGTTATGCCTTAAGTTATGATGGTTTGAAAAGTTTGATTTTGTTTCTGCTGCTGGGGCTTTTGCTACCTTGTTTTAGTTGTTTGGTTGCTGAATAAAGCATCAAAGCTTGGTAGAAATGGACCAAACTGCTCGTGCCGTGCCACATCTCTTTTGCTGGAATCTTAAAAGCTGCGTGCACACACAAGGAGGAGGGGGGAGGCCAATTGTAGTACCATTTGTTGTGTGTGGAGAATTATTTTCTTGAAAAAGGTTTATTATGATGAATATGCTCATCTGGTCTTGAATGTATTCTTAAATTCACTGCTGGTATACTACAGGCATCTTTTGATTGAGATGGTTTTATTGTCAGTTTAACCACAACTGCGGGAGAAAAGAACAGAACTAGTGCAACTAATGTCGTAGTATCATTTCTTAAAGAATGTATGGCCAAGCCTCACTGGTCTAAATTGATTTTATATACATATATTTCATATATACTCACTTGTGTACATGTCTATAATCTATATACCAGATTTTATTACATGTAAAATGACTATATATATATATATATATATTTTTTTTTTCTTTCTTTTTTTCTTGAAGTGTTATGGTGCATTAATTTTCAAACGAAATAACAATGTATGGGTAAGATTTCAATTCAATTAGGCACCTTAAACAATATGCATACTTGGCACAATAGCTAATGATGTATGCTGTAATTTCATTGTTTGTTACGTTTCATAATTGCTATGACGTCCCCCACTCAACCAAGTTTGTGAGTTTCCAAAACAGAAAAAGAAACAATAATTTCATGATTAAGTGAGAGAGTACATGTGCTGAAACACATTGCGTGCCTCTTTCGCCAACATAATTAGCTTTAGTTCATGAACAACTTATAACTTTAAAGTAATGATCTCTTAAAACTACTTTAGTAAAGTTTGAATGATATAAACAAAAAATAGAACTCCTTGTGGGACAGGAATTGAGGACCTATTTGGTTTGTAACTTTAAAAATAGTTCTTAAGAACTCAAAAAACAGAAAACTCTCAGAGAATCTTTTATAATTCTCTAAAAATATGCATTTTTATAACTGAGTTTTCAGAAAACTGAACCAAGCAAAGTTGTTTCTACAATTTTTTGGTTTCAATTTTATAAAAATATAAAACTATTTCCATAGTTACAAACCAAACATTTCTTAAGTTTTTGGTTAGTGGAATGATGCAAAAGATGAAATGATATGAGAAAATGAAAATTCCATCTCTAAGTCCTAATTTTCTTCCTAAAAAATACTACGTAATACGGAGTAGGTCTTAATACCATTGAGTGCTATTTGTAAAATTCTTTTCAATTTAAATTCTAACTACTAAATCGTTCATTTTTGTGTAGAGTTTACTACAACATGAATACACAAAAAAAACTAAAAATTTATGCAAAAAAAACAAAGGTATTATCATCTCATTTATTTATATTTTACATCTAATTTGGTAAGGGTATATAAATGAAAATTTGAGCAGTTTAGAACTTGATGGAAAAGTTTTCAAAAATAGAACTTATTAAAAATTGATATGTCTTTATTTATTTTTGTTTTTTATGTGTGAAAAAGTCTTTTACAACAACTCTCTCACTAGTAATATGAGTATTCTCACTTGAGCTATAAGTGGTTATGAGAGAGAGATTTTTTATGCTATTTGTTAACCTATATGGCTTTTGGATAATGAAGATTTTGATTTTATGCAAATAAGGAGTTTAGGGACATAGAAAATCAAGTAGTAATAAAACTGCTTTGCCAAATGTATTTCGCTAGAAATTTTTGTATATTTCAGACAAATTCATTTTATTTAAAATGAAGTGTAAATTTATATATTCATGTACAACAAAAACACTATTAGTATGATAAATAATAGAGTTCACTTAATGTTCCATTTGTTTGAGTATAAAATATTTTGTGTTTTTTAGTATTTGGTTGTCGTAATTTATTTACGAAAAAAAAAATATTAAAGCGTACAAAAAATAACTAATTCATCAATTTTTGACAAGCTATTTTAGATGTCCACCCGATGGATTCGAACTCAACCGCGACCTAAACCTTTGACAAACACTAAAAAATATATATATATTTTACCAGAAAAAAGAAAATATTTTAGACCTTAATGAAACTTAATTACTAGAGAATAATATATTGTTTGTAACAAAGAGAAGAGGGTTAAAGTGAAATAGGATTTGAAATTAAGTGGTCTTGTTTATTAGTAATTTTTACATTCCAAATCATATGAGATATAGACTCAATATATTGCACATGGGTCTGTTTAAATAAAATGGATTTCAGAAAATTATGATAGGAGGTTTGAGAGATTGAGAGCCTCATCAAACGTCTAAAATCATGTTGTACACATGAAAACACAGCTCACACTTTAGAAACAGAGTCTCCTAGCTAACCCATCCAAAAGCAAGGGAAGGGAAAACATTACCAATTGATCCATGGCAATGACTGATAGTATCATGCCTTTTGCAGTTCTCTCTCTTTATATGCTTTTGTCACTGGCATTATCCCAATTTAGTCCTTCCAACATAAATTTATGGTGCAGCAAAACACCATACCCTGAGCCTTGTCAGTACTACATGAGTCACAACTCTCATTGTTCTGCTACCAATCAAAAATCTGAGTTCGCAATTATGGTCATACAGAATGCTTTAGATCAGGCCCTCCAAGCTCACAATTACACAATGCCACCAGAAGGAGCGTTCCAAAATGAGCGCGTGAAAGCTGCATTCGCAGACTGTCACGAGCTCTTTGAGAATGCCATACTGCGGCTCAATCTCACAATCACTCATTATGGTCAGTCCACTGATGTGGACAAACAAACATGGCTCGGTGGAGCCCTAACGAATTTTGAAACGTGCAGGACCGGATTTGATGAGCTAGGGATTTCCAATCACATTCTACTACTTATGTCAAATAATGTCTCCAAGTTACTCAGCAATGCTCTAGCAGTTAACAAGGTTGAATCCATTGGATTAAGGTACAAAAATGGATTTCCCACTTGGGTTTCAGACAGTGACCTAAAACTTTTAAAGGCCGATAGTCCCTGTTCAAATTCTATTATGATCTTGTGGTGGCTCAAGATGGCTCAGGAGACTTCAAAACCATTAAAAAGGCTGTAAATGCTGCGTCGAAAAGGGAAGGAACCAAAAGGTTGTCATTTATGTGAAGGCAGGGACTTACAATGAGAAAGTTGAGATAGGCAACAGGTTGAAAAATGTCATGTTGGTTGGTGATGGCATTGGGAAGACCATGGTCACAGGACATAAACATGCTGGAGGAAACACTACCACCTTCAAATCAGCTACCTTTGGTAATGTCTGCAAGCTTAATCTTATTTTACTTTACCTTAAAATGGTTAACAAAATGAAATATGTGACAAAGCTATCCAAAAAAATTACTATATGCTCTCATTATTATCATCTTTGTTATATTATGCACTTTTATCTACTCTGACCTACTTACTACTGTATTATGAAATTGAGCAACAGCTGTGAGTGGTGATGGATTCATTGCTCGTGCCATGACCTTCCAAAACACAGCAGGACCCCTAAAAGGGCAGGCAGTGGAGCTACGATCAGGATCTGATCTCTCTGTATTTTATAAATGTAGCTTTGAAGGGTATCAAGACAGTCTATATGTTCATTCAGAAAGACAATTCTACAGACAATGCGATATACATGGAAAAATAGACTTCATATTTGGGAATGCAGTTGTTGTTCTCCAAAACTGTAATATCTATGGTAGGAGGCCCCATGGGAAGATGAACACAATAACAGCTCAAGGTCGGTCCAATCCTGACCAGAATTCCGGAATTGTGATTCAAAACTGTAGAGTATTGGCCGGTGAAGACCTCATACCATTTCAAAGTTCAGTGAGAAAATACTTGGGAAGGCCTTGGAGGAAGTACTCTAGGACAGTTTTTATCAACACCTATCTTGGAAACTTAATTGATCCAGCAGGGTGGTTGGAATGGGATGATGATAGTTACCTTAGTACCCTTTACTATGGGGAATATAATAACACAGGCCCTGGTTCTTTGACAGCAAACAGAGTGAAATGGGGTGGCTTTCATGTCATTACAACTCTATCAGAAGCATCAAAATTCACAATTGAAATTTTTTTGGGAAGTGATTCTTGGTTGAACTCCACTGGTGTACCTTTCACGTCCGGGCTCTGATATGTTCTAACATTTTGAGAATCTGTATTTACAGTTCATTCCAGGTGAATTTCATTTAGAGTATGACTGTGATGAGGGCACCCTTGGTGAGGTCGCGTCTTGTCACAACATTTTTCTTTCATTTACTTGAAGAATATGGTAATAATTATTTTCACTTGGGCTTTCAATTAAATTCAGACATTTGGTTGTTTTTAGTTTGTGGTGTACATTTGATGAATGCAGTTTAATAAGCAAATGCAGCTTAGGTCCTACTATTTCTAAACAGCGACCTACCATGGGTGTATTACTTAGAGCAGCCGCAGGGGATAGCTAAAGCCTGCTTTTGGCGATATGGGAGCCTAAAGCAGCTGCAGCGGGCTAGCTGAAAAGGGTGGGGCACACTTTGTCTCGTATGCCGGCTCGCGGTGCAGTGAGCCGGCCCGCGATCGCTGGATATATATATATTTTTTTTGTTTTTTTCCTAATGCAAAACGGCGTCGCTGAGCCTTTTTTTGTATTATTTGTAACAGTCCTGAATAGTGCCTCAAAGGCATTGTTTGGTTATTTTGAGGTTTATTTTTAAAAAATAAAATTCATTAAATAAAAAATATATTGTTTAGAAACTGTTTGTTCAAAAATAAATTTATTTGGGCCAAAAATAAATTTATTTTTTTTTTCCCTTAAAATTTGGTTTTTTTTAAAAAAAAAAATTTGACTTTAAATTTTAAATGTGTACCACAAATAGTGTATTTGGCCGTTAAGGCACTGTTTGGCTGACACAAACAGTGCTTTAACGGCTATAATTTTTTTTAAAAAAAATTAAAAATTCAAATTGTTTTAACTTTATTAAAAAAAAAAAAAAACTTTTAATTAAAAATTTTAAAATCATTTCTCTTCTATAAATACCCAAACTCCTATTATTTTGTAATCCTTGGTCTATTTATTTTCTTATTCCAATTTAGGATATTGTATTTTTAAAGTTATTTTTAATTGTTTTGTTTAATTTTTTTTTTTTTTAATTCATAATGGATAATGTATTGTTTCAAGTTACAATCTCAATCGTAATTTTTTTAATAATTTGCAAAAATACTGTTTGATTGAAAAATATTGCCGTTGTGAAAATATAGCCGTTACAAATATAACCCTTAGGAATATTGCGGTTAAAAATATAGCCGTTAGGAAATTTTTTTAAAAAATTAATAATTTTATTTATATATATATATATATATATATAGCGAAAATTCAAAGAGCCTGATGGAGTGCATGTTTCTGGAGAGCAAAAGCTGTTGACGTGGC